ATGACTTAGATTCTTCGAACCCATTGGCTAAAACTGACATATTTTGTAACAACCGCATACATTCATGGAAAATGAATGCCTAAGCCAAATCGAGAGAAACCATCCGCCCCATCCATGGGCACGGAGAAACATCTGATGGGTTCGAATCCCTGTGCGCCCTGATTGTTTTATCAGCATTATATCCGTGAACGGCTTTCCCTATATAAGAGCTACATTTGGGACTTTCCTCTCACATCAAACTGGGGGCGGTCGGGTAGCCTAGTGGTTAAAACGTTCGCTCGTCATGCCGAAGACCTGGGTTCGATTCCCCACATGTGTGAAGCCCATTTGTGGTGTCCCCCCGCCATGATATTGCTGGAATATCGCTAAAAGCTGCGTGAGGCCATAATCACTCACTCACATAAGTTAACACGCGATAACTGCTGTTCCAGACTGCAGCCTAACCTGCGCCAACGGTGGCACGGTGGACGGGGCGCAGTGTGACTGCAGCTGTGTCGGGGGCTTCAGGGGGCTGGACTGCAGTAAGCCACCTTGTCAGACCAAGTGTATCAATGGCAAGGTCAACCAGGAGAACTGTGCTTGCTTGTGCACAGAAGGCTGGAGTGGTTCTTCTTGCGGTGAGTTTGCCAGTTGTGTTCATTGGGAACTGGCATCACGCTAGGCACAAAGATTTTGGATGCTATAGTATTGACTGTAGAACGAAATGATTTAGTCATTTTCGTAAACTTTAGAATGTATGAATGTACATAATCCTTTCGCCAGGTTAATATATATGTTTGTGAATGCATTTGGCACCTAAGAGATGTTAAAATACTGCAAACGAATCTTGGCTTTTCGTGTTTGCTTCCCAATGCTAAAGACAACCCAATTACTGTAGCGTTACCGAAGGAGAGAAAATGAACATCTCTCCCTTGAAGATCGGTTAGAATTGATCTTTAGTAACCGATTCTTGTCCCAAGAGGCACTGACAGGAATGATGCGGTCTGGTAGCCTTGTGGTGAAAATGTTCGCTCGTCACACCGAAGATCCGGGTTCGATTCCCCACACGGGTACAATGTCTGAAGCCGATTTCTGGTGTCCCCCACCGTGATATTGCTGCAATATTGCTAAAAGCGGCGTAAAACCATACTCACTCATGGTATCCAACTTGCGCCAGACGATACTTGTGATGTAAACCATTGAATTGTCTTGTTCTGCATTCCGCCATCATATAGCAGGAAAGCAGTGTTAAACATCCGTGTGGATTCTGGGTCAGAATAGTTTCTCGAATAGGCGCGGTAGTTAGGCTGCATTCTGCTGATTGTGTCACTGCATCCATCATCCCAATGACGTGTTCAAGCACTGATAGAATGGAGGGTAAGATTTCTTTGAGCAGATTACTCATGTTGATGGACACGACTTTTCAGAATGCAGTCTCAAATGCAAGAATGGAGGCAAACTGGATGGAGATGCATGTCAATGCACATGCGTGGACGGTTACAAAGGTTCTGATTGCAGCAAGCCTCCGTGCAAGACGGCATGTGTCAACGGGAAGGTCAACCAGGAGACCTGTGCCTGCGAGTGTACTGCTGGGTGGAGTGGTCCCAAGTGTGGTACGTACCAATAGCTAAAGTGGTTATGTGACAGATCTTTCGAAACGTATACTAAAAACCCCATTCTTGGTTTATTGAAGATAAAACAATCATTTACAGTAGACTACGGTTATAACGAACTCAGAGGGACCACTTTTTTTAGTTCGTAATAACCGTAGTTCGTTATAAGCATATATACAGCATGTATACAACAAATGGCCGGGACTTAAACATAAGTTCGTAATATCGGTCAGTTCCTTATATGTGACATATAATGAACATGTGGATGTAATACAACGTGAGTTGTTGCGATAGCATTAATCCTGTCTGTTTAACGCCGCACATAGCAATATTCCGGGTTTATGACGGTGGTCTGAAAATAATCGAGTCTGGAGGAGACAATGCAGTGATTGACATTATGAGCATCGATCCACGCAATTGAGATACAATGACATGCATCAACCAAGTCAGCGAGCCTGACCATCCGATCCCGTTAGTCGCCTCTTACAATCATTGTTTGCTTAAGACATATTCTACCCGGAATCTTCACGGGTGGGAGAGTATAAAGCGCATTAGGTAATCCTCTACTTGACTCTTGAACACTTTTTGCAGATTGCAGCCTGAAGTGTGCCAATGGAGGAAGTTTGCAGAAAGACACGTGTCAGTGTACATGCATTGGGGGCTATCGCGGTGCAGACTGCGAGACGTCACCGTGTACCACTGTATGTGTTAATGGCAAGGTGAACCAGAAGAACTGCGCCTGTGAATGTACCGAGGGCTGGACTGGTCCCAAGTGCGGTGAGTACAGTATCTGTCACTATCAGGGGCCAGCTTGAGGGAGTCCCTTATTGTTTGTATGTGAGCATGCGCATGGGTACATGAGGGCTGACGTAGATTGTATGATTGTGTAAGTTAGATGGTTGCGGATGCATGTTTTAAGGTGTGATTATAGATACACGGGAGGACTAGGGGTTGGGGGACCGGGTGTGCCAATACTGATGTCATATTTTTAAAACTCGTGTTTCCTTTTAATTTTATGTTTCACGCATTTTAATTTATTGTGTCATAGGTCATACTGGATGGACTTTGCACACGAACTACGTAGCAATTTTTATGCTGTACAATGCGTGACACTAATAATAAATTCTTCAATTGAGATTCGTTAACATGAAACAATTAATGTGACTATGCGTGCCTACTGTAAATGATATCACATTTAGAAGTGATACATAAAACAAATTGTCAGCTTAAGTCACCTGAAGGAACTCCGAAAAGGTATGTTCCTCGCAATAAAGCAGTTGACATCGATACCCGATGATAGTGGTAGGGCGTCCACCCGGAGAGCGAAAGGTCCGGGGTTCGATCCCCGTCATAACAAAAGACGTTAAAACATGGTCCTCGTTGTTACCCTGTCTGGCGCTCGGCATTAAGGGGCTAAAACAAAGACTCGTCGGCATGGAGTCAATATACTGTGTCTAAGTGGGTATTCATGTTAAACTGCGGCATGGTATCTCAGTGGGCTTGCACTATAAATCGGCATTAGTCGGGACTAGTACAAGCCGCTACACACACGTGTGCATGCTACAGAAGTGCAATAATCTTTGAACGCGACGTTAACCCCTATTTCACCTCATCTCGCCTGATACTGCGAGCATATGGCTACAACTCACTCACTCTCCTGTATTTTAGATTGTAATCTGAAATGTCAGAATGGCGGCACGCTGGATCAAGCCAAGTGTCGGTGCGCGTGTGCCGGTGGGTACCGTGGCGCTGTCTGCAGCCTGCCGCCTTGTACGACCCCGTGTATCAACGGCAAGGTCAACCAGGAGAACTGCGCTTGTGAATGCAGCCAAGGGTGGAGTGGACCCAAGTGTGGTACGTACATTGTAATTCCATTTTGTTCTTGAAGGTTCATCTATCTTTGTTAATAACGAATGTTTCAAAAATCAACTCTGAACATATTCAAATTTAAGTGATATTTTTTACTTGTTTGCTGGACTCTTTTATGTTGAATTGTGAGTGAGTTCAAATTTAAAGTCGCATCGGCATTATTTTATCCATATAGCGACGTTGAATTGTGATAAACTAGTCAGTTGTGCCTTCTCAAGTCTGTGGCTCATCTTTTGGTGGGAAAGAAACATCTGTAATTTCGTTACTTTTTTCGATTTTTGAAAATCATCTCTATATTACAATATAACAAGAGTATTAAATACTGCTCGATGTTCCTGCGAGGAAATTAAGTCGATGTGAGCTTATAATGTATTATCTTTCAACCATCACCTGTTATTAACAGTGTTCGAAATACCTGCCTGCCCGACCGTCCGAGACGGGTTGATTTCAACTCGGGCTGCCAGATTTTCAAATCCCCCTGCCCGACGGTCGGGTTATATTTCATATGTGAAAATATTCTAAATATTTACCGATGATAAGCATTAATTCACATGTAAAGATGAATGATAAAATGTAACCAAAAAGAAACCCCGTTAGCTTATCCTGAGAAACATATGATTATAGTGGGCAGGCAGGTTTTGGTCAGGGCTGGCAAGTATTTCAGCTAGCCAGTCCTGTGGTCTGGCTGAAACTTTGGGGAGTTTCATACCCTGTTGTTATTCTCAATAATACAAAGGCAAATTTACATAACCTTATCAACGTATAGGTTTGAACAGGTCTGGGTGAGTAATTATGCAGTATAAAATTCCCGTTATCGATACTGGCTCGCTTGTATTAGTAATATTCCACAAGGAGATTCAGATATAATGGGGGCCTTTTTACCCCTCGTCATTGACACCGTCTCGTTTTTAGTTTAAAAATTGCTAAATGCTCTACAACATTTAATGTTATCTGTGGGTAATTTGAGAAAAGTGAAGAATTTATTTGTACATGTTTTCAGATTGTAATCTAAAGTGCTTGAACGGAGGATCGTTGCAGTCGTTCACCTGTGAATGCAAATGTGTTGGTGGCTACCGGGGAGCCGACTGTGGTTTACCACCATGCAAGCCAGGCTGTGTCAATGGCAAGGTCAACCAGACGGATTGTGCTTGCAAGTGTTCGGAGGGCTGGACAGGGTCCAAATGCGGTAAGTCGCCTTTCCAACCTTGATATAACACATCAACGCCAGAGAATAACCAGTCTCGATTATCTCACGAAAGAGGACCGCCTCCGTGGTGTAGTGGTAGAGCATCCGCCCGGAGAGCGGAAGGTCCGGGGTTCGATCCCCGGCCGCGTCATACCAAAAGACGTTTAAAGATGGTACTTGTTGTTACCCTGTCTGGCGCTCGGCATTAAGGGGATAAAAACAAGGACTGGTCGGCTCGGAGTCAGTATCCTGTGTCCGAGTGGGGTATTCATGTTAAACTGCGGCATGGTATCTCAGTGTGCTAGCACTATAAATCGGCATCAGTCCGGTCTAGCACGCACGCACGCACGCACGTACGCACGCACGCACATGCACGTCGCTATATAAGTGCAATAATCTTGGACGTGACGTTAAACCCCATTTCACCTCACCTCACGAAAGAGATTCCATTGACTGTGACGATTATGTGAATGGATCACTGAAAGTCGGTGACAACACCGGGTGTTCGTGAAAGGTATAAACATGTCCTGCTCACATGGTTTGTTGTTTAACGCCGCACTCCGCGATGTTCCAGCTATATGACGGCGGTCTGTAAATAATCGAGTCTGGACCAGACAATCATGTGATTGATATGATCATCGATCTACGCAGCTAAAGGTTATGATTACAAAGTGTAATTCTTGAGTAATCGGCAAATGTTCACTGTTTGGGTGGTAATGTCTGTTGTGCTATTTATTTCAACTGGACCATATAGTGAACAAAAACAGTTTTTGGGATGTTCTGTAGTGGATACTGAGCACACAACTTCGCAAAATAAATCCTTAAATAATCCCGAACCTTTTTTAGATCAGTATATTTCATCAGTTTCAATATTCCTTTTAGCTGCACGTAATTATCAAACTTTAAATAGGATTGGGTGGCACAAGTACTGAACCCGTGATCGTTGGTTCGAATCCTAGAGTCAACAGATAACGTTTCCTGGTTTGGACACATCATGATGTAGCCGAAACAAAAGTATTTAAATCGGCGTTAAAACAGATTACTGAGGTGTTGGTTGTTTGCTCACGCCTTCATATCAGTCAGATATGTGTAACTTGTGTACCACCAGGGGAACCTGACATTTTGGTAGAATAGGTCTTCCGCAACCCATGCTTGTCCGAACAAGCGACTATGCTTGTCGTAAGAGGCGACGAAAGGGATCGGGTGGTCAGGCTCGCTGACTTGGTTGAAGCATGTCATCATCCCAATTGCGTGGATCGATGCTCATGATATCAATCACTGGATTGTCTGGTCCAGTCTCGATTATTTACAGACCGCCGTCAACTAGGTAGAATATTGCTGAGTGCAGCATAAAACCAACCAACCAACCCTTTGCTTCAGACTGCAGTCTTAAATGCGCCAATGGAGGGGCCTTGGACAAGGAGAAGTGTGAATGTGCCTGTGCTGGTGGTTACCGAGGTGCCGACTGTACACTCCCCCCGTGTAAGACGGACTGTGTCAACGGGAAGGTCAACCAGAAGAACTGTGCCTGCGAGTGTACTGAAGGATGGACTGGTGCCAAGTGTGGCAAGTCTTTCTTATTCCATTAAAATTACTTTTCAAAGTACGCATAGAAAACACATGATCTGCGTTTGCTCGAACTGAATATGTATGACTATGGTGGACTTCGTTTTGGCATTCGTAACATGTCAGTATTAGCTAACAGCTACATTTTGTATAAGCCTATATTCCACAAAATTGCCAAGTGGTCACCTGTCACACTTTTTGCAGAGTTGTCTACCCTTTCAGCCTGATTGTGAATCTTTACTTTTCAACACTGGATATTCCAAGTCTTGTTCAGTACGTTAGCAAGAATCACGTCTACCTGTCAATGGTGGCTTTCGTTCCACCTTTAGCCAAAAACACCTTGTCATATAACTGAAATACTGTTAAGCACAACTGACACCGAACCCACGTGCATTTTATAAACAACATCGGCGATGGTTGTCCTTGGTTGACAATGGTGGAATTCAGTGGATAATACTTGGCTCATAGGCAACATCTGTTTTACCTGGTTGATTGTTGCCTTCTAAAGTCTTATGTTGGAATGGAGTGATTTGTTTGTGATACTTGCCAAACATATTCAGATTGCAAACTAAAATACGCTAATGGAGGTATCTTAGACCAGGAGAAATCACCGTTGCATGTAATGCTCAGTGAAATCTGTTTCGGCAGATAATCGAGTCATTTTCTTGCGTTAACATTTTGTATTTAATTGATATTATATATATATACAGACTGTCAACTAACATGCAACAATAACGGGACGCTGGACAGCGACAAGTGCGAATGCACGTGTACTGGTGGCTACCGAGGAGCCGACTGTAGTCTCCCCCCATGTAAGACAGTCTGTGTCAATGGAAAGGTCAACCAGAAGAATTGTGCCTGCGAGTGTACCGAAGGCTGGAGTGGTGCCAAGTGTGGTGAGTTATAACATATAAAAGATCCTTCATCCTGTATCAGTGGCAGTGGGGTAGCCTAGTAGTTAAAGTGTTTGCTCGTCATGACGAAGATCCGGGTTCGATTCCCCACATGGGTACAATGTGTGAAGCCCATTTCTGGTGTCCCCCGCCGTGATATTGCTGGAATATTGCTAAAAGCGGCGTAAAACCATACTCACTGATCCTGTTTCAAGACAATCTATTGTACTTGTCGGCATGTCCTTGGTGTCTCCCGTAGTCTTATGTGAACATGCGTTTTTCAAACGGAACATTGTTAAATCTCAAGTAATAAGCAAGAGCAAAAAATTATATTGTGCATGTGTGTCATTACCATGTTTTTTAGATTGCGGTCGCAAGTGCGGCAATAATGGCACCTTGAATGCGGACAAATGTGAATGCACGTGTGTTGGTGGTCACCGCGGTGCCAACTGTACCAAGCCTCCCTGTACGACGGCATGTGTCAATGGCAAGCTCAACCAGGAGAACTGTGACTGCGAGTGTACAGCCGGGTGGAGTGGTCCCAAGTGCGGTAGGTTTCTTGTGGTTTCAACAGAACCACAACTATATACTTGCATATCGTTCGTTAATGTATGTTACATGCAGGTAATAACTTACATTCTGATAAACAACGCATTTTGACAGTTTTGTTATTTGAGCATATTTTAATGGTATGTCTGCACCACGCTTGTGATTGTTTCACGAAAATTGTAAGTGAGTACTCCCTCATTATTCAGTACTTGGCCTTGGTCTGTCGTATTGGGGCGGTGGGGTAGTGTAGTGATTATAACGCTCCCTCGTCAGGCCGAAGCCCATTTCCTCAATACCACCCCACCTCTATCCCTACAATATTGCTTGAATATTGCTAAAGAGGCGTAAAACTTTACTCCCTCACTCTTGTTCTCGGGGCGGTCGGGTGGCCTAATGGTTAAAGCGTTCGCTCATCATGCCGAAGACCCGGGTTCGATTCCAGACATGGGTACAATGTGTGAAGCCCATTTGTGGTGTCCTCCGCCGTGATATTGCTGGAATATTACTAGAAAACGGCGTAATACTATACTCCCTCACTATTGTCCTCGCTATAAACAGCGTTAAAGCCCAAACACTAGTTCCTGTTTCCGAATCCAGATTGCAGCCTTACCTGTGCCAATGGAGGAACCTTGGATAAAATCAACTGTCGGTGCGCTTGTGCCGGTGGCTACCGTGGTTCCGATTGTTCCAAGCCTCCGTGCAAAACCGAGTGTGTCAATGGGAAAATCAATCAGGAGAATTGTGCTTGCGAGTGTACCAAAGGATGGAGTGGCCCAAAGTGCGGTGAGTTGATTCAGTTTGAGACCCGTGAAGATCCGGGAAGGTGTTCATGATCAGCAACTCTATGCTTGTGGCAAGAGGCGACTAACGGGATCGGGTGGTCAGGCTCGCTGACTTGTTTGATGCATGTCATCGTATCCCAAATGCGTGGATCGATGCCCATGATGTCAATCACTGGATTGTCTGGTCCAGACTCCATTATTTACAGACTGCCGTCATATAGCTGGAATATTGCTGAGTGCGGCGTTAAACAACAAACATGTTAATGTCACAATGGTTGTTGACTACGAGTACTTGTGTTCCAGATTGTGATCTGCAGTGTGACAATGGCGGCAGTTTGAACAAAGAAACGTGCAAATGTACATGTGCCGGTGGATACCGAGGTGCAGACTGTACACAAGATCCATGCACCACAGTATGTGTCAACGGCAAGGTCAACCAGGCGAACTGCGCCTGCGAATGCACGACAGGCTGGACTGGTCCAAAATGCGGTATGCAAATTGAAGCTTACGTGTGCATTGGTTTTGATCTGCATGTATGTACCTTTTCTAATGTAACGATTTTGAGTGACCTGTAAAACTCCATACATGCTGTGTCGGTTGCGATTAGATATGGGGGCACGGGTGGCCCAGTCGTCGAAGGCGCCGCAATTCGCTGTGCAGAGTAGTCCCTTGGGCACACAAGAAACCTATGATTGTGGGTTCGAATCGAGCTTCGTCCCGATTATGTTTCAAAGTTTGTCAGCACCATACCGTGCTCGTGGGTTTCACGGAAGTGGTAAACGTCTGAGACCTGCATCACTTCGGGCTTTTCCCCCACATTAAGCTAACACACCGTAATACAACTGGAATACTGTGAAAAGCAGCGTTTAACCCAACTCACTGCGTTCGGATATTAGTTACTTTGAATGACTTTCGTTTTAATTTCAACCAAATCAAAAAATGCGCTATCACGGGATTCTGGTGCATCACTGGGTTCTTTAGTCCACCGGCGTCGGGAAGGAGTACTAATGCGAGATGTTTGGCAATATATACTACTCAAAACAAGTTAAGGAACACCCACAATTGGAAGGCTGTGTGTTGCAAGACCAACCAGCCATGATAGAGTAACTGTAGTCACATAAAAAAAGTGGGTATTCTTAAACTTCTTTTGAGTAGTATACATTTACATGATTTGAGTGGCGGGCGTTACCGGTACAGCAGCACAAGTTTACCCTTTTCGCGAAGACCTGTCATCATTCGGTGATCTATTGGTATATTTTTCATCACTTTTATGCATGTTACGCATAATTAACTGTTTCGGCAGATAATCGAGGCATTTTCTAACGTTAACATTTTGTATTTGATATTAGACTGTCAACTAACATGCAAAAATAACGGGACGCTGGACAGTGCCAAATGTGAATGCACGTGTGCTGGTGGTCACCGAGGTGCCGACTGCAGCAAGCCCCCGTGTACGACGGCATGTGTCAACGGGAAGGTCAACCAGGAGAACTGTGCCTGCGAGTGTACGGAAGGCTGGAGTGGCCCCAAGTGTGGTATGTAGTTCTTCATTCTTGTTGATACACATTTCAAACGATCCAAACCTGAAGGCGACTTCGCAGGGACAACATAACTTTGCAAACACAATTTGGCACACTAAAAATCTGTTTTCGCACAACATATGTTGATACTTAGCTCCTTCAGCTCTCTCGAATGCCAACGCAATTCTTGCAGCCGATGTAAGATAATATAGTTACTAGTATATCAACGAAATGCCTGATTTGTAAGAAGCGACCAGCGTATATATGTTTGACAACCCTAACAGTCCGAGGACGGCGAGGTTTTGGTCAAAAATGCATTTATTTTTTTTCCCTGCCACGAAATGGGAGGGTGCTGCAGGACGGAGTGTGTCCGTCCGTTTCTCAAAGGGGACAAATTCTGAAACTATTTAAGTCTGAGAAATGAAATTTTACAGTTACTGATCTTGATGCAAAATGAGTTCGAAAATTGGAGTTATGGCCTTGATGTTGTTTTACTTGGTGCAGAGTGTCTGCAATGGGCACAAGTTTTCTCAAACTACCGAAAGTTACATGATTGAAGCTCTGCAAGCTTATCTAAGAGATACATGTAAATTTGTTCTATGAATTATGTTTTTCCCACAGAAGGGGCCTTTTGTTAATTTCACATTTAATATTTTTTTCCTGATGCCATAAAGCGGCCCAAATGACTTAATGCTTTATAAGACTCTTTTTGTGCTTAGTTTATAATTCACTACTATATGAACAAACAAAAATCTAACATGCCCCATGGCGGGGATAGTGATAATGCTGTTTTCTTGTTTAATGTATTTCTCATCTTAATGTTTCGATTTTACTAAATATACACATACACGCATTACTGTTCCGACTTATAAATGCCTCTCAATGACAAACCTGATCACTTGTAACAGTTATTTAATATGAGTTTCGATCGCTTCTCTTTATACAAGTTCTGTTTGTCATGAATGTTGAAGTGTTATGTGACCGATGCACAATGCATTTAACGCTTGTTATTTGCACAATTTGCAACCAGCTCATACCACAAAGTATGACTGATTAAATAGACTGAAATTTCAGTAACAATGTCTTTAGTTGATCTTGTTATTTGTGCAATTTTCAAGCAACTAGCATAAAGTGATACTGAATTTACTCTAACGAAATAGTCAATGTTTGTGCAGTTTGCAAGCACCTCGTCACAAAAGGAAACAAAACCGAATATGAAATTTATCAACATGTTTATGTTCAGTGAGGACAAACATGGCAAATGACTTGAAGTTTTATGAAAGTTAGGATTTAAGCATGATGTTGACGTGAAAACAATGCATTCTTAATACATTTCCCGACATAGATGTTTGCCCACATGGGATATATGAATTTATTTTAGTTTTGTATACAATCTGACAAACTAATACTATCAATAAGAAAATCTATCATCGCTTGTGAAGTTCACTAACATGTCACCAGCTGGAATTTGTCACAGATGAACACGGATTCTAACCAAGCCAGGTCGTCTTTGACATAGAATTCATGGACTGTTTGAGGGACTTCCCACAGAAATGATTAAATCCAAAATCCTGAAGTCATACTATCTAAATGGTGTTCACTAATCACTGCCAGATTCCTCTAATAGTTAACTGTTAACTCTATTACCCCAAACCACCAATACTCAGTATGGTCATTGGTTAATTGTAAAAATCACAAACAAATAAGATCCTGTCTACAAGGTCGCCTCCGATGATTTTCAGTCAGACAACATGAGTCTATATGCATTTCCAATATCCTGTTATAAATAGTGGTATATGATAGAAAACGCATTCTGAATAGACATCTATAGTCCTCCACTAAACTTTACTAATTCTTAAGAATCAATCATTTGATATCGAAACATTTCAATTGTTTGAAATAATTGAAAACATTATGCTTCTGACTGTGTCCGACATTATAATTACATTGTTGCAAGGTGTTTAGTAGTGTGCCCATCGTTTTAATTTTTAAAAAATGGTTTTGCTGGTGTTACTGCAAAAAATATATATTCTCCAGACAAAATGACGTTCGCACGAAGACCTGGGTTCGATTCCGACATGTGAAGCCCATTTTCTGGTGTTCCCCACCGTGATATTGTTGGAATATTGCTGAAGGCGACATAAAATCATTCTTACTTGCCAAGTCCTGTTGATACACAATGATACGAGGTCTACCTTGGACATTTATCCTGCCATCGCCAACAGTTTGCTCTATTGTCTATTAGTGACTCTGGCATTAAATCCAGTTACTGGATGAAGAAATCGGTTTTGTAACTTGCCCTGCAAACTTTTGAACCTTAATTACGTGCACAAATGCTGGTTAGAATCGAACACCTAGTACAATATAATTTCTATGTTTTGTAGACTGTAGCCTGAAGTGCCAGAACGAAGGAACCTTGGACAACGCTGCCTGCAAATGTGCATGTGCTGGAGGTTATCGTGGGCCTGACTGCAGTAAGCCTCCCTGCACAACGGAATGTGTCAACGGAAAGGTCAGCCAAGAGAACTGTGCTTGCGAGTGTAACGAAGGATGGACCGGCCCAACGTGTGGTGCGTTTATTTATTATAATTTATATTTAACTATCGACTGAAATGTTGAAGGCTGATAATGGATGAAACAAATTAACGCGCTAACTGTTTTTACTTCGCCCTTTCAGCCTGTAATTTGAAATGTCAGAATGGCGGAACGCTGGATCAAGCCAAGTGTCGGTGCGCGTGTGCCGGTGGGTACCGCGGCGCTGTCTGCAGCCTGCCGCCTTGTACGACCCCGTGTATCAACGGCAAGGTCAACCAGGAGAACTGTGCTTGTGAATGCAGCCAGGGATGGAGTGGACCAAAGTGTGGTAAGTACATTGTAATTTGATATGGTTCTTGGAGGTTCACTTGCCTTTAAATTAATGTGAATAACAAATGTTTCAAAGAAAAACTGTACATCTTCAAATTTAAAGTGAAAATGTTTACTTGTTTCCAGGACAATTGTGTACTATTATATTAGCTTCGTGGAGCTGATCATTCTGATACTTCAGGGGCGGTTGGGTAGCCTAATGGTTTAAGCGTTCGCTCGCCACGCCAAAGACCCAGGCTAGAATCCCCACATGGGTAAATTGTGTGAAGTCCATTTCTGGTCTGCCCCTACGTGATATAACCTGAATACTGCTAAAATCGGCGTACAACCATACTCGCTCAACAATAGTACTATTGCTTGCAAAAATGAAAAGTTAAATCTGTATATAGAACAGTTTCAATGCTTGCATTTTAGACTGCAGTCTTAAATGCGCCAACGATGGTACTTTGGACAAAGACAGCTGTACATGTACCTGCGCGGGTGGATATCGAGGAGCCGACTGTACGCAACCCCCTTGCAAGACAGAGTGCATCAATGGAAAGGTCAGCCAGAAAAACTGTGCTTGCGAGTGTACCAAAGGATGGTATGGTCCTAAATGTGGTGAGTTGGATGGTGGGTTCTTCTAAAAGTTTGATACTTCTACGGAAGCAATTTCCGGGAAATGACTTCAATGTGCCGATTTTTTTCACGTTGCTGAATGGCAATATGACCTTTATTCGCTTTTTAATATACAATCAATATTGTCCATATTTACAGACTGCAGTCTTGTGTGTCAGAACGGAGGCACTTTAAACACCGAGAATTGTCAGTGTGCATGTACTGGCGGTTATCGGGGAAATGATTGTGGTCTTCCACCATGCAAGACGGATTGTGTTAATGGCAAGGTCAACCAGAAGAACTGTGTGTGCGAGTGTGCAGAAGGCTGGAATGGTCCGAAATGCGGTTAGTTTTTAAAAGCATATTTATTCATATTTTGAACTTTCCTCCAGGTCTTTACCAAATGTTACAAAAACATTTACAGCTTATTCGTTAATGTCGATGTCATTTGTATAACATGGTGACACTTACTGCCAGTGATATATTTTTAACTTCTTTGGTCTTAATGTAAGCTTAATGGAAAGCTGCACCTGCCCGGAGACCGGAAGGTCATTGGTTTGATGCCCTGGCCATACAAAAAGGCGGGGTGTGGGGTGGGTTGATATTTTCATTAAAACGAGGGTGATATCCTCAGTAAAACCAGCGTGATAAGCTCAGTAAAACTGGCATGATATCCTCATTAAACGCAGAGCTTAACCCAGAAATTAGTACGTTGATAACTACATTGCCAAATCAGATGACCAAAACCAATGAATACTTAAGAAATTATATTGAAACGCATAAGGTTGTAAATCATCAAATGCAATTCAATGGATCAAATTTGCACCAATACCTAACTGATCCCATGTGTATGTACTCACAAATGTTCAGAGTGCCATCTTCAAATGTCTTGAATTCACCTTCTGCAAGTCAGCCTAAGTGGAAACCGTCACATTACAAAACTGCGCAAGGATCAAGTCTCATGTTCGGCCACAATATCATTCTACATTTTACGCGCAATTGTTATACTTTTTTTTAAAGATTTGATACATTTGATACATTTGTTTATTCGCTTTTTTCGTGTTTTTCATCGGTTCCCTTTCAAATTGAGTTGAATTTTATACTTCTTTCAATACACAGTCGTCTGTGAGACGAGTGTCAACGATCCATATTGACGCATTCTCGTTTTGTCCCTTATACTTTCATAAATAACGTGGTCTGAAATATCTTTTACAGTTAATTCATAACAATTGATAGTGTTGCGTAGCTGTCCACAAAGCGATCTTAAGCGCTACGACTGGCACAATGCCTATAACAATGACTTATGATCGTCAGTGCAAGGAAGTCTTGCTGGAACACGACCATCAAATTGTGGTAGCTGCCTAGTTTCAAAACTTCTCCAGGAACAGCCGATTATTTCGTCAACTATTATGTTGTGAAACAGTTATGAAAATTACTAAACTGCTACAGATTGCAACCTCAAATGTTTGAATGGTGGAACCTTGGACAAAGACAACTGCACGTGCGCATGTGCGGGTGGCTATCGGGGAAAGGATTGTAGCAGGCCTCCATGCACGACAACCTGCGTCAATGGCAAAGTGGACCAGGAGACCTGTGCTTGCAAGTGTACAGAAGGCTGGACTGGGCCAAAGTGTGGTGAGTTCAGGTTTCCAGCCAAATACTCGAAGTGACCCGAGGGATGGAAAAGCAAGGGTATTCAAAACAGACCAATATATGTGTTTATACCTTCAGAGGAACAGTTTTGGAGTATATGCTAACTTCAACAGGTGAATGAATGTTAGATGCAGAAAACATAAATGTACATATAAGATGACAAAGGTAGAACTTGACAAAGAAGCCAACAGTTAATTGGCGCTGATTGGTGATTAGCAATGGCCAAATGGAAAGCAGCCTGATTAGTCTTGATGGGGAGATAATGCATCAGATATATGGTGGCACAGATTAATTAATTAAATCAGTAGTGAAGCACTGCTAATTAACACTCCTGCCTTCCATTTATCTATTGGTTATTACCTGCCCGTGCTAATTGAACTATGTAAGCATATACTCCGAAACGTTGTTCCACAATATAAAGAAGTTGACATTAATATATTCTCATGTGCTTCACTTCTAAATGCCATTCAAAGAATTGATTATTGTGTCAAAAGGAAGGCTGCATCTTTTTGATTATGTACTGAAAATTAAATGATGTGAATTTGCCGTTAGATTGCGGGAGGAAGTGCGGCAATAATGGCACCTTGAATGCAGACAAATGTGAATGTACGTGTGTTGGTGGTTATCGTGGTGCCGACTGTACCAAGCCTCCCTGTACGACGGCATGTGTCAATGGCAAGGTCAACCAGGAGAACTGTGACTGCGAATGTACATCCGGGTGGAGTGGTCCCAAGTGCGGTAGGTCTTAAATACTCTATCGAAAACCTTGCAAAATGACGTTTAGTAGGAGATAAGAGCATGACACTATTTTATGGCTGGCTCTACTGCAAGCACTTGATAAAGATGTTTTAGATAAAGTATGTATCTGTAAATATGAGGTAGGTAACGTAACATAATAGTGCAATGGCGTTTTTCGTTTCCAAGATTGCAAGCTGAGCTGCGCCAATGGAGGGGCCTTGGACAAGGAGAAGTGTGAATGTGCCTGTGCTGGTGGTTACCGAGGTGCCGACTGTACACTTCCCCCGTGTAAGACGGACTGTGTCAACGGGAAGGTCAACCAGAAGAACTGTGCCTGCGAGTGTAGCGAAGGCTGGAGTGGCCCTAAGTGTGGTAAGTATGGCAAATGATGATGCATTCTGATTTTCAAACTTTTGGTATACTTGCAGATGTCGGACCAAACATACCAGGATTCTATGTATAAAAGTTTAACAATAATTTTTTGTCCTTCGTAACGTATTATTGATCCATAAATGTCTTCTATGCCACGGATTATAAATAAAAAAATTAATGAGCACAACGTTCTTGGGGGACATCTTGCCCCTTTTTATCAGGCGAATGACAGGGTGGGAGAGCATGACACATCAAGTCTGTTATGTACTGCAGCCAAGGACGTTAAACTCTGAACCACACGGTGCAGACGGACAACCTAAGCGCTCAATACTTTAGGAGCGCCTGGGTCGTTTGCTACTGATAGTCTTTAGAAAATAACAACATACTGGATAAGAATGAAGATGCACCAACTTTGTTTCCCTTTTTGGAAAATATTTGTTTAAAATTAGTCATGAGGGTAAGAGTCTTCATTACCCTTTGTTTACCCAATTATAGTCTTTGTACAATTTAATGCTACTGTAGCTTCAAAATATGTTTCAAAAGATTCTTGATTATGTTGCTCTGCATGGCGTCCCTTATACTGTCAGATATCACATTAAGGGAGAATCGGCTGGTTACATGGCACTCCTGTGGTATTGACCATTGAACCTCTCGAATACTGGTTTGCCTGGTCCAGCCTCATCTGAAGCAATGATTATAGCAGGGAGAGTTGCCACTGCACCGTTAATTAACATACCTAACTGGAAATGATCACAATCAGTTTATACAATGACATATTTGTCTTTGCTTATTACCCAAGTAACACAGATAATATTTAAGTTTAATGCAGTGTTGATACAATTGTTATTCACTGGCTTTTGAAGAAAGTAAAGCCATTATAAGATACCATATTACTCCTGTGTGCCTTGTCCTCATCACATACTAGCATCTAGATACATAATAGTGCAAATTTCCAAAATTGTAATAACAGATCTAGAATGCAACTCTATTTTGAATGGGGAAAAAAATCGCTGATCTGGAGAGTATAGTTAGCACATCGACTAAACACGGTGTGGTCACCTCGTTTCAACTGGGACGTGTATGTCTAAAATATAAGCAACTAACTCGTTCCCTGGCCATTAGTGTATGTGATTGTCCACAACTTATGTAGATGTTGGATAGAATTCAAATTTTGCTGTGAGTTTCATTGGCGTCATCAACCAAAAACAATATAAATAAATATTGCAACTGTTAAAGAACGTCTGAAAACAGACATGCTTGATAAGCAGTTGTTTGAAGCAATTTACACCAATGATAGAAGCTGCGATCATGACGTCATGATAGTCAAGCTGAAACATTATTCAAAGTGGCCTTCAGCCACACTCGCTCACTGCAATGAACTTACAAGTAGTTTATGGCAATGTACACACATACATTTATGGATAACTGAAAGTTAAAAAGGCTCCACTGACCCTTCTTCTACACAGCATATCAAGGCAGGACGGGGTACCTTGGGTATCGCTGTTTAAAAGTGATTTGGTGTTAAAAAGAAAGTGACGCAAATAACCGCTTCCGTGGCCAAGGGTATACAGCTTTGTACTGACAAGATGGTACTTGTTACCATGCCTGGCGCTAAAAACAAGGACCGATTGTCTCGGAATAAGTAGACTATCTGTGGTGGGGTATCCATGTTAAACGGCAGAAAGGTACTTCCGGGATCTAGAACTACATTAGACTTGCACGCACGCAGATCACAATGCAGACCCAAGTTCAGTCCATTTCGTTTTAATGTACATGGAGCCTAGAAATACGCAAACTTTCACCGGGACCTGTGTATCAAACGAACGAACGAAATGCAATTCAGAATTTGAATTGTGCTTTTGTTTTTGTCTTTTTCGCCCTGAGTCTACACATGACAAAACAGAACATGATCAGATACTAGTGTACATCAACTAGGAGATGTATGAAAAAGTAACAATTGTTTGAAACGTATAAATAAATGCCAACACATGCATAGTATTGTCATTGCAGACTGTGAACTCAAATGTGCCAACAACGGTACCTTAAACAAGGACACCTGCCAATGTGCCTGTACTGGTGGCTACCGCGGAACTGACTGTGCACAACCTCCCTGCAAGACAGCATGTGTCAACGGGAAGGTCAACCAGAAGACATGTGCCTGTGAATGCACAGAAGGCTGGACTGGTCCCAAGTGTGGTACGTGTTAAGTTTGGTGTTTCTCGGATACAGTGTCTGGTTCTTAAATCTAACCTTTTCTAATTTGTTTCGAAAAGAAACTTTTGGAATGACTAAAATTATATACCTGTGGACGTTTGGGCAATTGGCATTTGAGACTGCCAACTTGCTTGAAAGAACCGCGGGACCTTAGACAAGTTGAAGTGCCGTTTCATACATGCATGACAGAAATTTGATAGTTTGACCTCTAAAAATACTTTTTAGCCTAATCATTGTGTTAGGATAGGCCAGATTAGGTAGATTTGCGAAATAGTTATTTCCCTATGATTTGTGTTCATCAAATGAAGCCAGAACAAAACTTTGTAGCATTTCCGACGGTATTTTAAGCCTATTACAAGGGATATTAAGGAGCTGTTTAAATTTTCAGATTGCAGTTTAAAATGTGCAAATGGAGGAACACTTGACAAGGACAAATGCGAATGCACCTGCGCTGATGGATACAGGGGTGCAGATTGCACCAAGCTTCCATGTACGACGGTCTGTGTCAACGGGAAGGTCAACCAGGAGAACTGTGCCTGCGAGTGTAGCGAAGGCTGGAGTGGTCCTAAGTGTGGTGAGTAAAGACGTTTTGGAGTGGACCGACTTGTAAGTTGTGACAAGTGTATTTACGATCTTTACTTTAAACTTTAAAGAAATTTTGAATGAAATTAAATAGGTTACAAACATTATTCTAGATATACAATGAACACTTTTTGTAACCATACAGTGTAATTACAAGATTACATTGTGTACCCCAGTACAGATTTGTTGACATGGTATTTCCGGTGTTACTCATTGCCAATGACTGTACGTGCTCACGGTAATGTCTCTGCGTTGGGGGCAGAAACATCAAAACTCATTATAGCGTGTATAATGCGCACCCCCTTCTACACAGCAGTTGGTTTTTTTTGGAAAAAGGTGCGCACTATACTCAAGAAAATACGGTAGTTACAATGTGATCTTTCATAGATTTCAAGAAAAATCATGAAGAAAAACACAATGGAAACTATGAAAGTAGTAAGTAATACGCTAGTGTATTCCCAAATTGAAACAATGTTAACCCAGAAATCCGTACGTACATTATGACTTTGTGTGTAACCAACAACCAACCAACTAACAAATGGAATACAAACAACAAATGTATTACGAAATTAACTAGGTTTACAAATCAATACAAGTTACTGCACAGCAACTACAATATCAGAACACAATAGTGGCAGTACAATATTCAATGACAGTATTTGATAATATGGCAGTGGTCAGTATCAAATACGAAAACACGATGGTGATAGCAAAAGTCAGTGGTAAAAGCATGTGCACCTAGGTGCGACAGTGGTCAAGCTTCCGAGAAGGGCCGAGGCAAGGAGTGATCTTCACACGAAAGCTGGTCTTTATGTATTGAAATGTGTTAGATATGAGTGACAGGCTCTTGTCCCCATATTTACAGTCTAACTAGCTTCTGGAAATTTCTACACAGTGCCATCTCATCACCATATTCCACATGTTTCCATAACACTATCACAGTCCATGGTATTCCATTCCGGAAGTTTACACATCACACTAGCATCTAAATATAGGAACTTCCACAAAACTGCTTACATTAAATAGTACTAAATTCCTGACTACTAATCACTGTCAAAATACAATACAACGAGCTTCTACCGAATCTCAACAGAAATAATGTAATACAGTTACAATCATTGTGTAACAATAAAGTACACTGCCACCTAACAGTATATAGAATTCTATATGGGGCTAAAAAATAAGTCTTGGTTCTCAGGCACTGCCCAGATCATCATAAGGTTCATTGTACGTTTCGTTTGTTTCCATTTTCATTTTTTGTGTGCATTGTGTTTAAGTATTAGGATTTTGGTATATATTTTTGAAAATGGAAATAAAAAAACAAACATGCTGCAGACATTATGATGATGCGGGTGGTGCCTGAGAACCAAGACTATTGTTTTTTTCGCCTGGACTTTGGCATTGTATTCCCATACTTAAAACATACATTACCAAGACTTTACAAAGAACATTCATTTTGATTTTCTACTGCGCTCCTGCACATAAATGTTTGTCAAATTAACAATGCTTATTGCAGTCTGAAATCCGAACGATAGTACCCAATACGAACCTTATCTTTGAATCAGATTGCAGTCTTAAATGCGCCAATGGAGGATCGCTGGACAAGGAGAAGTGTGAATGTGCCTGTGCTGGTGGTTACCGAGGAGCCGACTGTACGAAGCCGCCATGTAAGACAGAATGTGCAAATGGAAAGGTCAGTCAGGAAACCTGTCTCTGCGAATGTACACACGGCTGGACTGGACCCAAGTGTGGTAAGTTGATGGGCGGAGTTTTTTAACAAAACTGTTCAGTTGGTCCTCTAACTCTATAGTTACCATTTGCAACCTCGTTCTTATATGAATGAGAAAACCGACGGCTTTTTTATTCATACCTTGTTACCATCACTAATACTACTCAAAATGTTTGACGTGCACGCAATTATTTCATGTCATATGAAAGAATCGGGTGTCCAACTTCTATTGAGTGGTATTGAGTATGAAATAGCCCCATAAGGATCAGGGATAGAATAGGTCTTCAGCAACCCATGCTTGCCGTAATTGGCAACTATGCTTGTCAGAGGTGACTAACAGGATCGGGTGGTCAAGCTCGCTGACTTGGTTGATGTAGATCCACGCAATCGGGATACGATGACATGCATGTATGCTCATGATATCCATCACTGGATTGTCTGGTCAAGGCTTGATTATTCAGACCGCCGTCATATAGCTTGAATATTGCTGAGTGCAGAATTAAACAACAAATAAACGAATCGGAATGAAATGATATATTTCGATTTTGATTTATTCATACAACTGATTTCTATGTGCATGAGCATCAGTGTCAACCTAAACTATTGTGGAATAAAGATTGTTTTAAAATTATGTAGATTGCAACCTTAGCTGTAAAAACGGAGGAACATTGAACGAAAAAACATGTCAGTGCGCATGTACTGGCGGCTACCGTGGGGCCGACTGCAGTCTTCCTCCCTGCAAGACAAAATGTGTCAATGGCAAGGTCAACCAGAAGAACTGTGCCTGTGAATGCACAGCCGGATGGACTGGCCCTGCCTGTGGTAAGCATAGTTGTATTGCAAATAGTAGTAAATAGGCAGGTGAATAATTGACTTACCTTCGCAAGTGTTTGTGACGGTGCCACCGGTACAGCATGTGCTCACTTTTGCAGAGTGTTGGTGGGGTAGCAGAGTGTTGGTGGGGTAGCAGAGTGGTGGTGGGGTAGCAGAGTGGTGGTGGGGTAGCAGAGTGGTGGTGGGGTAGCAGAGTGGTGGTGGGGTAGCAGAGTGGTGGTGGGGTAGCAGAGTGGTTAAGTGTTCATCCGTAAAGCCAAAGGCCCCGATTCGATTCCCCATATGTACAATGGATGAAGCAATTATTGGTGCACATCCATACTGATGGAATATTGCTGAAAGCGGCATTAAAGCAATACTTGCTCATCTTTTCGCGAACACCTTGTACCATCACCATCTCATAAGGCATGTCTATGATATAGTGTGATCTTACAATGTTCTCTGCTTTTAGCAGAGATTTATCATTATGAACAGTTTTATTGCCAAGCAGAACGATTAAACTGACTGGCACTTTTGCTGAGGATCAGGATGTTGGTGCCCTTAAGCTGTATGCTTGATAAGCAGTTTTAAATGCTTGGAGTGACAATTTTGGAAGATATTGCGAATCATGTCGTCAGCATTGTCATAAGGGCATTATCAGGCGTTACAGACGTAGAATACCAACGGTATCTACAGCTGTAGTTTGGGCTCACGAATGCTGACCTTAACAAAGGATTGTTATCGCTTTGTATATCATTGTCCAAGAAACCTGCTTCATGGCACATTACATTTTCGTTTCAGATTGCAGTCTTAAATGTGAGAATGGAGGTACGCTTGACAAGGAGAAATGCGAGTGCAGTTGTTCCGGAGGCTACCGCGGAAATGATTGTACCCTTCCACCATGCAAGACGGATTGTGTCAATGGCAAAGTCAACCAGCAGAACTGCGTATGTGATTGTACGCAAGGTTGGAGTGGTGCGAAATGCGGTAAGTGTTCTTAAGTGTTATCATTTATGCCCTCATACTGTTGGCACATAATTTGATGTCGTCCTTGATGCGTGCATATATTTACTTCATTTCATTGGAGGGGGCACGGGTGGCCCAATCGTCTAAGGCTCCGCGATTCGCTGTGCAGAGTTGCGTCCCTTGGGCACACCTAAAACCTAAGATTGTGGGTTCGAATCCTGGTTCGCCCCGATTGTTTCTAGGTTTGTCAACACCACAGCCATGCTCGTGGGTTTTGCCGAAGTGGTAAACGTCTGATACGTGCATCACTTCGGGCTTTCCTCCCACTTTAAGCTGTCACGCCATGATATAACTGGAATAATGCTAAAAGCGGCATTAATTCCAACTCGCTCATTTCATTGGAACAAGCCAAATTTCATGTGTTAGCATTTGATCACAAGTCATGGGTGTGAGATCCTATCACAAGTTCAAATGTTTAACAGGATTCAGGTGCACGTTCCAAACCTTCCTCACAAAAGTACTATCGGAATGCTGGAAAGATCCTTTTTGCCCGTTAAAACAAGATAGAATGTTTCACAGTATATCACGGTAGTTCAGTCAATTTACAAGGAGAAATAGTTCAGTCCAATGAGGGAAGACTAAAACGGAATATAGAAATATACGCGTGCAACTCTGCTATGATAATAATCATGTAGTATTTACAAAACATCTAATCCACAAAAACAAATCTGTCGGAGAAATTCAAGATGTGCATCTTAGAAAATAAGAAAATGACTCTGCACTTGTCGACACTGCTCCCATAATGCATGTTGCATTACACGTGCGTAGCCATGGTACACGACATGGAGTCTGTATACAAGTTATTTACACTTGAAATGGAAACCATTTATTAGTTTAGATAGGGTGAATTACCGAACTTGTCCAAGCTCGGGGGCTTTCATACCAACAAATCTACGGTATGATACATAAAACAAAGTTGTTGTCTCAAAACCAAAACCGGGACGTAAAAGGATACTAGACTGCTTTGATACAGGGGTGATTAGGCGTACAGTGTACAAGCTTGGAGCTGATGGTATGCCAACTTGTAGTAGATTACGGGAGGAAATTAAAGAAACAATTTGTTTCCTGGACTACATTAATTATTGGTCCATATGAGATGGGTAATCGATACACTGCACGTGGCAATGACAGCAGTTTTCAGGTGAAATATTCCGTTCTGTCTGTGGTCACATTATCAACTCACCGTTCATGACTATCACAGTCAGGGCTTCCAGATCATTATCGGTCTGTAAATAACTGAGTCTGGACCAAACAATCCAGTGATTGATAACATGAGCATCGACCCACGTGATTGGTATCGATGACATGCATCAACCAAGTCAGCGAGCCTGACCACCCGATCCCGTTAGTCGCCTTTTACGACAAGCATAGTCGCCTTTTACGGCAAGCATGGGTTGCTAAAGACCTATTCTACCCCAGATCTTCACTGGCCGGGTAGCCTAGTGGTTAAAGCGTTCGCTCATGCCGAAGACCCGGGTTCGATTCCCGACATGGGTTCATATTGCTAGAATATTGCTTGAAGCGGCGTAAAACCATACTCACTCAATGAAATACAGTAACATGATTATCTTGAGACCACGCCCAACTCAGATGACATTAACACCTGTGAAATCACCTCAGAACAGGTGTTAGGTAATTACCTCAGTCTGTAGGCCGTTTCATAGATGTATGACAGAAGTTTGATAGCTTTACCGCTAAAAATACCTTTATTTTAGCCTTATCGGTGGCTTATCGATTCGCTGTGCAGAGTTGCGTCCTTTGGGAACGCCAGGATCCTATGATTGTGGGTTCGAATCCCGGTTCGGCCTGATTATGTTTCTAGTTTTGTCAGCACCATACCCGTGCTCGTGGGTTTCACCGAAGTAGTAATTGTCTGAGACCTGCATCACTTCGGGCTTTGCTCCCACATTAAGCTGACACGCCGCGATATATAACTGGAATACTGTTAAAAGCGGCGTTAAACCCAACTCACTCACTTAGTTAGGATAGGCCAGATTAGGTAGATTTGCGAAATATTTATTTCCCTATAATTTGTATTCATCAAAAGAAGAAAACTTTCTAGCATTTTCCGACGGTATTTTAGGCCTATTACAAGGGATGTTAGGGAGCTGTTTAAATTTTCAGATTGCAGTTTAAAATGTGCAAATGGCGGAACACTTGACAAGGACAAATGTGAATGCACCTGCGCTGGTGGATACAGGGGTGCGGATTGCACCAAGCTTCCATGTACGACGGTCTGTGTCAACGGGAAGGTCAACCAGGAGAACTGTGCCTGCGAGTGTAGCGAAGGCTGGAGTGGCCCCAAGTGTGGTAAGTATGGCAAATGGTTTTACATTCACATTACCAAACTGAGACCTCAAGTCATTCAGAACAGCTTTTAGAACTTCAGGGACCTTAAGTACTTGCCCTTGGTGATGTTTGACCTGGGCTCAGATGGAACAGCAGCGCAACTAGTATTTGTATAAACATAGCAGAAGGAACATGTATTGACGTTGCAGATTACATTTCGCATGGAACCTGTATTCATTTGTGCATTTCTCAAGCTCTTTTTGGGGGGGTAAAACTGAACGAACATTATTTCATGTAGTTAATGTTACAAGCAATTCTGCGAAACTTTCCAAAGTGTTGCCATGGTATGGAGAAGAGATGTAGCTTTTTTTGGTATTTATTGGATATTTATTTGTGTGTAAATACTCCATTTATCACACATGACGTATGGTTGTAGCAGTTGTGCTTTCTACTTCTTCGAATCTAACAGCATGGTGTTAATTCCAGATTGCAGCCTCACATGTTCAAATGGGGGAACTTTGGACAAGGACAAGTGTCAGTGCGCATGTGTAGGGGGACACCGTGGAGCGGACTGTACCAAACCTCCGTGTACAACCGACTGTGTCAACGGGAAGGTCAACCAGGCGAACTGTGCCTGTGAATGTAATAAAGGCTGGAGCGGGGCAAAATGCAGTAAGTTATTTAGAAGTATAGCCTTTATTTGGTCGTGTTGCATAGTTTACGTAGATTGCCCAAGCACTCGCATTCCTTCAATACGTATCCGAGTAAAATGACTGAAGTATCTTTTTATTGCTTGGAAGATGAAAAGCACAGTGTCTGGTGGCATTGGTTGGGTAGTGTGATCAATGGTAACACATTCATTCATTCGGATATTGTATGCAAGACTCGCCTTTCTGTGGCATTTGTGGGATATAGGTTTGCGTTCACAAATTGAAACAGCAATGGAAGTTTTAATTGCCTCGGCCAACTCTTCCATGAATAGTCTTTAACAAGTGTCTGATGCAGACTGCATGACTTCCATATAAATGCAATATGTGACTTTACCATTTAGATTGCGGTCGTCAGTGCGGCAATAATGGCACCTTGAATGCGGACAAATGTGAATGCACGTGTGTTGGTGGTCACCGCGGTGTCAACTGTACCAAGCCTCCATGTACGACGGCATGTGTCAATGGCAAGGTTAACCAGGAAAACTGCGCCTGCGAGTGTACTGCTGGGTGGAGTGGTCCCAAGTGCGGTAGGTGTTTATACTTACTACAAACCAGTGTGGTTTTTGCCTCTGGCATGTATTCCTTGGATTTAGTAGCTTAAAGTAGTATAAACATGTTCAATATATACGGTCACACCAATGTTTAACCCGCATCTGTGTCAGAGAATAAAAACCTTATGGTTACTTGAAGGATTGCAAATCATTGCATCTCTCGCTGACAGATTTTGTCTGTATACAGTAAACTACATTTATAACGAACATTCTTATAACAAACTGACCGATATAACAAACTCATTTTTTAAGTCCAGGGCATTTGTTTTATATATAATGTTTATATTCTTATAACGAACTACGGTTATTATGTCTCCCCCAGAATGGAGGGAGACATATTGTTTTTGGCACGGTTCCCGTCGGCGTCGGCGTCGGCGTCGGCGTTTCCACCGTTTCCGGACCATAACTCAGAAATCGTTTAATATTTTTTCGCGAAACTTTGTATACACATTAACCCAGCACTGAAGTGGTGCCTTTTGCTATTTAGAGATTTTTGACATTTTTATTTTTTCTTGTTTCCATGGAGATAAGTTGAACATAGGCTCTGAATGGGGGTAAGCTTTGTTTCCTGACCTTAACTCAGAAACCGTTTAATATTTTTTCGCGAAACTTTGTATACACATTAACCCAGCACTGAAGTGGTGCCTTTTGCTATTACAGTTTCCATGACATCACATATGTCATTGTGTAGAAGACCTGCAGAGTCAGATACACGGGCAATTACATCACAGAGACTTTCCTTTGTGCCATATAACATTGCTACATCATTTCTGATATGTTGGGGATATTAATATATTTGTGTCCAAACTCTATTAGTACTTTAAGTGGATTTTCTACAAATACTTCAGTAACAAGAAAACTGCTACTTAGATGACTACACTGTCAGGTGGGTAAATGATTGAGGGATTAGTGGTGTTGATTAGACGCTGAAGTGGTGCCCATTAGTTGTTTGAAATTTCTAGTTCTTTTTTTGTCTCTGTTATTTAGTAATGGAGGGTGGGAATGAAGAGATGGGGTTAAACGTGAAGTAAACGAATGAATGGGGGTTAGGGGAGTGGGGGGAGACATATGTTTTTACGAGTAAAAACACTTTCTAGTTACGAACTAAAATTAGTGGTCCCTTTGAGTTCGTGATAACCGTAGTTTACTGTAGTCCTCAGAAGAAGCTAAAGAAACCTGATTCTGTCATCTATCCTGCCAAGACATTAACTATAGTAATATATGAACGAATCAGGGTTGTCCTTAACTTTGTATGAGTAGTATATAAAATGTTATAAAATGGACGCTCCCATCACCATGCAGATGACTCTCATCACAAGGAAACATTGTCCATGCAACATAAAGTGGCCACTAGGTAGTAAGGTTGTTTCGTTTTATAAGGCAAATTCTGTGCTGATAGATCACTTCATTTTCAAGATTGCAAGCTGTCATGTGCAAATGGAGGAAAGTTGGATAGCACTAAGTGTGAGTGCGCCTGTGCTGGTGGCTACCGAGGAGCTGACTGTAGTCTACCACCGTGTAAGACGGAATGTATCAACGGGAAGGTCAACCAGACGAATTGTGCTTGCGAGTGTACAGATGGTTGGACTGGCCCAAAGTGTGGTAAGTGTCATTTTGGAATTGCTCTATTGGAACCTGGTATCATTTTTGTTAGAGGCGGGATCGGGTGGTCAGATTCGCTGACTTGGTTGATGCGGGTCATCGTATCCCAATTGCGTAGATCGATGCTCATGATGTCGATCACTGGATTGTCTGGTCTTGATTTTGGTTATTTATGGACCGCCATCATATAGCTGAAATATTGCTGAGTGCTGCGTGAAACAACAAACAACATATAGGGCTGCTTCTTCAGACTGTGACATGGCTAAGGTATTGGGCCCCAAAGCCAATGAGAATTGCTTCTACACTCACAGCTTTCCCTGGTCTTTGTATTACAGGCAGCAATGATATTTCTGCCCAGTGAACACTTCAACGGTGATCAAGAGCGCCTCCGTGGTCTAGTGGTAGTGCCCGCCCGGAGAGGGAAAGGTCTGGGGTTCGATCCCCGGCCGTGTCATGATGAAAGACGTTACAAGATGGTACTTGTTAACCTGTCTGGCGCTCTGCATTTAGTGTCTAAAACAAGGGCTGGTTGGCTCGGAATCGGTATACTGTGTCTGAGTGGGGTTAAAGCATGGTATCTCGGTGAGCCAGCAATATAAATTGGCATCAGTCCGGACTAGTACAAGCGCACGCACGCACGCCGCTATATAAGTGCAATAATCTTGAATGAAGCGTTAAACATTTCATCTCACCTCACCAGTGGTCATACTTAATGATTAAGTACGTGAATAACTGATTTGGTTTTATCTGATCCCTGTGTTTGTGTAGTTGAAAGAACTTGTATTTCCAACGTTTATTGCAACTATTACAGATTGTGACCTCAAATGTGCCAATAACGGTACCTTAAACAAGGACACCTGTAAATGTGCCTGTGTTGGTGGCTACCGTGGAGCTGACTGTGCACTACCTCCCTGCAAGACAGCATGTGTCAACGGGAAGGTCAACCAGAAGACGTGTGCCTGTGAATGCACAGAAGGCTGGACTGGTCCCAAGTGTGGTACGTAGTTTGGTTTTAAAAGGAATATTTCTGTAAAGATTAAAAGAAAGGATCTGTATACATGAACTGCATCAGTCCAATTCGAAATCTGTATTTCTTTTGGGGAATATACATAGACTTGATTATATGTAATAAAAATCGCTACTTTTGAGGGGGACATTTCTTGAAATAACCACAAAGTCGCTATTAAAATTTTAGCTATGTATTTTTATCAATGCCAGACTGCAAACTCATCTGCAAGAACAACGGAAGCTTGGACAGTGCCAAATGTGAGTGCACGTGTGTTGGTGGTCACCGTGGTGCTGATTGCAGCAAGCCTCCCTGTACAACGGTCTGTGTCAACGGAAAGGTCAACCAAGACAACTGTGCTTGTGAGTGTACTGAAGGCTGGAGTGGTCCTAAATGTGGTAAGTAATATTTAGGGAAGACCTGATCTGATGTGATATTTATGCAGTTTTGGTGTAATTTCCATTCATTTGGAAGGGATTATGTCATTTGTGAAAGTAAAACAAAGCCTTTTTAATGAATAGGAACTGCATCGTATTTTACGATTTGGAAAAGGGACATCAATCAAACGATCACAATTTAACATAATAGAAGTATTCCCATAATTATATTCTGTAACTCATTTACTGTTTACTATTAACGTAAATGATCAAAAACTGTTTCAATCCCTTTTGATGTAGATTGCAGCTTGAAATGTGGGAATGGAGGAACCTTGGATAAGGAGAAATGTCAGTGCACCTGTGTCGGTGGCTACCGAGGAAACGACTGTACTCTTCCTCCATGTAAGACGGATTGTGTCAATGGCAAGGTCAACCAGAAGAACTGTCTGTGTGAATGTACAGAAGGGTGGAGTGGTGCAAAGTGTGGTACGATTCTTTGCATAATTTATGAATATTAATTGTTTTTGGCCAGTTTATTAATCACATACGTACAGGACCAGTAAGTTACATGGAAGATGTTTAGAACCTTGACAGGTTGGAAATTTTCCATGGAATTTATGAAAAAATGGCCATGAAAAATTTCGAATTCACAACTACATGTCAACAGCTGATGCCCTGCTGTATATCAGGTAAATGTCACATGAATTCAAATTGGTTATCACATGACAACACTTGTTTGAAAAATTATTACCAATTTGGAATTTAGGTAATTTGAGTCTCCGCCACCTTCTTAGCATTTATGCTAAAATATAGCATGATTATTTGTATTTTCTCACCAATGACAGTTTGTCATGTTGACCAATTCATGACTTCCGAGATACTATGGTAATACAAAAGAATCAGGTGTGTTGAGTAGTATATAAACTATTTGCTTAAAGTGTAAGATTGGTGTTGAAGCATCTGATAGTTTGTTGTAATTATGTCAAGGGTATTTTTGGTGACGTGTGGTCCCAAAACATTGATTGTGAATGCAGGACTGGCTCTGTGAATTCATGCGTTTGTCATGTTGATGTTTTCATGACTTCTGATTTCTTTTGCATTACCATTATCTCTCGGGTGTTTTGGGTAGTATATAAACTATTTGCTTGAAGTATAAGATGTGGATATCTGTGAGTTGTCAATGTATTTCTTAATGACTCTCAATGTACAATTGGTATCGCTACTCATGCTTGACAATCACCACCTGAAAACCAAACTTTACTTGTTTGAAAAATGCACTTAAATATTGGTGTCACAGGAATTTTTGTCGTTGAGTACATATTCTTACGATTGCAACCCTAGCACTAAAGTTGACATTAAAGTACTCACGGAAATGAAAAAAACCCTGTTTTTTCGACCTCAGATCTTGAATAAATGCAGTTAATATACAAAATATGTAAATATTCAAACTAAATTAGTACTAATTGGGCCGTGGCACAAATACAGCGTATCAAATGTTTTTATGCCTTTTTACACGTAAAAGTGTGTAAAAATGTGAATAAAACAGACTATTGTGAACAGGGCATAACAAGGTGTAAGTATCAAGCTGACCTATGACACCTTGACGACAGATGAGAACAGGTGCATAATGCCTATAGTCTGTTTCTGCTATGTCAATTTGGACTTAGTTTTATTTTTGAATGTTGAAAGTGCCGACAAATTACCTCCTGTAAAGTACATTTTGTATTGTTCACTGAGATCAAACTAGCAAATCCAGGCTAGTACTTTTCGAGTTGTTTTGTTATTTCGTATTTACAGCTACGTAAACTTTGTGTCGATTTTTAAATTGAGAAAAACAGGGTTTTTTTCATTTCCGTGAGTACTTTAGTTAAGATCCCGCTGTGGTTGCTTTGTAGAACTGGTGGAACTTCAGACTAGGGAAGTATTAATTTCTACGTTATTGGACAAGGTAAAACTCTCATTCGTCTAACAATGTAAATTTCTACCTCATGTTCCACGTGTGTATGTTGTGTAAATAATTTTCATATTTTGTCCAGATTGCAGTCTTAAATGTGCTAATGGAGGTACGTTAGACAAGGACAAATGTGAGTGCACATGTGCTGGTGGCTACAGGGGTCCTGGTTGCAGCAAGCCTCCATGCAACACGACCTGTGTCAACGGGAAGGTCAACCAAGAGAACTGTGCCTGCGTGTGCACGGAAGGTTGGAGTGGCCCCAAGTGTGGTTAGTATTGGGGAGAATAGTATATATTGAAACAATTCCTGTTTAGGTTAATAAATGTGCAGCATATGCGTTAAAAGAGCATGTTGAAGCATCTGATAGTTTGTTGTAATTATTTCAAGGGTGTTTTTGGTAACGTGTTCACAACACATTGATTGTGTATGCATTACTTGCTCTGTAAATTCATTTGATATAGCTCCTGTTTGACGTTGATCATCTGTTGACACCATTAACTTGAGCTTTCGAGGGCCACCAGGTATCGAGCAATATGACCTTTTAGTTGTAGTGTCAGGCCAGAAGAGCTGAATTCAATACTGTTACGTTTTAGCAGTATTATTTACCCATTTCTGAAATCCTGAAGGATAAATATGGTAGTAGGCACAATGCAATATATTTGAATGTTATCAGTCATTGTTGTATTTTATCCTTACCTTCGATATTTTTTTTGGATAGTGACAAATGGTTACATTTGATAAGTTGAAATATAGTTTAAATATTTAACATGTGAGCAGAAATTCCTTGAAAGTAGCAAATAAGTTATTGTTCTCATGGTTAAAATTTCATGTTAGATTGCAGTCGGAAATGTAGCAATGGAGGTACCTTGGATAATGCAAAGTGCCAGTGTTCTTGTGTGGGTGGCTACCGTGGGGACGACTGCAGTCTGCCCCCATGCACAACGGCATGTGTCAATGGCAAGGTCAACCAGAAGAACTGTGTATGCGAGTGCACAGAAGGTTGGAAGGGTCCAAAGTGCGGTGAGTGTACAAACTGTGTTCCAGATTTATTTCAAATGGTTATAAAACCATAGTTAAAATTGTTTTTCATAATTCCATCCACTGAAAACAGGTAGATCCCCCCCCCAAAAAAAAACAACAAACAAACAAACAACAACAAACACCTTCCTTGATTTTGAAGGGGGCGGAGGGGGGGTGACTGACCTGGGTCTCTATTAGTGAGTCCTGAGCATGGGTATCGGGCCCCTATTTAACAGAAAATACAATACAATATGTGCGATGTCATATGCTTGTTGACGATGGAATTTCCTTGTTTGAATCAAAGCTTAGTCTTTGAGTGAAGGAAGTCTGACCCGGAAATCGGCTAAATATCTTGTCAAACTGAACTCGATGTGGCTCTTTTTATATAGGTGTAATATTCATTACCGGAATTTACAGGCTCGATTGTAGCACCATCAGTAGCTATTATCCCTTCGATATCCCTCCTATTGACAATCAGATTCCACTTCCCACATCACTTCAAGCGAAATGGCTGCGCCCAGTCAAGACGATCTGATCGATAAACAAGATCTATTTTGTAATAGAACTGGTCTTTTCCCCGCCAAGTGCATTAAATCACTTGAGCACCTTGATAATGATTGGCAAAATATCTGTCAACGTCCAGTTGGCAGCACACATGCATTATAAATCCTTCAGTCGACCAAAATTTGCACCTTGAAATCAATTTGTATGAACCGGATGTCTTGTTCATTACGCCGTATTGATTAGACTATGCATAGACTCGTTGGTCCTGCCAATATTTAACTCCGGAATTCATGCCAAGTTCCTTGCCTCCATCTTACCGAGGCAAGAGAGTTAACTGTAAAAGTCCAGTTTCCACCCTTGCAGACCAAGGTTGGTATTATGGAATTATTTTGACTGGACTAACGAGTCTATGCATAGTCCAATCAAAATCTTGCAACGAAATCGAAATCCGGTTCGTAAACTGTCGTGAAGATTTCGGTCGATTGCAGGATTAACAAAGCATGTGCACAGCCAACTCGTTGTCAACAGATATTTTCCCAAACCTTTTCATGTTTTTAATGAAGATGCTCACGTGATTGGATGCACGTCGCGATGTAAGACCCGTTTTATCACAATGTATGTCTTGATTATCGATCAGATCATCTTGACTGGGCGCCGACATTTTGTTTGAAACAAATGCGAGTGATAGAATCTGATGGGTCCATAGGAGAGCCTCAGAAGGGACATAACTCAAAATAACCACTGGTGGCGCTATGATCGAGCCTAGGAACTCCAGCCTAGTTCGGCAAGGGTGGAATCTAGACTTTTGAAGTCAGATAACTCTTGCCTCGGGAAGATGCTTGCTTATGTAAATGAACAAACAAATCTTATTTTAACATGATTCTGGTGCACGTTCCAAAGTTTCCAAACTGGCTATATAACAGGGAGGTTAGGAATTGTTTATTTTTTTCAGATTGCAGTCTTAAATGCGGAAATGGAGGTACACTTGACAAGGACAAATGCGAATGCACATGTGTTGGTGGATACAGGGGTGCGGATTGCAGCAAGCCTCCATGTACGACAGCATGTGTCAATGGAAAGGTCAACCAAGAGAACTGTGCCTGCGTGTGTTCGGAAGGCTGGAGTGGGCCCAAGTGTGGTGAGTGACAGCGTATAATTCAGTCGGACAAGTATTAGATTACAATGCATGCTCTTAAACAGTGTTTTTTATAATCTGAAATAGGTATTTTAATATTAATTTGAATTTGCATGAAGAAAGGAACCGTGTCTTTTCCAAACGCTCTGTAACAACCACTATTTGTATAACCCTAGGAACCGAAGTAAGAATATACCAATTAACCTAACTGTGAATATTTTGATGTTTCATGACTCTTTATAGGTATGTTTATTTCATTACAATATTTTTTGAAAACTTCGGTATTTGGGTTTGCTAACACTAACCAGTTTTGTTCGTTGTTTTTTCTGCATGTTCTGTGGCGTTTCAGACTGCAGCCTCAAGTGTCAGAATGGTGGCACACTTGACAAGGACAAGTGTACATGTACATGCGCCGGTGGCTACCGTGGTGCGGATTGCAGCAAGCCTCCATGTACGACAGTATGTATCAACGGGAAGGTCAACCAGGAAAACTGTGCCTGTGTGTGTACGGAAGGCTGGAGCGGTCCCAAGTGCGGTAGGTTGAAAACAGTATTCTCTTAGGTAGAGTATTTTAAACTCGTCACCCATGTCTCTTATTAATTACCTCTCCAACTTTCATCTCCTGCTGATAGGAGAGCGATCATTTTCCCGACACAACATCGGCATACTCTTCAATATGTATCTGAATGTAAAATAATTGAGAAAACCAAAACATCTGTTGGAGTGAATTTCTTCTTGGATCATGCAACGTATTGCTCAGGCCCTAAAAACATACTAACAAGGCGTATGGTTACAATAAAGGTATTTTACATTTGTCGTAACTCACACTGTCATTTTGTGTACAGTACTATAAGGTAACGCATGAACAGCAGCTGTGATAAGGGTTTAGCTGGCTTCGTTATCATTCATGACAAGCAAACTATGCTTAACATTGCATAAATCGTAAATCTAAGCAACTAACGTTTTCCATATTCAAACAAACTCTGCTAAAAACAGTCGATTTTACGATTCCGACAACATCATTAACATATATTTATGAATCACTGTCAGTGATGATACCAGGTCTTTGTGAAAACCCAAACGGTGGCTCCCGTCACATACAAAAGTTCACGAAGAAAAACGGAAACCTGTGGTACAAGTCAAAATACGGAATTTCATTGGACATAATTTTTATCTTTTATACGCCGTATTGATAACACGTGGAACTAATACCATGTGGATTATCAACAACTCCGAAATCTTGACATGTCTGTTCATGTCTGATTTTTCAACTTTGTACTCCACTTTCCCATGACAATTGAGGGAACACTTTGTTCCTTGATCCATGAGGTATTTGTTATTAATCTTAATGTAGTTACATATCTATCTTCAGAGGTTCAGGACAATTTGTTTAAAATGAAAGCAAGTGCCATAAGACGTTTACTAAGAACAGTATGTGGAAAGCCGGACTTCCTCTTAGACACGATCTGTCAAATTAGCAAAATCAAAATTGGCCAAGGATTACTTCAGCTTCGTTGATGATCTGATATTGTTCAATAAAAATCAAATAGCCGGTTCCCTTCCTCTGCTTTGCCCACCTGAACAAGAACGGTGATATTCTACATTCCTGTACCAACATCCACGAGGAAGCTATATGTGAAATCAAAGTAGGCCCACGCATAGACTGATTGTAAAGAAAACATTCAGAAGGTTATGAGCTTTCATGGAAAGAATAATTGTTTGCTACTTTCTCTTTCTCAATTTGTGCGTGTCGGACAGACGTAATTCAAAATGAACATAGTATTTCATTTCAACAATAAGTAAATTCGCTTTCGTTTAACTGGATTTCTGGTCCATCAATTAATTGTCTAGCTTGTTAATATAACGCTCTCGCATAGAAGGAATACTGCTGTGTGGTGTTGGGTCACGTTTTTTTGTGCAAATTGTGCGAGTGGCCGGCTCACCGGTTGGACGGGACACTTTCTTTTTCCGTGAACATCTGGCGTCATCAGATTATCCTTGATCCGTTCATGTCATGTTCATTGTTATTTTGCTTTCTACGCCCTATGTAATCTGTTTCGTGGGATAATCCAGACTGGTTATTCTTTGGTGTTGACGTTTTATATTTATTTGATAAGTCATAGAGCTTTTCTTAAATATACTTACTGATTGGCACTTGAAACATTTCCAAGCATGAGTTTATGGAATAGTTTACCAACTCCCTGTGATATTTGTAACAATTAAATGACCGTCTGTGTCAATGATTTTAAGAATGGTACAGCAATAAGGAGGTATTGCCCTTGGCAAAGATAACTGAAGCATTTTATTTGTTATATATCAGATTGCGGTCGTCAGTGCGGCAACAATGGCACCTTGAATGCAGACAAATGTGAATGCACGTGTGTTGGTGGTCACCGCGGTGCCAACTGTACCAAACCTCCCTGTACGACGGCATGTGTGAATGGCAAGGTCAACCAGAAGAACTGTGACTGCGAGTGTACTGCTGGTTGGAGTGGTCCCAAGTGCGGTAGGTCACATATTTTAAGTTCCCTAGTTCCAATTGTAATTTCAAGCGATCGGATTCATTTGGATTCTAATACATCGGTTCCGTAGCGTTTCCTGTGTTTGTCAAAGAGTGTGATGTACTACGATTTATAGACTGTCATACAGCTGGAATATTGCCTCTTGGGAGATTAAACAACAAATAAACGACTTCATGGTTTCTTTTCTGTATTGACGACCGCCTCCAAAGTCCTTTGGTAGAGCGTCCTCCCGGAGAGGGGAAGGTCTGGGGTTCGATCCCCGGCCGTGTCATGATAAAAAGACGTTAAAAGATTGTACTTACCCTGTTACCCTGCTTTGCGCTCGGCATTAAGGGTCTAAAACAAGGACTGGTCGGCTCGGAGTCAGTATACTGTGTCTGAGTGGGGTATTCAATAGGGCTTTGAGAGGTAACTCGGGGACTGGTCTGGTGGGTACTGAATAGGACCCGGGTACCCACAGGTCTACCCAGACCCGATGTTAGTCAGGTGATAATTTGTCATTAAACAATATAATCTGGAATTCTATGGTTACACAAAGGGACAAATGTTCACTTTTTTCCCGACTGTGCACACATTCCTTCCTTATGTGTGCATAAAGATGAAACTTCAGTCAACTTCATGGCCAGATCATTATGTACCTGTATCTAGATGCATTTTGTCAGGGGTACGGTACGTCGCAGCCCTTGTATTTATCTTAAACTGCGCCATGGTATCTCAGTGAGTTGGCACTATAAATCAGTCCCGACAAGTACAAACAGCCACACACATGCGCGCATGCACGTCGCTAGATAAGTGCAATAATCTTGGATGCGACGTTAAGCCCCATTTCCCCTACCTCCCTCTTTTCTGTATTATCACCTAACATATCATTTCTTGTACATGGCAAAGATTGCAACCAAACGTGTGCCAATGGAGGAAACCTTGACAAGGAAAAATGTCAGTGCACATGTGTTGGTGGCTACCGGGGTCCTGACTGTAAGAAGCCTCCATGTACGACGGTCTGTGTAAATGGAAAGGTCAACCAAGAAAACTGTGCCTGTGTATGTACAGAAGGCTGGAAGGGTCCCAAGTGTGGTAGGTGTCATTTCCGAGTAGCTCAATGGAAACCATGGTTAAATTGGGTCTCATTACCCAAGTTATGATCTTGGCAGGCGCTTACACTGATTTGAATGAGGCTGTGATGGTCATTGTGACCTGTTGCCGTCTTGCTAATTCTGTCACATGTTAGCCTTGTCCAGTCTCGAGGTATTACAGGCAGCAATAATGTGGCTGAACTATCATTGCCCACTGCAGCGTTGGCTAACAAACAATAGGAATGCCTTGTCCTCACTACCAATGAAGTTTTCAGTTGACACTTTACTGATACTGGCTGGTTAAAAAACATGTATAAATGATTCCTTATTCTGATCCCCGTGCTATTGTGCAGCTGTTACTTTGTTTATTGCAACTATTACAGATTGTGACCTCAAATGTGCCAACAACGGTACCTTAAACAAGGACACCTGTATATGTGCCTGTGTTGGTGGCTACCGTGGAGCTGACTGTGCACAACCTCCCTGCAAGACAGCATGTGTCAACGGGAAGGTCAACCAGAAGACGTGTGCCTGTGAATGCACAGAAGGCTGGACTGGTCCCAAGTGTGGTACGTAGTTTGGTTTTAAAAGGAATATTTCTGTAAAGATTAAAAGAAAGGATCTGTATACATGAACTGCATCAGTCCAATTCGAAATCTGTATTTCTTTTGGGAAACCTAAAAAGGCTTGATCATATGTAATAAACATCTCTGCTTTTGAGGGGGACATTTCTTTTCTTGCAATAACCACAATGTCGCTATTAAAATTTTAGCTATGTATTTTTATCAATGCCAGACTGCAAACTCATCTGCAAGAACAACGGAAGCTTGGACAGTGCCAAATGTGAATGCACGTGTGTTGGTGGTCACCGTGGTGCTGATTGCAGCAAGCCTCCCTGTACGACGGTCTGTGTCAACGGAAAGATCAACCAAGACAATTGTGCTTGCGAGTGTACTGAAGGCTGGAATGGCCCTAAATGTGGTAAGTAATATTTAGGGACGCGCTTATCATTGTAATGTGATATTTATGCAGTTTTGGTGGATTTTCATTAATTTGGAAGGGATTATGTCATTAAGTAAAACAAAGCCTTTTTAATGAATAGGAACTGCATCGTATTTTACGATTTGGAAAAGGGACATCAATCAAACGATCACAATTTAACATAATAGAAGTATTCCCATAATTATATTCTGCAACTCATTTACTGTTTACTATTAACGTAAATGATCAAAAACTGTTTCAATTCCTTTTGATGTAGATTGCAGCTTGAAATGTGGGAATGGAGGTACCTTGGATAAGGAGAAATGTCTGTGCACCTGTGTCGGTGGCTACCGAGGAAACGACTGTACTCTTCCTCCATGTAAGACGGATTGTGTCAATGGCAAGGTCAACCAGAAGAACTGTCTGTGTGAATGTACAGAAGGGTGGAGTGGTGCAAAGTGTGGTAAGATTCTTTGCATAATTTATGATTAGTAATTGTTTTTGGCCAGTTTATTAATCACATACTCCGTACAGGATCAGTAAGTTACATGGAAGATGTTTAGAACCTTGACAGGTTGGAAATTTTCCATGGAATTTATGAAAAAATTGCCATTAAAAATTTCGAATTCACAACTACATGTCAACAGCTGACGCCATGCTGTATATCAGGTAAATGTCACATGAATTCAAATTGGTTATCATGACAACACATGTTTGAAAAATTATCACCAATTTGGAATTTAATTTATATCTGAGTCTCCGCCACCTTTTTTAGCATTTATAAAAAGATATAGCATGATTATTTGTATTTTCTCGCCAATGACCGTTTGTCATGTTGATGTTTTCATGACTTCCGAGATACTATGGTAATACAAAAGAATCAGGTGTTTTGAGGAGAATATAAACTACACAACTTCCCTGAGGAAGTGTAAGATTGGTGGATATCTGTAAGTTCTCAATGTATTTCTTAATGACGCTCAGTGTACAATACAATAGGCATCTCTAGTCATGCTTGACATTAATCACCACCTGATCTGCTATTTAGACACTTAAAAAACATAACAATACAGATAAACTAAGACATGTTTTGTGTTCGTCATATTCTTTCTGTCATTGCCTTCATATTTTGAAAAATGTTTTCGTTTCATTTATCCAGAATGTTGTCTGTGGTTTTTTGCTTTGGACGAATTAAATGATCATGGCTTATCGTTGAAATCAAACACATAGGCATGCAATGGATGTAGGTTACAATGTTGTAGAAGTTGGCGATAATGTGGTAACCCTTTGTTTAGAAATTACATTTTACAAATTTATTTTAGAAACGGGCAAAACAATCCCAAAATGTCGTGTTGTATCCATAAATTGAGTGAATGGTTTCATACATTCTTACGAATGCAACCCCAGCACTAAGGTTGACACTGAGGTAAGATCCCGCTGTGGTTGCTTTGTAGAACTGGTGTAACTTCAGACTAGGGAAGTATTAATTTCTACGTTATTGGACAAGGTAAAACTCTAATTCGTCTAACAATGTAAATTTCTACCTCATGTTCCACATGTGTATGTTGTGTAAATAATTTTCATATTTTGTCCAGATTGCAGTCTTAAATGTGCTAATGGAGGTACGTTAGACAAGGACAAATGTGAGTGCACATGTGCTGGTGGCTACAGGGGTCCTGGTTGCAGCAAGCCTCCATGCAACACGACCTGTGTCAACGGGAAGGTCAACCAAGAGAACTGTGCCTGCGTGTGCACGGAAGGTTGGAGTGGCCCCAAGTGTGGTTAGTATTGGGGAGAATAGTATATATTGAAACAATTCCTGTTTAGGTTAATAAATGTGCAGCATATGCGTTAAAAAGAGCATGTTGAAGCATCTGATAGTTTGTAATTACATTAAGGGTGTTTTTGATAACGTGTGTTCACAATACATTGCATGTGAATGCAGGACTGGCTCTGTGAATTCATTTGATATACAGTCAAGTCCCGTTAATCCGACATTGTTGGTTGCATATGATTGTCGGATTAACGAGTATGTTAAATAAACGAAATTCGGTAGTATCAACGTTCGTGATCGAAAATTGGACAACTACACGATAGATAATGATACGAACACGTAATAAAAAAAAAAAAGGAAAAAGGAAATAAATCACATTGTGTTACATTGTTAGCAGAATGTTTTCTAATCATGATACTGCTAATTTGAAACTAGTGCCGCAATGCTTAAGAAAGCTGCTTTTTTTAGTGGCTAATGTCGACTTCCTTTTTGCAATTTCAATGGTCGGTCAAAGTTCGCAAAAGGTCATTCTGACGTGACCTATAATGGGATGTCCTCAGCAGTAGCGAGAACTTGTATCCAATTTTAATGAGTGAGGTAATCTAGGCATGTGATTAATCATGTTTTGTTTATCTAAAGCAGCAATTGATATACTTAAGTATGTTTATCTGTGCAGCCGTTGAAATATGCAGCTACTCGCGGCATATGACCATGGAGTACGCTGATCACTGTCGGATTAACAAGACTGATTAATGAGTGATTTCATCAATTCGTTGCAAATTAAATGTAGGAGATGGAGTGCGAGACTGTCGGATTAACGGGTCTAAATAGTACTGATTAAATCGGTTTCCATCATTTTTGTAGGATAAATGAGTGTTGGATTAACGAGACTTGACTGTAGCTCCTGTTTGACGTTGATCATCTGTTCACACCACAACTTAAGCTTTTGCCACCAGCAATATGACCTTTTAGTTGTAGTGTCAGGCCAGAAGAGCTGAATTCAATACTGTCACGTTTTAGCAGCATTAGTTACCCATTTCTGAAATCCCGAAGGAGAAATATGGTAGTAGGCAAAATGCAATATATTTGAATCTTATGACTCGTTGTTATATTTTATCCTTTCCTTCAATTTATGTTTTAGATAATGACTAAAAATAGTTACATTTGATAAGTTGAAATAGTTTAAAATATTTAACATGTGAGCAGTAATTCCTTGAAAGTAACAAATAAGTTATTATTCTCATGGTTAAAATTTCATGTTAGATTGCAGTCGGAAATGTAGCAATGGAGGTACCTTGGATAATGCAAAGTGCCAGTGTTCTTGTGTGGGTGGCTACCGTGGGGACGATTGCAGTCTACCCCCATGCACAACAGCATGTGTCAATGGCAAGGTCAACCAGAAGAACTGTGTATGCGAGTGCACAGAAGGTTGGAAGGGTCCAAAGTGCGGTGAGTGTACAAACTGTGTTCCAGATTTGTTATTTCAAATGGTTATAAACGCCTTGGAGATGAATTTAAAGATTTGTATAATTTTTAAATTAAGTTAGAATTGTATTTTTCATAATTCGATCCACTGAATACAGGTAGATCCCAAAACACCTTCCTTGATTTTGAACCTTGGTGTTCGGGAAAACTGACGTGGGGACTCTATTTAGTGAGCCCCGAGCATAGGTATTGGGTCCCTATTTACCAACAGCAAATATAATGCAATGTGAGGAATTCTGTATGCTTTTTTTAGATGGGATTTCCTTGTTTGAATCAAAGCTTAGTCTTTGGGTGAAGGAAGTCTGACCTGGAAATATCAGCTAAATACTTTGTGTTGAACTGAACTTGCCGTGGGTATTATCTGGCAAACCTTTCATTGACGATGTGGCCCGGAATATTATAAGCTTATTCGTATTGTACAGTGTTCATGCTTGACTGGACTGGTTTATCTGGTTTAGAATCGATTATTTCATGGCTCTTTTTATATAGGTGTAATATTCATTACCGGAATATATCCTTCACTCCCATTTGAAGGCTACAATTTTGTCTTTATATTCAAACCATGTCGTGCATGTGGTTGAGAGACAATGCTCTTTATGTAAATGAACAAACAAATCTTATTTTAACATGATTCAGGAGCACGTTCCAAAGTTTCCAAACTGGCTATATCACAAGGAGGGTTAGGAATGGTTTATTTTTTTCAGATTGCAGTCTTAAATGCGCAAATGGAGGTACACTTGACAAGGACAAATGCGAATGCACATGTGTTGGTGGATACAGGGGTGCGGATTGCAGCAAACCTCCATGTACGACAGCATGTGTCAATGGAAAGGTCAACCAAGAGAACTGTGCCTGCGTGTGTTCGGAAGGCTGGAGTGGGCCCAAGTGTGGTGCGTGACAGCGTATCGTTCAGTCAGAAGTATCAAATACAATAGAAGCTTTCAAACAGTGTTTTTTATAATCTGAAATAGGAATTTTAATTTCAAACTAGGCTTACCTAAACAATGCATGAGATAAAAATACGCTCACTAAGAATCTGTTTGCACAACCCAAGAATTTCAAGTAAAAAGAAATCATTTTACCAAAATGTATAAACATTTTGACGTTTCATATCTTTTATAGGTATTTCATTATTTTATGTTTTTTTTAAAAAATGTATTTGGATTCACCTATACACTAACTAGTTTTGTTCGTTCTGTTTTTTCTGCATGTTCTCTGACGTTTCAGACTGCAGCCTCAAATGTCAGAATGGTGGCACACTTGACAAGGACAAGTGTACATGTACATGCGCCGGTGGCTACCGTGGTGCGGATTGCAGCAAGCCTCCATGTACGACAGCTTGTATCAACGGGAAGGTCAACCAGGAAAACTGTGCCTGTGTATGTACGGAAGGCTGGAGCGGTCCCAAGTGCGGTAGGTTGAAAACAGTATTCTCTTAGGTAGAGTATTTTGAACTCGTCACCCATGTCTCTTATTAGTTACCTCTCCAACTTTCGTCTCCTGCTGATACGGGGCGATCATTTTCCCAACACATTTGGCATACCCTTCAATATGTATCTGTAAAATAATTGAGAAAACCAATACATCTGATGGAGTGAATTTCTTCTTGGATCATGCAACGGATAGTTAAGGCCTTAAAACATCCTAGGGGGCCCAGGTGGCCCGGTCGTCTTAGGCACCGCTATTCGCTGTTGCGTCTTTGGGCATGCCAGAAACCTATGATTGTGTTTGAATCCCGATTCACCCCGAATGTTTCTTGGTTTGTCAGCACCATACCCGTGCTCGTTGGTTTCACCAGAGTGATAAACGTCCGAGACCTGCTTCACTTTGACTTTCCTCCCACATTAAGCTGACACGCCGTGATATAACTGAAATACAAATATTTAACAATCTCGGCTAGATAGATTCCAACTATTGTATGAACATTGGTTTATGAATCACTGTGATGATCCCGGGTGTTTGTGAAAAGATTGGTGTATCCTGCCCCACCGGTGGTTTCCGTCACATGCAAATTCTGTGTGGTGTTGGGCGACAGTTGTTTTATGCAAATTGTGCGAGTTGGCGGAGCAACCGGTTTTCCCTTTTCAAGAACACCTGGTGTCATTAGATTATCATTGATCCATTCATATCATGTTCATTGCTATTTTGCCTTCTAACCCAATGGAATCTGTTTCGTGGGATAATCCAGACTGGTTATTCTTTTGTGTTGACATTTTATATTTATTTGATAAGTCATAGAGCTTTTCTTAAATATACATACTATTTTTCACTTAAACAGTTCCGAGCATGAGTTTATGGAATAGTTTACCGAATCCCTGAGATTGAAGCAGTTAAGTGCCCGCCTGTGTCAGAATGATTTTAAGAATGGTGCAGCAAAAAGGATGCATAGCACTTGGCAAAGATACCTGAGGCATTCTATTTGCTATGTTAGATTGCGGTCGTAAGTGCGGCAACAATGGCACCTTGAATGCAGACAAATGTGAATGCACGTGTGTTGGTGGTCACCGTGGTGCCAACTGTACCAAGCCTCCCTGTACGACGGCATGTGTGAATGGCAAGGTCAACCAGGAGAACTGTGACTGCGAGTGTACAGCCGGATGGAGTGGTCCCAAGTGCGGTAGGTCACATTTTTTAAGTTCCCTAGTTCCAATTGTAATTTATCAATCAGATATAGTTGGATTCTAATATATCGGTTCTGTAGAGTGTCCAGTGTTTGTGATATATTACGCCATCATTGCTGGGATATTGTCCAGCGTGGTGTTACACAAATAAAACGACTGCACGGTTTCTTTGTTTGTATTATCACCTAACATCTCATTTCATGTACATGGCAAAGATTGCAACCAAACGTGTGCCAATGGAGGAAGCCTTGACAAGGAAAAGTGTCAGTGCACATGTGTTGGTGGCTACCGGGGTCCTGACTGTAAGAAGCCTCCATGTACGACGGTCTGTGTAAATGGAAAGGTCAACCAAGAAAACTGTGCCTGTGTATGTACAGAAGGCTGGAAGGGTCCCAAGTGTGGTAGGTGTCATTTCCGAGTAGCTCAATGGAAACCATGGTTAAATCGGGTCTCATTACCCAAGTTATGATCTTGGCAGGCGCTTACACTGATTTGAATGAGGCTGTGATGGTTATCGTGACCTGTTGCCGTCTTGCTCATTCTGTCACATGTTAGCCTTGTCCAGTCTCGAGGTATTACAGGCAACAAAATAATGTGGGTGAACTATCATCCCCCTGCAGCGTTGGCTAACAAACAATAGGAATGCCTTGTCCTACAGTGAGGTGTCAATTGAAAGCTTCATTAGGGGGCACGGGTGTTTCTAGGTTTGTCAGCACCATGACCGTGCTCGTGGGTTTCACCGAAGTCGTAAACGTCTGAGACCTGCATCACTTCGGGCTTTCCTAAAACATTGAGCAGAGACGCCGCGATATAACTGAAATACTGTTAAAAGCAGTGTTTAACCCAACTCGCTCACTCCTTAAAAGCTTCATTGGTAGTGATACTGGCTGGTTAAAAACATGTATAATTGATTCCTTATTCAGATTCCCATGCTATTGTGCAGCTGTCAATGTGTTTATTGCAACTATTACAGATTGTGACCTCAAATGTGCCAACAACGGTACCTTAAACAAGGACACCTGTAAATGTGCCTGTGTTGGTGGCTACCGTGGAGCTGACTGTGCACAACCTCCCTGCAAGACAGCATGTGTCAACGGGAAGGTCAACCAGAAGACGTGTGCCTGTGAATGCACAGAAGGCTGGACTGGTCCCAAGTGCGGTACGTAGTTTGGTTTTAAAAGGAATATTTCTGTAAAGATTAAAAGAAAGGATCTGTATACATGAACTGCATCAGTCCAATTCGAAATCTGTATTTCTTTTGGGAAACCTAAAAAGGCTTGATCATATGTAATAAACATCTCTACTTTTGAGGGGGACATTTCTTTTCTTGCAATAACCACAATGTCACTATTAAAATTTTAGCTATGTATTTTTATCAATGCCAGACTGCAAACTCATCTGCAAGAACAACGGAAGCTTGGACAGTGCCAAATGTGAATGCACGTGTGTTGGTGGTCACCGTGGTGCCGATTGCAGCAAGCCTCCCTGTACGACGGTCTGTGTCAACGGAAAGATCAACCAAGACAACTGTGCTTGCGAGTGTACTGAAGGCTGGAATGGCCCTAAATGTGGTAAGTAATATTTAGGGACGCGCTTATCATTGTAATGTGATATTTATGCAGTTTTGGTGGATTTTCATTAATTTGGAAGGGATTATGTCATTAAGTAAAACAAAGCCTTTTTAATGAATAGGAACTGCATCGTATTTTACGATTTGGAAAAGGGACATCAATCAAACGATCACAATTTAACATAATAGAAGTACTCCCATAATTATATTCTGCAACTCATTTACTGTTTACTATTAACGTAAATGATCAAAAACTGTTTCAATTCCTTTTGATGTAGATTGCAGCTTGAAATGTGGGAATGGAGGAACCTTGGATAAGGAGAAATGTCTGTGCACCTGTGTCGGTGGCTACCGAGGAAACGACTGTACTCTTCCTCCATGTAAGACGGATTGTGTCAATGGCAAGGTCAACCAGAAGAACTGTCTGTGTGAATGTACAGAAGGGTGGAGTGGTGCAAAGTGTGGTAAGATTCTTTGCATAATTTATGATTAGTAATTGTTTTTGGCCAGTTTATTAATCACATACTCCGTACAGGATCAGTAAGTTACATGGAAGATGTTTAGAACCTTGACAGGTTGGAAATTTTCCATGGAATTTATGAAAAAATTGCCATTAAAAATTTCGAATTCACAACTACATGTCAACAGCTGACGCCATGCTGTATATCAGGTAAATGTCACATGAATTCAAATTGGTTATCATGACAACACATGTTTGAAAAATTATCACCAATTTGGAATTTAATTTATATCTGAGTCTCCGCCACCTTTTTTAGCATTTATAAAAAGATATAGCATGATTATTTGTATTTTCTCGCCAATGACCGTTTGTCATGTTGATGTTTTCATGACTTCCGAGATACTATGGTAATACAAAAGAATCAGGTGTTTTGAGGAGAATATAAACTACACAACTTCCCTGAGGAAGTGTAAGATTGGTGGATATCTGTAAGTTCTCAATGTATTTCTTAATGACGCTCAGTGTACAATACAATAGGCATCTCTAGTCATGCTTGACATTAATCACCACCTGATCTGCTATTTAGACACTTAAAAAACATAACAATACAGATAAACTAAGACATGTTTTGTGTTCGTCATATTCTTTCTGTCATTGCCTTCATATTTTGAAAAATGTTTTCGTTTCATTTATCCAGAATGTTGTCTGTGGTTTTTTGCTTTGGACGAATTAAATGATCATGGCTTATCGTTGAAATCAAACACATAGGCATGCAATGGATGTAGGTTACAATGTTGTAGAAGTTGGCGATAATGTGGTAACCCTTTGTTTAGAAATTACATTTTACAAATTTATTTTAGAAACGGGCAAAACAATCCCAAAATGTCGTGTTGTATCCATAAATTGAGTGAATGGTTTCATACATTCTTACGAATGCAACCCCAGCACTAAGGTTGACACTGAGGTAAGATCCTGCTGTGGTTGCTTTGTAGAACTGGTGTAACTTCAGACTAGGGAAGTATTAATTTCTACGTTATTGGACAAGGTAAAACTCTAATTCGTCTAACAATGTAAATTTCTACCTCATGTTCCACATGTGTATGTTGTGTAAATAATTTTCATATTTTGTCCAGATTGCAGTCTTAAATGTGCTAATGGAGGTACGTTAGACAAGGACAAATGTGAGTGCACATGTGCTGGTGGCTACAGGGGTCCTGGTTGCAGCAAGCCTCCATGCAACACGACCTGTGTCAACGGGAAGGTCAACCAAGAGAACTGTGCCTGCGTGTGCACGGAAGGTTGGAGTGGCCCCAAGTGTGGTTAGTATTGGGGAGAATAGTATATTTTGAAACAATTCCTGTTTAGGTTAATAAATGTGCAGCATATGCGTTAAAAAGAGCATGTTGAAGCCTCTGATAGTTTGTTGTAATTATTTCAAGGGTGTTTTTGTAAACGTGTGTTTACAACACATTGATTGTGTATGCATTACTTGCTCTGTAAATTCATTTAATATAGCTGCTGTTTGACGTTGATCATCTGTTGACACTATTAACTTAAGCTTTATCCAGCAATATGACCTTTTAGTTGTAGTGTCAGGCCAGAAGAGCTGAATTCAATACTGTCACGTTTTAGCAGCATTATTTACCCATTTCTGAAATCCTGAAGGATAAATATGGTAGTAGGCACAATGCAATATTTTTGAATGTTATGACTCGTTATATTTTATCCTCACCTTCGATTTATTTTGAGGATAAATCTAAATAACGTTAAATTTGATTAGTTGTTTAATATTTTAAACTATATTTCATGTGAGCAGTAATTCCTTGAAAGTAACAAATTAATTTTTCTTATTCTTAAAATTTCATGTTAGATTGCAGTCGGAAATGTAGCAATGGAGGTACCTTGGATAATGCAAAGTGCCAGTGTTCTTGTGTGGGTGGCTACCGTGGGGACGATTGCAGTCTGCCCCCATGCACAACGGCATGTGTCAATGGCAAGGTCAACCAGAAGAACTGTGTATGCGAGTGCACAGAAGGTTGGAAGGGTCCAAAGTGCGGTGAGTGTACAAACTGTGTTCCAGATTTGTTATTTCAAATGGTTATAAACGCCTTGGAGATGAATTTAAAGATTTGTATAATTTTTAAATTAAGTTAGAATTGTATTTTTCATAATTCGATCCACTGAATACAGGTAGATCCCAAAACACCTTCCTTGATTTTGAACCTTGGTGTTCGGGAAAACTGACGTGGGGACTCTATTTAGTGAGCCCCGATCATATGTATTGGGTCCCTATTCACCAACAGCAAAGATAATACAATATGTGCGATGTCATGTGCTTGTTGTAGATGGGATTTCTTTATTCGAATCAAAGCTTAGTGTTTGGATGAAGGAAGTCTGACCCGGAAATCAGCTAAATATTGTGTCAAACTGAACTCACAGTGGATATTATTCCATCAAACCTTTCATTCAAAATGTGGCACGTAATATTGTAAGCTTATTCGTATTGTTCAGTGTTCATGCTTGACTGGACTGGTGTATCTTGTTCAGAATCGTTCATTTCATGGCTCTTTTTATATAGGTGTAATATTCATTACCGGAATTTCCAGGCTCGATCGTAGCACCATCAGTAGCTATTATCCTTTCAATCAGATTCCACCTTTCATATCACTTGCATTTGCTTAAAACAAATTGGCTGCTCCCAGACGATCTGATCGATAACCAAGATCTATATTGTAATAAAACTGGTCTTTTCTCGCAAAGTGCATCAAATCCACTTGAGCACCTTGATGAAAAAACATGAAAAGATTTGCAAAATATCTGTCGACGCCCAGTTGGCGGCACACGTGCTTTGCAGATCCAGCAGTCGACCGAAACCTGCACGTTGAAATCATTTTTGATGAACCGGATGTCTTCATTACGCCATTTTGATTGGACTATGCATGGACTCGTTGGTCCAGCCAAAACATAACTCTGGAATTCCTGCCAAGTTCCTTGCCTCGGGAAGATGTATTACAAGGGAGGTTAGGAATTGTTTATTTTTTTCAGATTGCAGTCTTAAATGCGCAAATGGAGGTACACTTGACAAGGACAAATGCGAATGCACATGTGTTGGTGGATACAGGGGTGCGGATTGCAGCAAGCCTCCATGTACGACAGCATGTGTCAATGGAAAGGTCAACCAAGAGAACTGTGCCTGCGTGTGTACGGAAGGCTGGAGTGGCCCCAAGTGTGGTGAGTGACAGCGTATCATTCAGTCGGACAAGTATTAGATTACAATGTATGCTCTTAAACAGTGTTTTTATAATCTGAAATAGGTATTTTAATAATTTTAATTTGCATGAAGAAAGGAACCGTGTCTTTTCCAAACAGGCGATAACAAATATGCTCTGTAATAAGCACTATTTGTATAACCCTTGGAACTGAAGTAAGAATATAGCAATTTACCTAAATGTGTAAATGTTGTTTCATGACTCTTTATAGGTATGCTTTCTTCATTACTATGTTTTTGAAAAATTTGGTATTTGGGCTTGGTAACACTAACCAGTTTTGCTCATTCTGTTTGTTTCTGCATGTTCTGTGGCGTTTCAGACTGCAGCCTCAAATGTCAGAATGGTGGCACACTTGACAAGGACAAGTGTACATGTACATGCGCCGGTGGCTACCGTGGTGCAGATTGCAGCAAGCCTCCATGTACGACAGCTTGTATCAACGGGAAGGTCAACCAGGAAAACTGTGCCTGTGTGTGTACGGAAGGCTGGAGCGGTCCCAAGTGCGGTAGGTTGAAAACAGTATTCTCGTAAGTAGAGTATTTTGAACTCGTCACCCATGTCTCCTTATTAATTAAATCTGCAACTTTCGTTTCCTCCTGATACTGAGCGAGTGTTTTCCACAACACATTTGGCATACCCTTTAATATGAATCTGTGTAGAATAATTCATAACGAGTGGAACTAATACCATGTGCATGTGGATTAACAACTCTGGTTGAACTTTTCTTCTCAGAAAAGAGTCAAGATTTCAAAGTTCATGTCTGTCAAAACATTTGATTTTTCAACTTTGTACACCACTATCCCATGACAATTGAGGGAAAACGTTGTTCCTCGATCTATGGGGTATTTGATTACCTTAGATGTAGTGGCATATCTATCTTTAGAGGTTCGTGACAATTTGTCAAATATAAAAGCGAGTGCCATTAGACGTTTACTAAGAACAGTATGTGAAATGCCGGACTTCCTCTTAGACACGATCTGTCAAATTAGCAAAATCAAAATTGGCCAAGAAGGAATACATCAGCTTCTGCTTCGTTGATGATCTGATATTGTTCAATAAACATCAAATAGCCAGTTCCCTTCCTCTGCTTTGCCCACCTGAACGAGGAAGCTATAAGTGAAATCAACGTAGGCCCACGCATAGACTGATTGTAAAGAAAACATTCAGAAGGTTATGAGCTTACATGGAAAGAATAATATTTTGCTACTTTCTTTTTCTCAATTTGTGCGTGTCGGACAGACGTAATTCAAAATGAACATAGTAGTTCGTTTCAACAATCAGTAAATTCGCTTTCGTGTAGCTGGATTTCTGGTCCATCAATTGATTGTCTAGCTTGTTAATATACCGCTAATATTTTGCCTTTTACGCCCAATGGAATCAGATTCGTGGGGTAATCCAGACTGGTTATTCTTTGGTGTTGACGTTTTATATTTATTAGATAAGTCATAGAGTTTTTCTTAAATATATTTACTATTTTTCACTCAAACAGTTACGAGCATGAGTTTATGGAATAGTTTACCAAATTCCTGTGATATTTGTAACAATTAGGTGCCCATCTGTATCGATTCTTTTAAGAATGGTGCAGCAGTAAGGAGGCATTGCCCTTGGCAAAGATAACTGAGGCATAATTTATTTGTTATATATCAGATTGCGGTCGTCAGTGTGGCAACAATGGCACCTTGAATGCAGACAAATGTGAATGCTTGTGTGTTGGTGGTCACCGCGGTGCCAACTGTACCAAACCTCCCTGTACGACGGCATGTGTGAATGGCAAGGTCAACCAGAAGAACTGTGACTGCGAGTGTACTGCTGGTTGGAGTGGTCCCAAGTGCGGTAGGTCACATATTTTAAGTTCCCTAGTTCCAATTGTAATTTCAAGCAATCGGATTCATTTGGATTCTTATACATCGGTTCCGTAGCGTTTCCTATGTTTGTCAAAGAGTGTAATGTACTACGATTTATAGACCGTCATACAGTTGGAATATTGCCGCTTGGGAGATTAAACAACAAATAAACGACTTCATGGTTTCTTTTCTGTATTTACGACCGCCTCCATAGTCCTCTGGTAGTGTCTGCCCGAAGGTGGGAAGGCCGGGGATTCGATCCCCAGCTGCGTCATACCAAAAGACGTGAAAAGATGTATTGTGCTCGGCATTAAGGGGCTAACACAAGGACTTGTCGGCTCAGAGTCAGTATATTGTGTCTGAGTGGGGTATTCATGTTAAACTGTGGCATGGTATCTCGGTGGGCTAGCCCCATGACTCGGCATCAGTCCGTACTAGCATTATAAATCGGCAGCAGTCCGGACAAGTACGAACAGCAACACACACGCGTGGATGCACGTCGCTAGATAAGTGCATTATTGTTAGATGCGACGTTAAACCCCATTTCCCCTCCCTCCCTCTTTTCTGTATTATCACCTAAAATATCATTTCTTGTACATGGCAAAGATTGCAACCAAACGTGTGCCAATGGAGGAAGCCTTGACAAGGAAAAGTGTCAGTGCACATGTGTTGGTGGCTACCGAGGTCCTGACTGTAAGAAGCCTCCATGTACGACGGTCTGTGTCAACGGAAAGGTCAACCAAGAAAACTGTGCCTGTGTATGTACAGAAGGCTGGAAGGGTCCCAAGTGTGGTAGGTGTCATTTCGGAGTAGCTCAATGGAAACCGTGGTTAGAATAGGCATCATCACCCTATTTGTGGTTGTGACAGGCGATTACAATGTGGCTGAACTGGCAAAACCACTGCAGCCTTTCGCTAACAAACCATAGGAATGCCTCGGTCTACAGGAAAGTGTCAATTGAAAGCTTCATTAATAGTGATACTGGCTGGTTAAATACATGTGTAATAAATTCCTTATTCTGATCCCCATGCTATTGTGTAGTTGTTACTGTGCTTATTGCAACTATTACAGATTGTGACCTCAAATGTGCCAACAACGGTACCTTAAACAAGGACACCTGTAAATGTGCCTGTACTGGAGACTACCGTGGAACTGACTGTGCACAACCTCCCTGCAAGACAGCATGTGTCAACGGGAAGGTCAACCAGAAGACGTGTGCCTGTGAATGCACAGAAGGCTGGACTGGCCCCAAGTGTGGTACGTAGTTTGATTTAATCTTAACAGAAATAGTCCTTTTTTAAAATCAAAGGATCTGTATACATGAACTGCATCAGTCTAATTCGAAATCTGTATTTCTTTTGGGGAACCTATACAGGCTTGATCATATGTAATAAACATCTCTACTTTTGAGGGGGACATTTCTTTTCTTGCAATAACCACAATGTCACTATTAAAATTTTAGCTATGTATTTTTATCAATGCCAGACTGCAAACTCATCTGCAAGAACAACGGAAGCTTGGACAGTGCCAAATGTGAGTGCACGTGTGTTGGTGGTCACCGTGGTGCTGATTGCAGCAAGCCTCCCTGTACGACTGTCTGTGTCAACGGAAAGATCAACCAAGACAACTGTGCTTGCGAGTGTACTGAAGGCTGGAGTGGGCCAAAGTGTGGTGGGTAGTTTTACATTTGTTTGACATCGGTAATAGGTTAGAACTGTAAGACTTGTCAACAGATTTTAGCAACTTTTGCCAAACTGCAGCAGAAGGTTGAAGTGTGATAAATCATTTTAATAAGCTAGTGTTTGTTGTTTAACGCTGCACTTGGTAATATTCCGGCTATATGACGGCTGTCCGTAAATAATAGTCTGGACCAGACAATCCAGTGATTGACATGAACATCGATCCATGCAATTGAGACCAATGACATAGACCTATGGTTCATTTTTATTAGATGAAACAAGGTAAGCATATCCCTAGCATTTCCGACAGAACTTTACTTTTTCTTCACAATAAGCTATTTCATTTCGCTTTTGCAGACTGCAGTTTGAAATGTGACAACGGTGGCTCCTTGGACAAGGCCAAATGTCTGTGCACCTGTACTGGTGGCTATCGAGGAGCTGATTGTAGTCTCCCTCCATGCAAAACAGACTGTGTCAATGGCACGGTCAACCAGAAGAACTGTGCCTGTGAGTGTTCGAAAGGCTGGTCTGGTCCAAAGTGTGGTAAGTAACATTGAATTGCCTCTTGTATGTCTGTAGAAATTACTGTTTCGAGTGCAAATTTTTATATATCGCCCTACCCCCATTAAATGTTTCAGATTGCAGTCTTAAGTGTGCCAATGGTGGAACATTAGATTCGAGCACCTGCTCGTGTTCTTGTATTGGTGGATACCGTGGTGCTGATTGCAAGAAAGAACCATGCAAGACGGATTGCATCAACGGCAATGTTAACCAGAAGGATTGTGCTTGCGTGTGTACAAAGGGCTGGAGTGGACCCAAATGCGGCAAGTTATACCTTATATCCAGTTAATGTCATAGGTGTAAGAGGCAGCTAAATTATAGCCAAACTCTGCAACTTGGTTGATGAAGTGTCATCTCACCATACATTGATTGATGCATTGCTCACAATATCACTGGATTGTCTGGTCTCTTGTCCCATTATATAGCTGGAATATTGCAGTGTTAAGACACAAACAAGTGCGCACCATCGTGACATTAACACTATTTGCAATCTGTGTTATATACCTAGTGAAATACCTTACTGTCATTTGACCCGTGAAGATTCCGGCGTAGAATAGGTCTTCAGCAACCCATGCTTGTCATAAAAGGCGACTTACCGGATCTAGTGGTCAGGCTCGCTCACTTGGTTGATGCATGTCATCGATCCCAATTGCGTGGATCAACGTTCATGTCAATGACTGGATTGTCTGGTCCAGATTCGATTATTTACAGACCGCCGTCATATAGCTGGAATATTGCTTAGTACGGCGTTAAACAACAAACAATCACTATATAAGTGCAATAATCTTGAACACGTTAAACCCTATTTCACCTCGCCTCATTTTTGTTTCGTACCCTGTGTAGTGGCACTTCTCAAACGTCTATATAATCGTGTAGTGTTTACCATTCCAGACTGTAGCCTTCAGTGTGAAAATGGAGGCACTCTGGATAAAGCCAAGTGTCAGTGCGCATGTACCGGCGGCTACCGCGGTGCCGACTGCAGTCTTCCTCCATGCACGACGACGTGTATCAATGGCAAGGTCAACCAGAAGAACTGTGCCTGTGAATGTACAGAAGGCTGGAACGGTCCTAAGTGTGGTAAGATTTCGATAAGTATTCAGCCCGTCTTCAAATGTCGACCCGTGAAGATTCCGGGGTAGAATAGGTCTTAAGCAACCCGTGCTTGCCGTGAAAGGCGACTAACGGGATCGGGTGGTCAGGTTGATGCATTTCATGAATCCCAATTTCGTGGATCGATGTTCATGTCACTGGATCGTCTGGTCCAGACTCGATTATTTACAGATCACCGACAGATAGCTGGAATATTGCTGAGTGCGGCGTAAAACAACAAACCAACCGTGAAGCTACACATACTATTATTGACGGTAATAGTACTAAGATTGGGACCACGTCACGGTTCCACTTTAGTGGTCCTGGGAATTCCAAGTTCTAAGGAAAATGCATCGACCCTGATATAAAAAAAACTCCTTGATTAAAAGATATGGCACTGTACTGAACCAAAAAAGTTAAGGATCGTGGATATTTTTTTAGATTTTTTTTCAAATGTCATGCATCATGTTATCTGCATCTTTGAGCCATTTTAGTGTATGTTCTTTGGGATAGCATTAAATCCCGACTAATCTTGATTTCCCGACATTGTTCTTTTTGTTAACAAAATTGCTTCACTGCTAAAAGCTTTGAAGAAGGCTATAATTTGTATCATTGTTGACTGTTTAAATAGACTGCCAACTGAAGTGTTCTAACGGAGGAACACTGGACAAGGCCAAGTGTCAGTGCGCATGTGCAGGAGGCTATAGAGGAGCGGATTGCACCAAGCCTCCGTGCAAGACGGAATGTGTCAAGGGAAAGGTCAACCAGGAGAACTGTGCCTGCGAGTGTGCGGAAGGATATGTTGGTTCCAAGTGCGGTGAGTTTGTTCTCTTCTCATCGGAATTCGGAAGGGACGCTTTGTCTTTGTTAGTGCCCGACAAACGCTAAACGAAGATACTTTTACTGATAGTCTAATAGACGCTAACTGAGACGTCTTAGTTTAGCTTGATAGGTTTGATAAAATGAACACACTGTCACTCTTGAAGTGAACATCCAGCGAAAACAACTTGATTAACAAAGTCCCAACATGTGTTACAGACTGTAATCTCAAGTGCACAAATGGGGGTAAACTGGATCCGAGCACCTGCAAATGCGCATGTACTGGTGGCTACCGTGGTGCCGACTGCAGTCTTCCTCCATGCAAGACAGAGTGTATCAATGGCAAGGTCAACCAGAAAGACTGTGCCTGTGAATGTACAGAAGGTTGGAACGGTCCTAAGTGTGGTAAGATTTCGATTAGTATACAGCCAAATGTCGACCCGTGAAGATTCCGGGTTAGAATAGGTCTTCAGCAACCCATGCTTGCCGTGAAAGGCGACTAACGGGATCAGGTGGTCAGGTTGATGCATGTCATCAATTCCAATTTCGTGGATCGTAGTTCATGATGTCAATCACTTGATCGTCTGGTCCAGACTCGATTATTTACAGACCGCCGACGGATAGCTGGAATATTGCTGCGTAAAACAAAAAACCCACCAACAACCAACCGTGAAGCTACACATACTAGTATTGATGGTAATGGTACTAAGGCTGGCACCACGGTTCCACTTTGGTGGTCCTGGGAATTCCAAGTTCTGAGGAAAATGGGGGGCAAGGGTGGCCCAGTCGTCTAAGGCGCCGCGATTCGCTGTACAGAGTTGCGTCCCTTGGGCACGCCAGAAACCTATTATTGTGGGTTCGAATCCCGGTTCACCCCGATTATGTTTCTAGTTTTGTCAGCACCATACCCGTGCTCGTGGGTTTCACCGGAATGGTAAACGTCTGAGAACTGCATCACCTCGGGTTTTCCTCCCACATTAAGCTAACACACCGCAATATAACTGGAATACTGTTAAAAGCGGCATAAAACCCAACTCACTCACTCTAAGGAAAATGCATAGACCCTGATTTAAAGGAACCGCTCCTTGATTAAAAGATATGGAGCTGTACTGAACCCAAAAAGTTAAGGATCGTGGATATTTTTTTAGATTTCTTTATCAAATGTCATGCATCATGTAATCTGCATCTTTGAGCCATTTTAGTGTATGTTCTTTAGGATGGCATTAATTCCAGACTAATCTTGATTTCCCGACATTGTTCTTTTTGTTAACAAAATTGGTTTCACTGCTAAAAGCTTTGAAGAAGGCTACAATTTGTATCATTGTTGACTGTTTAAATAGACTGCCAACTGAAGTGTTCTAACGGAGGAACACTGGACAAGGCAAAGTGTCAGTGCGCATGTGCAGGAGGCTATAGAGGAGCGGATTGCACCAAGCCTCCGTGCAAGACGGAATGTGTCAAGGGAAAGGTCAACCAGGAGAACTGTGCCTGCGAGTGTGCGGAAGGATATGTTGGTTCCAAGTGCGGTGAGTTTGTTCTCTTCTCATCGGAATTCGGAAGGGACCCTTTGTCTTTGTTAGTGCTCGACAAACGCTAAACGAAGATACTTTTACCGATAGTCTAATAGAGACGCTAACTGAGACGTCTTAGTTTAGCTTGATAGGTTCAATTAAATGAACACTGTCACTCTTGAAGTGAACATCCAGCGAAAACAGCTTGATTTACAAAGTCCCAACATGTGTTACAGACTGTAATCTCAAGTGCACAAATGGGGGTAAACTGGATCCGAGCACCTGCAAGTGCGCATGTACTGGTGGCTACCGTGGTGCCGACTGCAGTCTTCCTCCATGCAAGACGGAGTGTATCAATGGCAAGGTCAACCAGAAAGACTGTGCCTGTGAATGTAACTTCGGTTGGAAGGGACCAAAATGCGGTACGTGACCCGTTTATCGATTACCTTATTAACTGAAATGCTCAATACGTGACTGCAGTGACTGCATAATGTGGAAACTGATATGTAGGAAGGTGATTGAGGTATCTTACTTTCAACATCCGGATTTACCTGTCAAGATCCGGGTTAGAATTGGTCTTCGGGGGCGCCGCGATTCGCTGTGCACAGTTGCGTCCCTTGGGCAGCCAAGAAACCTATGATTGTGTGTTCGAATCCCGGTTCGCCCCGATTATGTTTCTAGGTTTGTCAGCACCATACCCGGGCTCGTGGGTTTCACCGAAGTGGTAAACGTCCGAGACCTGCATCACTTCGGGCCTCCTCCGACATTAAGCTGACACGCCGCGATAAAACTGGAATACTGTTAAAAGCGGCGTTAAACTCACTCACTCACCAGAATTGGTCTTCAGCAATCCATGCTTGCCCTATGAGGCGACTACCGGGAGCGGTTGGTTAGGCTCGCTGACCTGGTTGATGTTCATCGTATCTTTATTGCGTAGACTGATGCTCATGATATCAGTCACTTGACTGTCTGGTGCAGACTCGATTATTTACAAACCGCCGTCATATAGCTCGAATATTGCTGATTGAGGCGTCAAACAACAAAACAACATCCGAAGCAAAGACATGGTGGAAGTGTTTGACTGTTCACGAGGAAACCTACACTGACAAGTTCTACGAATGAAAATATAAAATACAATTGTATTTGTTGCAAAATTGCTTGTAAACTATCGCAATCCTATACACGAAACCCAAGTAATGGGTCATTGCAGGCATTGACCAATCGCATGTATGTACCACATTTTACCGTAAATCAGATGTTCCCAAAACCTGTCATTCTGGCCTGTAGATTGCAAGCGGCAGTGCAGAAACGGAGGTGTACTGAAGCCGGAAACTTGTGAGTGCGCATGCGTGAAAGGCTACCGAGGCGCCCTGTGTGGCCTTGACCCCTGCACAACCAAGTGCATCAATGGCAAGGTCAATCAGCCGAACTGCAAGTGTGAGTGTCTGGAAGGATGGAGCGGTCCGTCTTGTGGTGAGTGGTTAGATGAGGTTAACTTGTAAAACCGACATGATTAGACAGGGATTAGAAACGGTACCCAGCAAACTTGTGTTAAGATTCATGTTGATACTAAATTTATAGTGTGGTCAGACTGTGCCTTGATTGGTGTCACGGCACCGATATGATGTATGTTCCTGTCATATCGTCATGACTGGACCCGTGAAGATCCGGGGTAGAATAGATCTTCAGCAACCAATTCATGCCGTAAAAGGTGAGCTTAATTATAGCAAAACTCTGCAACTTGGTTGATGACGTATCATCTCACCATACATTGATTGATGCATTGCTCACAATATCACTGGATTGTCTGCAATATTCCAGCTATATAATGGGACAAGAGACCAGTGTAAAACACAAACAAGTACGCACAATCGTTACATTAACCCTATTTGCAATCTGTGGTGTTATATACCTAGTGAAATACCTTACTGCTATTTGACCCGTGAAGGTTCCGGGATAGAATAGGTCTTCAGCAACCCATGCTTGCCGTAAAAGGCGACTAACGGGATTGGGTGGTCAGGCTCACTGACTTGGTTGATGCATGCCATCGTATCCCAATCGCGTGGATCGACATTCATGATGTCAATCACTGGATTATCTGGTCCAGACTCGATTATTTACTGACCGCCGTCATATAGCTGGAATATTGCTGAGTGCAGCGTTAAACAAAAACTGAAACATAACTGCACTATTGATTTTGGCTTTAAACACTTAAAACAGTGATCCTGCAAACATTCTGCAAAATGAAACTGTCATCACAATTGTCACAATTACCCACATGTGAGAGGAAGGGGTGCAGTCAAGTGGTTATAACATTCGCTCATCACACCGAAGGCTTCAATTCCCCACATGGGTACGATGCGTGAAGGCTATTGCAGGTGTCCCCCCTCCGTTATATTGCTGGAATATATTTCTAAAAGCGGAGCCAAACCTTACTCGCTCATGTTTGGGATTACGTGTTATTGGAAGTTGAAATACTGTTGTCCAGATAACAAATCAGATTTGTTTATGGAGGGGATCGGTGGATGGGCGGGGATCGCTGGAGTGACATAGTAGCTTAACCGTTTCATTAGCTCTGAATTCCTTGTTTTATTAATAGATTATGTGTAAACATTGGTGTCGGACATCGTGATACTGCAATCAAGGCATGAGCGGGCATTCACACTCGTCGCCACAAATTCATATATACAAGCACATCCATCGATACTCCAGGGTCGTATGCCTATTCTATTATGATGGATACCTCACGGTAGCTTCGTTTAAGTTTGAATAAACTGTGACGCTGCAATTAACCGAATACAGAATACATCCACAAGCGAGGGACTTTCGGAAAGATGTTACTCATTGGAGATGAAGTTTCTTCCGAAATGAAACTGATGGCGAAAGGGTAGAGGGCACTTTTCGTAATAGAGAGGAGAATATAATACACTGGGTTATCGAGGATGAACGATACCAGATCAAACGGAAGAATATGGCATCCTCCCGTCATGAGGCAGCGGCCCGTGGAGCACCAATACTTCTCATAAATAACTATGCCGACCGCCTCCGTGGTCTTGTGGTAGAGCGTCCGCCCGAAGAGCGGAAGGTCCGGGGTTCATTCCCGACCGCGTCATACCAAAAGACGTTAAAAGATGGTACTTGTTGTTACCCTGTCTGGCGCTCGGCATTAAGGGGCTAAAACAAGGACTGGTCGGCTCGGAGTCAGTATACTGTGTCTGAGTGAGGTATTCATGTTAAACTGCGGCATGGTATCTCAGTGAGCTAGCACTATAAATCGGCATCAGTCCGGACTAGTACAAGCAGCCACAAAAACACACACACGTACATGCAGGTCGCTATATAAGTGCAATAATCTTGGACATGACGTTAAACCCAATTTCACCTCACCTCACCTCACCATAAATAACAATGCAAGAATAACAGATGTTCAGGTTACATTGGGAAGAATTATATTTCTTTCATCTTCCCCTTTTTGTCACTTACTCATACCAATCACACGTTCATTCGAATCATTATTTCATCTTCCCGAGGCAAGGGAGTAAACTGACTATGAAAGTCCAGTTTCAACCCTTGATAAAGGAAGATGAATTTATCACATTCATGGTGTATTCTGTCGGCGGCATGCCCATGCTCATTTGTTTAAAGTGACTTCCGTGGAGATGTTTTCCACCTACATTAAACTGACACAACTGATAGTGTACAAAGCGTCGGTAAGTGAAACTCATCCTATAGTGAAAAGTAACATTATAGTCGTACTGCTCCTGCTATATTCGTACTGCTCCTGCTATAGTCGTACTGCTCCTGCTATATTATTGCTCCTGCTATTGGCACTGCTCCTGCTATTGGCATTGCTCCTGCTATAGTACAGAGCCTGTTATACTCGTTTTTCTCCTGCTATACTCCTATTGCTCCTGCTATAGTAGTAGCACTGCTCCTGCTATAGTAGTAGCACTGCTCCTGCTATAGTCGTACTGTTCCTGCTATAGTCGTACTGTTCCTGCTATAGTCGTACTGCTCCTGCTATAGTCGTACTGCTCCTGCTATACTCCTATTGCTCCTGCTATAGTAGTAGCACTGCTCCTGCTATAGTAGTAGCACTGCTCCTGCTATAGTAGTAGCACTGCTCCTGCTATAGTAGTACTGTTCCTGCTATAGTCGTACTGCTCCTGCTATAGTTGCACTGCTCCTGCTTTAGTGGTACTGCTCCTGCTATAGTGGTACTGCTCCTGCTATAGTGGTACTGCTCCTGCTATAGTCGTACTGCTCCTGCTATTGTGGTACTGCTCCTGCTATTGTGGTACTGCTCCTGCTATAGTGGTACTGCTCCTGCTATAGTCGTACTGTTCCTGCTATAGTCGTACTGCTCCTGCTATTGTGGTACTGCTCCTGCTATAGTGGTACTGCTCCTGCTATAGTGGTACTGCTCCTGCTATAGTCGTACTGCTCCTGCTATTGTGGTACTGCTCCTGCTATTGTGGTACTGCTCCTGCTATTGTGGTACTGCTCCTGCTATTGTGGTACTGCTCCTGCTATAGTCGTACTGCTCCTGCTATAGTCGTACTGCTCCTGCTATAGTCGTACTGCTCCTGCTATAGTAGTACAGCTCCTGCTATAGTAGTACAGCTCCTGCTATAGTAGTACAGCTCCTGCTATAGTAGTACAGCTCCTGCTATATTACTCCTGCTATAGTAGCACTGCTCTTGCTATAGTACTGCTCCTGCTATAGTCGTATTGCTCCTGCTATAGTAGCACTGCTCCTGCTATAGTCGTATTGCTCTTGCTATAGTATTGCTCCTGCTATAGTAGTACTGCTCCTGCTATAGTGTTTCTGTGGGAAGGCTTCACAAATGCTCTAGACTTTCTAGAATCTTGACATGCATCTTAACGTACGTTCTTAGAAAATATTGTATTTGAATTCAGAATGCGGGCTGAAGTGTAACAATGGCGGCACCCTGTTAAAGCGGTACTGCCGATGCATGTGCGCCAACGGCTACCGTGGCGACTCCTGCAGCGACCCCCCGTGTACGACGGAGTGTGTGCGCGGCCGGGTCAACAAGCGCACCTGTGAATGTGTCTGCAGAAAATATTGGTCCGGCCCAAAATGTGGTAGGTATATCGTGACTGTATTGTAATTATTTGAAACTTTAAGGCTAAACTGTCGGATGCACGTCGTACCTCAGAAGGCGTGATTGTTGCTCTTGCTATCGACCACTAGCTCTAGTCTTACAGGACCACAATCGTTCACAGAAAGTTAGAATATCGTTCATTGCAACTTAAGAATCCACTCACGATGTTTTTAGTAAATGAAAATGTTAAGATATTCTTGAGCAATAATTATTTTCAATCTTCCCAGGCAAGTGGGTAGCTTATGTTTGATATACCATATACATGAAATAGTTAACTTTTATTAATATTGAAGTAAGTTGTATGAATAACATGGTAAACAAAACGGACTATTAGCCATGTTTGAATAAAACGAGGCAACATGATGTAACTATTTAATTCGGCAGATCCGAGTTAGAATAGGTCTTCAGCAACCCATGCTTGCCGTAAAAGGCGACTATGCTTGCCGTAAAAGGCGCTATGCTTGTCGTAAAAGGCGACAGAGGGGATCGGGTGGTTGATGCATGTCATCGTATCCCAATTGCGTGGATGCTCATCATATCAATCACTGGATTGTCTGGTCCAGACTCGATTATTTACAGACCACCGTCTTATAGCTGGAATATTACTGAGTACGGCGTTAAACAACAAACAAACGTATGTATAATAAAGCTATTAATATTCCTTGTCCTGATGACTTACTGTTTTGTTTCTTAAAGACAGGATAATAACTTGCCACCTTCTGCAGGTTGCAGCACTACTCTGTATATCAGCATATAAAAATGACGTTTGAATTTAGATAGCATTCCATGATACAAACTGTTCCCGTGCAGAGTGTCTTCCCTTAGGAGTGCCTGGATCCTTTGATAGTGGGGTCGAATCCTAAATTATCCCTGATTAGTATCCATGGTTTCTTGGCACCAATCCCATGGGCGACGTTTTTACCGAAGTGGTAAACGTCTAAGAGCTGCATCACTAAGAGATTTCCTCAACATCAAAGTGACACTCCGAGATATAGCCGACACGACGATGACAGCCAGGTTCGGCGTGAATCGCTGTTGGTTGAATTCCTATCAAACGCTGGTTAGAATATATATTTATTTTTGGTCTCGCTGGGTTTTTTCAGACTGTAATCTAAACTGCCGGAATGGTGGTGTCCTTGACCCCAACAAGTGTTCCTGTGCATGTGTCAATGGCTTCCGAGGAGCCGCCTGTGGTCTTCAGCCGTGTAAGAGCCCCTGCATCAACGGGAAACACAACCCCAAGAGCTGTGCCTGCGAGTGCTCAGAAGGGTGGAGTGGCTCCAAATGCGGTGAGAACAACATTGTGGAACTGTAGCCTGGCCACGCAGTTCATCTGATGTACTTCCTAACAGGTTTTAATTAATACTAAATTAGCAGCAGCCTTGTTACACGGGAATACGTTTTTAGGTTTAAGTCCAATCGTATTTAGCACTGGGTGTTTAGGGTGGAAACAAGACTTTGATAGAAAGCCTTTTGGACACGCTTGCCTCAGGAAGATGAGTTTTGCCCTACTTTCACCAGGTTCACATACCTTCTACGCAAGGTTATTTACAATAAGATATGACGTTAAATAACGTTTTGGTTACACTTTCGCAAAGTACTGATGCCTTTATCACTAACGTACTCAGTTTCTCAAAGATTAGGCTTTGCTGTAGAACGGATTTGTTCAAAATAACTAGGTCAAGGTCGACCTTCAGAATTTGTATTACATGTTTTCTTCATTGTCACCTTTGAGGCAAAGCAATTGGCATGAAATATAATATTTGCATCTATCTACAATATCCCAAGTCATATGGCGGTGCTTTGTCTATCAAATGTCATATTTGCGGTTTTTGTGAAAAGTTTTGGAAGAAATGTGTAACTGTTGTTGCAACTTCAATACTGTGATATTGACAGCGACCTTGGTCGTAATTAAAATAACTTTTGGAGTCATAACCTTCATATGAGGGATCCACGTGCCATGTTTATCTGAAAGCTACATATCTGTATATTGATAAGGCAGACAAGTTTCATTTGAGTCACGTGTTTATACATTCTTAAACTTGAAGTGGCATAAGATTGACAGTACATATTCCTTAAAGCTAGGTATGTATATGCAAACGTTACGCCTCTTCATTGTGTAATAATATTACCTTACCTCCATATCAAAATGTTCCGATTGGTTCACTGGTCGTGATAAAATATTACGTATACATCCCTTAAAGCCCCGCCACTTAAAAAACAGGCTGCACGTGGATGTCTGAGCGGGAGAATACATCTATTGCATCCCGCAATGAAGATTCATTTTAAATTTTAATTTTTTTTAAATTTTACAACAATTGGCAGATGGAAAGAAATAATTCGTTGTAACAGTATCAGGAACGCTAAGGGGACGCATAAAACCACATATGAAGAGCTAAGAGCCATAAAGGCCAATGTCATGTAGAGTCTGTTTTGAGAAAAGTGATGAAAACACATCTTATGCATGTTAATGAACTTTATTTTCACCGATAAATTCCTTGACATTAACGCATTCTGACAGCAGAGATATAAATGTTGTTATAAATAACATTCAAAAAAGGAAATAAACTTATGTTTTTAAATTGTGAGGGTGGAAAGGGCCAGTGTCTGTATTTTTGACCCTCAGTCATTTGCATGAGATTTATCATGTGAGATTGATAAACTACTACTAAAAGTACAAACACATACTACTGAAGTACTTTTGAATGATTTAAACTAATGCCAACTTTGTTGAAATAGTGTAGATATGATAATAAGGTTCCAAACTTTCAAAATCTCAGACAACCAGTCTCAACCACACACGGAAATGAGAGCTCTTTTTTGGCCAAAATCTAACAAAGTGACTTTGGCCCTTTTTATAGAATTTTAAGTAGCTATATTTAAAAAAACGCATCAATGAAATTCATACAATATTTTTTTCTACAGGTAGACAGGAACTCATAGATGGTACTTATGCAATAATATGCAAAAAGGGCCAAAGTGCATTTTGGCCCCGTGATACTCTCACAACGTATATAATGTAACACTCACTCAAGCCACAAGTCGGTGATAAAGGCATGACAATGTTTTCCTCCAGACTGTAACCTCACGTGTGACAATGGCGGGATCCTGGACGGGAACCGATGCGAGTGTACTTGTATCAATAAGTACCGTGGGAAGACATGCAGCAAACCCCCATGCACTACCCCATGTGTTGAAGGCCGCGTCAACCAAGACAACTGTGCCTGTGAATGTTTCCTGGGATGGAGCGGCGCCAAGTGTGGTAAGTTGGAACATCGTTGTTCAGATCGGATTATTCGCAAACCCATTTATCTGGTCAGTCGGCACCGTGGAAGAATAGGTCTTCAGCAATCCATGCTTGCCATAAAAGGCGACTATGCTTGTCGTAAGAGGCGACTAACGGGATCGGGTGGTCAGGCTCGCTGACCTGGTTGATGCATGTACTCATACCCCGTTTGCGTGGATCGATGTTCATGTCAATCACTGGATTGTTCTGACTCTGACCCAGACTCGATTATATTAGCTGAAGTATTGCTGAGTGTGGCGTTAAACAGTCGGCACCGTTCATTTGTGAGCTATCTGGCTGTCAGGTTAGATGGAAGCGTACATCCCTACAATAGTGATGCAATGGGGAGATGGTTTGCTTTGTCCACTTCCACAGAACAATCTTAGCGCTACAATTATTGTAAATCCTTAGGATCGCGATGTTTTCCCACAGGTCCGCCTTTCGTTCGTTCGTCATGATCGGCGACAATGTCTGTTTGTCAGCACTGTTAGCTCTTGCTCAGAGAAATTGCTTCATTTTCTGAAGACATGACTGACAGGTTAACATTTCACCACACGCAGCAATGAATCGTCTTCCTGTTGCTGCAAGGAAGGTAACTCCACACCGTAACCAATGACGCGTGACTAAGTGTTTTTTCACCTCCATTTTTGAAGAGTTCGAAGACCTGCATCACTTCGGGCTTTCCTCCCATATTAAGCTGACACGCCGTGATATAACTGGAATACTGTTAAAAGCTGCATTAACCCAACTCACTCACTCGTCGCCCAACTGCGTGAATCGTTGCTCATAATGGAAATCCCTAGGGTTGTTCCGTCAAAACTCGAAAATATACAGGCTAAACTTGTTTAACGCCGCACTCGGCAATATTCCAGCTTGATGGAAATAATCGAGTCTGGACCACACATCCATTTCTGGTGTCCTCCGCCATGATATTGCTGGAATATTGCTAAAAGCGGCGTAAACACTCACTCACTACATATAGCTGTAGTGCCGCGTTAAAGGAACCAAACTTGTCAAAGGGCACAACAGGGCAGTGTGGGGAGTGTTTGCAGTAAATAAGTTTTCTGAACTGTCTGGCTTTGCGTGCCATTTCTCGTAGACTCAAAAGGTTTCTAATACTAAAGTATTTCAATGACAACTAATTTTGAAAGTCATTTTGGGCCATTGATTGACATGTTTGGAGATTATCAGACGGGATGTGTGTAGTTGGGCTTCAAGTTTGATCTCTTTTGTAAAAGGTTTTGTCAGAATTCACTTGATAGCTTCAAGGGGGTGAGCCTTGTGGTTAGATTGAAACATCCCGACCTATGCCCTGTAAACATATTTTATTTTTCATTTGTTTTTTGCCTATTTTAGGTTAGTGTGGAACTTGTTTGATATAAGTGTATTCGTCGACCTTCAGTCCAAACATTCGAACCGAAGACCGTCTCCGTGGTCTAGTGGTTATGCGTCTGCCCAGAGAGCGGAAGGTCCGGTGTCATATCAAAAGAAACTTTAAAAAATGGTGGTTGTTACCCTGCCTGCTGCTTGGCATTAAGGGGCAAAGACTGTCGGCTCGAAGTCCGTATACTGCCTGAGTTTGGTGTTCCAGTGAAACTACAGCATGGTATCTCAGTGGGCCAGTACTATAAAATCGGCCCCAGTCCACATCCCCGACTCCATACACCCCACCCCCACCCCCACCCCCACACCCCCACCCCCACCCCCACACCCACACCCCCACCCACACCCCCACACACCCCCACACCCACACCCACACCCCCACACACCCACACACCCACACACCCACACACCCACACACTGCTATATAAGTGTATCAGTCTTGAACACGATGTTACACCCTATTTTACCTCACCTCAGGTAGGTTGTCAGCATTTCCATAGAAACTGGATATTTTAGGAATCGATGAGTTTCAGATTATTTATCCTTTCTGGAATTAGTATGTTCACCAGTCAGTCGTAGAAACAGTACAACTGCTGAATTATTCCTTGTAGACTGCAAACAGCTGTGCAACAACAACGGGACTCTGGATGTGGCCAATTGCAAGTGCGACTGCACGGGGGCATTCTACGGGAAGAGCTGCTGTAAGTGTCGCAAATCGAATCATGTCATGTTGTGCAATTTGAGCTCACGGTCCTATTGCAATTGTTTGCGGTCATGGACCCGTCTTCAGCAACCAATGCTTGCCATGAATTGCGACTATGCTTGTAACAGGGGTGGTCGGGTAGCCTAGTGGTTAAAGCGTTAGCTCGTCACGCCGAAGACCCGGGTTCGATTCCCGACATGGCTACAATGTCCCCCGCCGTGATATTGCTGGAATATTGCTAAAAGCGGCGTAAAACCGTACTCACTATGCTTATAACAGGCGACTAACGGGATCGGGTGGTCAGGCTCGCTGACTTGGTTGATGCATGTCATCGTATCCCAACTGCATAAATCGGTACTCATGGCAATGACTGGATTGTCAGGTCCAGACTCGATTATTTACAGACCGCCTTCATATAGCTGGAATATTGCTGAGTGCCGCGTTAAACAACAAACAAACAAATTTGGTGATGCAGCTCAACTTGTTCATAAACAAAAATGCTTTTATGAATACAGCTTTAGGGAATTGAGGAGGGATATTAAGTGGCCCACTGGGAGTCAGCAAGCACTAATACGCCATACCTGTCTTGCAGGCGACTGGTATGGTCATAAATGGCTTAATGGCTTATGATACTGGGATAAATGACCACCAACAGTGTGAGCAATTATCCACGCAATCTCCTGTCGGTTCTGGTCACCGAAAGGATACTGCGAACAGCTGCAATAATGTGGACCACAGCGCCAAACTTACTGATTTACATTTTTCTCTTTCAGCAAAATGTCGGCGGAAATGTGAATCCCCACAAGTCATCTCGCCAGCTTCATGTTCATGTCAAGGTATGACACTTCATAACGTTGTCCATCATCAGTCGTTTCTGAAACATAGACCAGTGCTTAGTACGCGAGATGGATAGGGGGGACTTCTTTGAGAGGCATTTTGAAGATGGAGTTTTTAGTAAGGATAAGAAATGTGGATGGACGACTTCTTTAATACAATTCAGAGCAACGTTTCGGTGTAGGTTCTAACACCGTTATCAAGCATGTTAATACAGAATATGATTGACAAGTATATATGCAGGTATGAAGCAATGTTGAACCAGTTGAAAACGGACACTTATTTTGATTAATGTATTTAAAAATGACATATAGTAAGTGCGTAGTTAGTAGTGGTGAGCAACACGTACCGAATTTAATATTTCAATTTTTGTCCTTTGTAGGACGATGGACCATTGTGCCAAGGTCAAACAGTCTGTCAATTTCTCCCCTCAGAACCATCTTGCATAGCTTGGTGGACAGGGCTTTCGTTCAAATCATGTGAAGTCTTTTCATTTTGTCCTCGGACATGTTGCCGGTCCTCTGCTTCTTTACTAAGTCTCTCAGTCTGATCCATCTGTCAATCCGGGCGTTCAAATTACTTAACAGATCCTACATAACGTCCTCTGTTTCCAGACCTGCCGACCTGCGATAAAACCTGTTCTGGTCCAACGGTCCTCTACAAGCGAACCTGCTCCTGTGTGCCGAACACTGGTATGTGATACGCTTGCTTGAGTTGTATCAGGACTTACAAATGTATATCATTAATACCTCTGGCTTACCGCAAGAGTCGATACAATCGATCGTGTGCTGAGGCTCCGTGATCTGCCCGACTTGGTGTCACCGTGTGCTGATGACGGGGATCTGTATTCCAGCATGGTCGGGTCATAACACAAAACTTTAAAAGATGGTATTTGTTGTTACCCTGCCTGTCGCTTGGCATATAGGGCTCAAACAAGGACTGGTCGGCTCGTAGTCAGTATACTGTGTCCGAGTAGTGTATCCATGTTAAACTGGGACGTGGTTTCTCAGTGGGCTTGCGCTATAAATCGGCATTAGTCTTGACTAGTACACGCAGCCACACACACACGTACATGCACGTCGCTATATAAGTGCAATAATCTTGGACGCGACGTTAAACCCATTGTCACCTCACCTGGCACACTGCCGAGTTCTGCGGTCGTCAGTAATTGGATGGACACTGTCATAAAGTGGAAACCCACCGCTCCCGCACGGCTTAAAAACATTCATATGCCTTTTCAATTATTCACATTTGTTTGCGTAATCCTAAATATGTGAACGTTTACTAAAACACCTTAGTATCGTAATGGGCCTGCTGATGCAAAACTTGTTTATTACTTTCATACTAACGTTTAAGGTTGCATGGGTAACGCAGGTTCCGTAGATCCACAGTAACGGGACATACTTGTCGATGCCCATAAAACGTTTTCGGTGTGACCTGGCAGTGCCTGTTCCCGATTGCGTAGCCTGGCTCAAACTCCATTTAAAGGCAGCCGTGAAAAAGCTTCAATACTGCTCACTGTCCTGTAAGGCCCGTGACGATCCGGGGTAGAATAGGTCTTCAGCAACCGATGCTTGTTGTAAAAGGCGACTAACGGGGTCGGATGGTCAGGCTCGCTCACTTGGTTGATGCATGTCATCGATCCCAATTGTGATCGATGCTCATGATGTCAATCACTGGATTGTCTGGTCCAGACTCGATTATTTACAGACCGCCGTCCTATAGCTGCAATATTGCTGATTGCGGCGTTAAATAACCAACCAACCAACGATACCCATTAAACGTTTTCGGTGTGACCTGACAATGCCTGTTCCCGACTGCGTTGATCAACAACTGCGTAGCCTGGCTCTAACTCTAGTTAAAGGCAGCCCTGATAAAGCTTTAATACCGCTCACTGTCCTGTAAAACATTCACAACTTGTGTTGCCCTGTTCAGTGAACTGCGCCCAGTTTGACGGCACCAAGTGTAAGAAGGTGGTCGACGGCAACTTCTGTGGAACACCTGCCTCTAATGCCGATTGTCCTCAAGGATGCGGACTCTGTGGTGAGTACAGAAACTACACTAGCAGTAAACTATGCTAGTAAAAGGCAAATAAATTGGATGGTGGTCACAATCGGCTGTGGTTTCGCACCCCGACGACGTGGGACGTTGTTCATTATATCAACTACTGGTTTGTCGAACTCGATTTACAGCCTGCTCCGACATCGTCCAATCATGGTATATCCTGGGATTATATTGTCACATCCCTTACACTGGCATCAACCCAGATCTGGGTTAAAATGGGTCTTCAGCAACCCTTGCTGGCTGTAAGAGTTGGAATCCCTGTTCGCCCCAATTGTTTCTAGGTTTGTCAGCACCATACCCGTGCTCGTGGGTTTCACCGAAGTGGTAAACGTCTGAGACCTGCATCACTTCGGGCTTTCCTCCCACATTAAGCTAACACGCCATGATGTAACTGGAATACTGTTAAAAGCGGCGTTAAAACCAATTCACTCACTCTCATGTTTCATGTGCATTGACTAGCCTTTGCATGTGTTTGTGATGGGTGCACGGTAGCAGGACACGTTCACCTGATAGACCAAGTATTTGATAGTACTTCATAAACACATGCTTGTGATTATAGTCGGAGCGTACAATCAACTGTTTTTCAATTTCTGATTTTGGAAAAGGTTTTGCCTTTTTTTTTGCGGACAGACGGTATAGTCAATAACTCACTGTAGACAGTTGTCCCTTGTGTGACGCATCCACACATCCTCGTCACCCTCAGCTGTATACAATCCGTGGGATTCCAAATGACATTCATCCCGGTAACCATGCTTGTCAAACACAACTGAAATCTGATCTTGTTTGTGTGACACCGTACCACAATTTGTTCACAATGTCAATCACTGGAATCTCAGGTCAATTACATGCTGTCGACTTTTGACTGGAATATTGTAGGCGGCGCTAACCACATTCCTGAACACTTGTCATTTGAGCGTTTGAGTAGAGAAAAATCCATATTGGTTTTGTTCAGAGAAAGACTTCACTCCGCCGCCAAAGGATGACAAACCCAAGGCACACATTGACGATGAGGAGGAAAATCCTTTCGGTAAGTAATACCAAGACATCCTTAAGACATTGTTCCGTCGTGTTTGATGGTCATTGCTTGCAGGGGGCACGGGTGGCCCAGGTGGCCCATTTGTCTAAGGCGCAGCGATTCGCTGTCCGGAGTTGCATCCCTTGGGCAGGCCAGAAACCTATGATTGTGGGTTCGAATCGCCCCGATTGTTTCTAGGTTTGGCAGCACCATACCCGTACTCGTGGGTTTCACCGAAGTGGTAAACGTCCGAGACCTGCATCACTTCGGGCTTTCCTCCCACATTAAGCTGACACGCCGCGATATAACTGGAATACTGTTTACAGCTCACTCACTCACTACCAGTTTTTGGAGAGTGGGTTCCTTTTCAGGGGCTTCCCGCGAGAGCAACAAACAATGATTGAATCCGAAAATTTCAATAGATCCGAAGATAAATGTCTTCGTGGCTAGAAATCCGTAGGATCCGAAGCTATCCGAAATCCGAAAAGTTAGATTTCACTGGTATCCTAAAATCCGAAAAGTATGAAGCAGGTCCCCATTATGCAGTTGTACGGAACTCAAGCTGCACAAAACAACCCATATTAGTTTATACGCTCGTCCGTGTTAGTTTAAGGTCGGCGAGGTAGCGTGACGTGAAACTCCGTGCCTAGGACGAGACCTCAAGCAAACGAACAGCTCTGGCTCGTCGTATGCTGTAAACAGTTTCAGTTTTTGTGCTGCAGCCATGAACGGAGGAGGAGCAGTGCATTCGTTTATCTGTCAATAGACACGACATTCTTAATTAATAATTTGCCTTTGACTTTTTTTTAAACACGCAATTTATAATAACTGTTGTTACCAACTAAGTATTTATCATCTTGTCACGTAGCATCCAAAGTCTGGCGAAGCTAATACTTTATTTTTTTAACCATATCAAGGAGATACACGTTTCATTGATTTTTTTAAAGGTGGTACTTTTGCAAAATATTTACACCGAATGCAGATTTGGGGATACACGTGAAAGAAATACAAAGAAGCCTAAAAATCCACCTGCTATTGCGACTTCACTTCTTTATCGACCACCCCGATCATGTTTCTAGGTTCGTCAGCAGTAAAACCCGTGCTCGTGTGTTTCCCCGAAGTGCTAAACGTCTGAGACCTGCATCACTTCGGGCTTTCCTCCCACATTAAGCTGACACGCCGCGCTATAACTGGAATACTGTTAACAGCTCACTCACTCACTCACTATCGACCAGTTTTTGGAGAGTGGGTTCCTTTTCAGGGGCTTGTAATGAATACGTAAGCAAGCTACAAGCTATGGTCACTGACAGCGTCAAAATTTGTAGCATACCTATTGATGCAAGTACCTGCTCTGTCGTAAAGCGCACATTTGTAATCCAGAAGGTAAATACAATTTGTAATTTGAATGTGGTACCGTCGGAATCAGGAATGAGAATACGACACATTTCAGTATTTATGTATTATAAAAGTAGTAACTGGAATACTGTATTATAAAGAAATAACTGGAATACTGTTAAAAGCGGCGTTAAACCCAACTCACTCATTCATTGCTTGTCATGCGGAGATACTTCCCCTTGACTCAACCAGGAGCCCTACACCCGCGATTTTCACCGAAGAGGTTAATGTCTGACTCGGCTTGACGTTACCCAACGCGCTGCAATATAAACATTTCACAAAGTGATTGCAGCGTTGTGGGCGGTAGCAAGTCATGCAACCACTACAATACTGCTACGACCGACCCTGAAGTTCCCAGTCAGAATAGGTCTTCAGAAACCCATGCTTGCCTTCAAAGGCGACTATGCTTGTAAGAGGCGACTTGCGGGCTCGGGCTCGCTGACTTGTTTGCTGCACGTCATCGTATTCCAATTACGTAGATCATGAACATCGGAATGTCTGGTGCGAACTCGATTATTTACAGACTGCCGTCATATACATGTAGCTGGAATACTGTTGAGTGCAGGGTGAAACAAAACCGCTACATTGAAACATTGCCGAGTTGGAACCAGGATAGGACTTTTTCTGTAGGCGCCAATACTTGTCATCGTATCCCAACGGCGCGGATCGTTGCTCGAGGAATCAATCACTGGATTGTCTGGTCTGTACTCACTTTGTAGGCATCCGTGATGTAGCTGGAAAATGTAACATGAATACAATACTCAGTAAACCCCTAACTCCATGTGTTCTGTTATCACTTGCAGCAAGTGGGTGTGGCAAGAAGCCGGATGTTGCCAATGCCAACTACACCCAGTACGGTGACGGGTCCGTGATGACTGTCCTCATCTACGCGTGTCTTCCCGGCTTCACTAAGACCGGGTCAGGAGTCAGTCAGTGCCAGGAGGATGGCACATGGTCGGAGTTCGAGTTCACCTGTACAGGTAAGTGTAGTCATACCTGTACCGGAAGTGGGAACGGATGTCACGTGATCAGACCGTACTGAATGGTGGAAATAAAACTCTCATTGTTTTTGAGTTTGCAGTACATTTACTGCGTATCCGAATTTAAAAGATGTTCATAATTCGTTCCCAATTTTCAGCGTTTACCTGTTATTTTCTGAATTCAGTTCTTGCAGATCGTTCTGCCGCACGGGTGGCCCAGTCGTCTGAGGGGCCGTGCAGAGTTGCGTCCCTTGGGCACGCCAGAAACCTATGATAGTGGGTTCGAATTCCGGTTCGCCCCGATTATGTTTCTAGGTTTGTCAGCACCATACCCGTGCTTGTGGGTTTCACCGAAGTGGTAGGGTGACGACATATGTAATAGTAGCATGAGGGTCGTAGTTCATCAAATTTTTCAATAGCATAAAACGTCATTGCCACAGAATGTATTATATATTTTTTCGTCACGCATCCTGTTCTACTTTTGGCTCGTAATAAATCCACTTTGGTATTGATGTGAAACGCCATTGATTTTGAAACTGAATTTATTCGTTCTTTTCGTATTCGTAAAATCTTTCTCGCCTACTACGTCGGATGACTAGAAAATCTTTACTTGGTTATGCAGCACCAAAGTACAAGAGGAGTATTAATGGATGTGGGCCCCCTCCTGACCTGAATGGGATGACTGTCTCCTACTACAACACCACCACGGAAGGGGCAACCGCGATGTACCAGTGCTTAAAGGGATACACCGGATCTGGGTTTGGTCTGTCCGAGTGCACGCGTTACCAGCAGTGGACACGGCCCACACTCACATGCTCAGGTCAGGTCACTATCAAACATAACCCAGATCAGAATCATTATTGCGTGATTGTGGGTGAGTGAATCAACGAACATAATTTGTTCCAGATTAAAAAGAATCCTGAGGGTTCAAACAATACTGTACGCCTGCTCCTTAGAATATGTCTTAGAACATGTTGTCCTTCACTTTCTTTTCAACAATTCTAAGGGTAGCTAAGAGCTGGGCCACTTGCACAAAACGATCTTAGTGCTAAGACTATTGTAGGTCTATGTTAAAGTATGAGTTAAGATCGCTTTGTGCAAGTGGGCCCTGTTCACTACCTGCTGTTCACTACCTGAAACACTTAACTCGACCCACAACTGAATTTCAGACTAATTCAAACACTTTTTGAAGACAATCAGCTGTCAATATTTAGAGTCATAAATAGCAAATGGCGAATGTGACACGATAATACATTTGTGAACGAATCTATACAAACAACGGGTTTAAAGTCAACATTTCACTTCGAACAACTAAGTAATAATTTAAATTATTCGTTGTAGAAATGCGTAGCTGTATGTCGCTTTTTTTTTTGTACTTGCAGCACGATCGAGCTCCTGGATACAGATGGGGGAAGCGTTGCAATCACACAATCCCCAGTTCTACTCAATCGTGCATAATCTCTTCTGGGAGTCGTGTTCCCCAACCATGAGCGTCTCGGTGACCGTGGGACCAGACAATTTGTTGTTCTATCTTCACAACGTCGGATGGGACGGGTCTGACATCGGGGGGCAGTCTGTTCTAAGGCTAACCAAGCAAGACTGGGATACGTTCTCGTCAAGACCAAAGCGTGAGTTCAACACGTTCCTGACCAACTCGGACTGGACCATCCTTGTCTTAGGCGATGACGGAGTCTTTGAAAGGAAGACCCGGCGGTCGAACCTAGGTTGGTCGTACAAGAATGATTCCTGCCTGGTGCATGTGGGTTCTGATTCGGATGCTGTTCTGGCAGGACTTCTCGATGGAAGCAGTCTTCATCAAAGGGACGTAACTCACGTTGAGGGCGAACTTTTTGCCACTCAACAAAGTAAAAGTGTGTCCGATTTTAATAATCGAGAAACAGGTTGGTATACCAACAAAGAGTTATCAAACGGTGTTCAAAAAATAATCCGTTGGCACCCGAACAAGGCAATGGTGACTGCAAGCAATGATGACGAGAGACCTCAATGGTGCCTGGACACGTGTTGGCACGAGGTGCCGTTAACCAAGAATACGGCTCAGCTGATCAAAGGAATCGAAGCTGGACACAATATTCTTATAAAATCTGGCAATATATTGGCTGCTGCCCGAGACATCGTAGTGTATGAAGGTCAGGTGACTGCTACCCTCAGGGAGCATTGGTCCCCTTCTGACCAATCCGCATTCTCAGAACATTCGGAACAAGTCTGGCAGTCCGTTTCGTCCCAAGGGGAGGTAACCTCATGCAAACACAAACCGGAATCGTCAACAGTAACATCCTACACGAGAGAGTATCTCCCAAGTAGGTGGTTCCTCGACAGTCGGTCATGGAGAATGATTCTATCCATTGATTCCAAAGGAACAGTCATTTCTGGCTCCAAATCGGATCTCATTGTCGGCATCAAATCTAGCAAGGAACTTCGACTCGGCATCCGTCACGACAACGGTCTGCTTCACTACATGAGTGTCGACACAGTGGTTTGGCGGGATTCAGGCGAGGTCGCTGCGGAGGTCGTACAGCTCCCGGGTCTGGAGCTAGGCAAGGATTCAAGATTCAGTTTGTATTCTAACTGTCGCACATGGGCAGCTATTATTACAACAGAAGGGAAGTACAAAGTGTACGAGTACACCCTTGGCAATATAGGCAAACATGAAGTCAAGACGGGTGTCGTCAGTATAGACTGGTTCGTGTACTGAACGTCTCTCACCCTGGTGTCGGTTGCTCGTTTTTACGTAATAAAATGGTCCATGGTATTTATTTCTTTTGTTTGTTTAATAGCGCACCCGTGAAGACCCGGGTTAGAATAGGTCTTCAGCAACCCATGCTTGCCGTAAAAGGCGACTATGCTTGTAACAGGCGACTATGCTTGTAACAGGCGACTATGCTTGTAACAGGCGACTATGCTTGTAACAGGCGACTGTGCTTGTAACAGGCGACTAATGGGATCGGGTGGTCAGACTCGCTGACTTGGTTTATGCATGTCATCGTATTCCATTTGCGTGGATCTATGCTCATGTCAATCACTGGATTGTCTGGTCCAGGCTCGATCATATAGCTGGAATATTGCTGAGTGCGGCGTTAAACAACAAACAAATGTTAAATAGCGAGTGAGAATGGTTTACTTTTAGTTGCTACCAGCAACAGCTTAATCACTGCGATTCCCACACACATTCCTGGTTTCCCCCGCCTGATATTGCTGGACATACGATTATCCCTATCAAACGTTGAGCAGTAAGTGATCAAGCCTGAGCCAGTAGGGCCCCGTTCCACAAAGAGATCGTAGCGCTACGGCTGTCGTAAGTCTATGTTAAAGTATGGGGGTTACGATCATCTTAGCATTACGATCGCTTTGTGGAACAGGACCCAGGTCACTGGATTGGAAGCATGGCTATCTGGCTATGGTAACCGGCAATACGCCAGGTGACCATCTGGTCCTCAGTTGTCGGCTCATGATTATCTGGTCCAGACCCGATGGCCTACGTGACTTAAACATTCCTTCACTTACAAGCAGTGGAGATTCAGGGTTAGGACACCAGTAACCAATGCTTGTAAATGGCGAATAAATTGGATGGGTGGTCAAAATCGGCGACTTGGTTAATTGTGTTATTTCGTTCCCCTGTGAGGGCGGTCGGGTAGCCTAGTGGTTAAAGCGTTAGCTCGTCACGCCAGGACCCGGGTTCGATTCCCGACATGGGTACAATGTGTGAAGCCCATTTCTGGTGTCCCCCGCCGTGATATTGCTGGAATATTGCTAAAAGCGGCGTAAAACCATACTCACTCGTTCCCCTGTGGTGTGGGGCGTTGTTTATGATATCAGCTACTGGTTTGTCCAACTCGATTTACAGCCCGCCCTAACATCGTACAATCGTGGTATTCTGTGATAATATTGCCACATCCCTAACACCGGCATCAACCGTGACAATCCGAGATAGAACAGATCTTCAGCAACCCATGCTTGTCGTTACAGGCGATTATTCTTGTAAGAGGATCAAACGGGATCGGGTGGTCAAGGCTCACAGACTTGGTTGATGCGTGTCATCGTATCCAAACTGCGTAGATAGATGCTCATGTCAATCACAGGTTTGTCTGGCCCAGACTCGATTATCTACAGACCGCCGTAATATAGCTGGAACATTACTGAGTGCGGCGTTTAACAACAAACATTGGCATGATCGTTCCCGACCATTAAGTTCACACGTACATAAACAGTTGACTCCGTCTTGTGTGCATATTCATTCTACTTGTGCGCACATCTACATAACTCGAGTGGTTTATTTTTAAACATTCGCACCGAAGCACAACCATGGCACGAAATAAGACAAGAATTAATGCTTACAAATTGCAAACACTTATAAATATGGTCGGCATTGCTGCTTGAAACCTCAGGTGATGACGTAGCCTAGCGGTTAAAGCGTTCGCTCGTCACGCCGAAGACCCGTGTTCGATTCCCGACATGGGTACAATGTGTGAAGCCCATTTGTGGTGTCCCCCGCCGTGATATTGCGGGAATATTGCTAAAAGCGGCGTAAAAGCTCGCTCACTCAGGTGATGACTGGTCTCGGGAGCATGTTTGTACGAGGCGAGTAAATGAATAGGGTTATCGAGTTCGCTTACTGGCTTAATTGCTTGTAATCGAACGCCGACGATCTGGGCTCATTATCATTACTTGTATACCGCAGGTATCCAGGTACTAAATTACTCACGGAAATGAAAAAAAACTGTTTTTCTCAATTTAAAAATCGACACAAAGTGTTACGTAGCTGTAAATACGAAATAACAAAACAACTCGAAAAGTACTAGCCTGGATTTGCTAGTTTGATCTCAGTGAACAATACAAAATGTACTTTACAGGAGGTAATGTGTCGGCACTTTCAACATTCAAAAATAAAAGTCCAAATTGACATAGCAGAAACAGACTATAGGCATTATGCACCTGTTCTCACCTGTCAAGGTGTCATAGGTCACCTTGATCTACTTACACCTGGTTATGCCCTGTTTCACAATAGTCTGTTTTATTCACATTTTTACACACTTTTACGTGTAAAAAGGCATCAAAACATTTGATAAGCTGTATTTGTGCCACGGCCCAATTAGTACTAATTTAGTTTGAATATTTACATATTTTGTATATTAACTGCATTTAAGATCTGAGGTCGAAAAAACATTTTTTTTTTTTCATTTCCGTGAGTACTTTTAGTAACTGCTCAAATGCGGTTTTTTACAAACTTTTCAAAAAGTTTGTTTTATTCTTTTTTATTTATTCCCCGAGAAGTGGATCCGCTTGCATTCGAGTTATCATTCATCAATCACTTGTTTGGAAGAAGTATATACATGACCCCGTCTTTACTGAACTTTGTTACTCTGGTCGCTAGCAGCGATATTGGAGTACAATTTAAGTATTGATTATACAAAAATGTAATAAACATAAACATCTTTCCCAGTCGGATCAGCTACAGAACACGACTAAAATGTACAACATTATTGAAATATGATTTCCAGGTTGGAAGTTCATCATGATTATTGTACAGAACTTCGTTTTCTCAATATTCCTAGTCTGTGGCTAGTAAAAAGTAAATTCATTTTATACGTGAGGATTTACTAATAATATTTATGAACGTAGGGATTAATAATTATATACTACTCAAAAAAAGTTAAAGAACACCAGATTCGTTTATATTACTGTAGTTAATCTGTCATGCTATCAGATTAACTATGGCAATGAGAAAGAATCAGAGGTTCCTTAACTTCTTTTGAGTAGTATATTATGAACGATTTGTTTCGAAACATTTTATATGAAAAAATGTGGATTAAGAACTGACTTACAAATAAGAATAATTGATACAATGAATGTTTTCTCACCGCCCAAGGGGGCACGGGTGGCCCAGTCTTCTAAGGCGCCGTGATACGCTGTGCAGAGTTGCGTCCCTTGGGCACGCCAGAAACCTATGATTGTGGGTTCGAATCGTGTTCGCCCCGATTGTTTCTAGGTTTGTCAGCACCATACCCGTGCTCGTGGGTTTCATCGAAGTGTTAAACGTCTGAGACCTGCATCACTTCGGGCTTTCCTCCCACATTAAGCTGACACGCCGTGATATTGCTGGAATATTGCTAAAAGCGGCGTAAAACCATACTCACTCACTCACTTTGATGCGGACACAAACCGAATGTTGCGTCTGGAAAAGGGAATGCTCTGGTTTCTTCAGTTCAATGTTGCGCACGTAAAATCACTATACCCAGTGCAAACAAAGTATCCGTAGAAAGAAAGATTTTCATCTTTTAACCACAGTTGATCAAGTAAACATTAGGTTTCCTAGTACTGCAACATATCTTAATTGAATTGTTTGAAAGGCATTTCTAAGAAGTTGACATACATAATATATGGATAAATCAAATAAAGAAGTTGTTATCCATAAATTCATTGTCTACTTTATCTTAATAGTTTCTTGTAAAACGGATAAATAGCAATAAATTACACGTGTGATGAAAAAGATCTAAGCTGCTTTTATATTTACTTAGTTTAATTAAAAAGCGGTTAGGCTTTCACAAGGAACGCTTTTACCGTCTGATTTATTGCACGGCGACTTGCTTTATTTACTTTTCGTTTGAGAAAGTTACAAGGGGATGAGTATTAGTTGGAAAGATGAAAACAAACATTTGAAAGAAACTTTATCTGTAAATTATAACACCAAACACGTTTGCGTTAGTCGGGCAGAGAGGGAGCCACGCTGTGGCCAAGACAAGATGGCGTCGGATGTAGACCAACGCTCGCTGCTCTTTGATTCAAATCGTGTGTTGAAAGGCGATATGCGTGAAGAAAGTTCACAAAATTTTCGAAAGGTCTGTTACATGACGGGGAAGTGTTTGAGAATACGTCGCAAACTTTTGACACGCGTTTATGAAGAAATTAACAATATTGGGTTTCCTCCCTCGGTTGACGGGGCAGTCATTTATGTTGAGTGAATATGTTGTCACACCGGAGTCACAACCAGAGAGAAGATAATCAGAACTTATTCAGACTTGTCCTGTTCCAGAAGAAGATTTTGTGTTAAAACTGGTAGAAAGGGCAAACAATAGCATAGCACAATAGAGTTAGATGCTCTACCCCATGTCTTACAGAATGTGTTAACAGCGTGAAGATTTACCTCATCCCACAGGCTCCTTAACCTCGCCCCACAGGCTCCTTAACCTCGCTCCACAGGCTCCTTAAAGAGAAGAATGGATAGAGAAGATCGAGATATGGAGACACTTTGTCGCGGAAACTGGCAAGAGATAATTTTATTGTATTCAGAGGCTATTAAGGAAATTTCATCAAAGATTTATTTGAATTTTTCTGGGCACATGAAAGGATACGAGAAGGTTGAAGCCCTGCAATCAAGAGACAATGAGACCTATTTCCCCATACTTCATTTTGCTGCTGAGAAACGACGAGGTATTAGCACTTTTGGACAGGAGTAAACATTAGGGAGGTAACACCCATTAAGATGTATGGTTCATGATAAACAAAAAGTACGCAATCACAACGTTGTGGGTTTCAATTTAACCTATACACGTATATGCATGTCTCCACTGATCTCGTTCATTTTAAAATAATATTACAACAATGTAACTCGTACAAAAAGATGAATTATGAAAAAGATATTAATAACGTTACCACTACAGATATAGCAATGTCAGCAGTATATACCACCATGATTGTGTCAACTTAATACTTTCGGTGAAAAAACCCACGAGCACGGGTTTTAGTGCTGACGACCCTAGAAACATGATCGGGGTGGTCGATAAAGAAGTGAAGTCGCAATAGCAGGTGGATTTTTTAGGCCTCTTTGTATTTCTTTCACGTGTATCCCAAAAACTGCATTCGGTGTGAATATACCACCTTTAAAAAAATCAATGGAACGTGTGTATTATATGGTTAACAAAAGTTAAAGTATTAGTTTCGCCAGACTTTGGATGCTACGTGACATGATGATAAATACTTAGTTTGTAACAGTTGAATTGCGTGTTAAAAAAAGAAACAAAGGCACATTAGTAATTAAGAAAGTCCGATTTGGAATGTCGTGTCTATTGATAGATAAACGAACGCACTGCTCCCTCCTCCGTTCATGGCTGCAGCAATGCGGTGGTTGTTGCTTTGAGAATAAACTGAAACAGCACACGACGAGCCAGAGCTGTTGGTTTGCTTGAGGTCTCGTCCCAGGCACGGAGTTTCAAGTCACGCTACTTCGCCGACCTTAAACTAACACGGGCGAGCGTATAAACTAATATGGGTTGTTTTGTGCAGCTTGAGTTCCGTACAACTGCATAATGGGGACCTGCTTCACACTTTTCGGATTTTAGGATACCAGTGAAATCTAACTTTTCGGATTTCGGATAGCTTCGGATCCTACGGATTTCTAGCCGCAAAGACATTTATCTTCGGATCTATTGAAATTTTCGGATTCAATCATTGTTTGTTGCTCTCGCGGGAAGCTAACGAGCGCCGGAACGTATTACGATATCCCGTAACTGATGTATATAACCTGCTACATATAAATTAACTCCTCAACTCACGTGGGGAACAAAATCCGAGGCTTGCAGCGTCTACTGCGGCTATCCGTGAATGTGCCGTTGATTTTTCGGATCGGATGGGTGGATCCGAAATTACGGGCACACGGCGGCTGACGCGTATGAAATAATTGTTCTTCTGAATAGACTCCAATAACCAGCAGGACTCGATTTTTACTTTACCGCTAAACGGGAATGGGCCCGATTTACCTTGAATCTGGATGTACGTCGCGTGCTGACATGTCGAAGTATCATTTCCGGCTTTGCGTCGGCTTGCTTTACGAGTTTAATGTTCGCCATAACGGAAGGGGGTGGGAGTGTTTGTTCTATCACAAACTACATGGCGGGTATCACCAAAAAAAGGACAGTTCTATTTTTTTTTCGTAATTTGAACATTATTTCGCGGACTGGTCATTTGTTTTAGGATGGACACATGACAAAAAATACATATAATGTGTCTCAAATAAATGTTCCATAAAATGTGTGTGTGTGTGTGGGGGGGGGGGGGGGGGGGGGGGGGGGTTACAAAATATGCTACATTCCTAAGAGCAATCTCACCGCCCCACCCTCCACACACCCCTAATAAATGACTAGTCCCTTACTTGACGCAATATAAATGATAAGGAATATCTGCAATGCGATTTCGTTTTTTGTATCGATCTTGTTAAATCCATGTGTGTTGGTGGAACAGTTCAAAGTTGCTTTTTAACCCGAAGATATTTCCACTTTGGTGAGACCCATGATGTAGTATAACGGGGTCTCAGAAACCAATAATCGCACATTCTGGTCTTTGTACCCGCAAGCAACTGCTGACTGGGACAACAACTTGCGACGCCTTTGGCCACAAAGTGTTCAGATTGTAACAGTTTAAACAGCCAGTTTGATGGTATTAACACCATAATGATAGCCATTTTGTTATTGTAGCTTGGTAAAATAACTACAGTGCCACGTGACCAATAGCGTATGTGCTGAAATCGCTTCAAGAATGATAAGTTTCCCTAGGAAATCAAAGAATATTAATATCTTGGTTATTTTTTTAATAGTCGTTTGTTATAGTTGTACGTGTACATATTTCATAGTATCCAGACTCCAATATTTACAGAGCGCTGGGACGTTGCTGAGCTCTGCGTTAAACAAACAAAACAAGGCTTGTAATTTGTGCAGTGTGTGTAAAACGAGGCATGATTTCTGCATATACTGTGTATAATCATTACTGACACATCGATATACATAATAGATTTTGATTGTTTTACCAGACAGAAATGGTAAGTAATGTTACAACTTCATTCCATCTTACAGTGATGGTCCGAGAGCAAATGTCATCAGATGTTGCAAATCCCCCCCCGCCCCCCCCCCCCCCCCCCCCCCCCCACCAACACACACACCCTTACCCCCATACAGCCCCAGAGCGCAACGCGGTCAGAACAATACCTTTTCCACTACCGTAATGAGTCTCTGAGCGCGAATTAAACACACTTCCCATTGCTACAGACGTGAAGTCTATGCATGTGTCCCATCTGAACAGAACTAATAATTCTAGGCTGGGATCCGTCTCTGTATCTCATGAAATAGTAAGCGGAAATTTATGACGCGCTGATAAATCAGGGAACCAGTTCTACCGAATCCTTGCCACGGATGTTGACGTTTTGTATTATGTCGCAAAGTATTTCTCCGTGGTATTTGTTCGAACGTAGATATATTTTTCAGACTAGGCCACTTAGAACATTTCTATCATTGAAATAAGATACTTCTCACAAGATGGAATGTAAATATAGTATTTACATAAATAAAAATTTCATTGAGAGGAAACCAGTCACTAAATTGTTGTGGTTAGTTTCCAAGATGGACGCCAAGAAACACAAGTTGAAATACGATTGAATGGATCTGTATTCACCGGGATGAATGTATTCGAAGCCAGTGTCATGTGGAAAGGTAGGTACCTGTTTCTTATGTAATTTTCTTCTCTTGTTTGTTTTGGCTAACATCAGAGATGAACTGAAAACTCACGAAGAAAATGTTTGATAAAACTGTTCCGTTTTCGATCACACAATATCGTCCTCTACCTCATTATACATGAGTGTTCGTACCATCACGTACCCTGTATTTGGCATCTAAATGGCGGTGGGTACAGTGTATTTGTTACCATTTGCGATTAATAACTTTTTGAAGTAGTTATAAGCACTTGTAGGCAGTGTAGGAAATGATTGCCAAAGTTCACTGGCAAGGAAAAATGGGTTGCCAGTAAACTTTGGCAACTAATACCTTCAAAAAGACTTCCACCTGTATCCCCCTTTAACTGCACTGGTCGAATATTTATACATTTTGATTATCTCACCAAATTGGTTAATATATATTTCACACTGTGTCCAATACATTGCTGCTCACTCCTTTTAGGCTAAAAAAAATAAGTCTTGGTTCTCAGGCACAGCCGCATCATTATAAAGTTCGCCGCACGTTTCGTTTTTATTTCCATTTTAAAAAAAATAAATTAAAAATCCTTAAACATTCCAAGTCCAACAAGAGTCAAATACTGTCCTATAGTATTTTACTCATCAAGGAATACATTTATGCATGGAGGCCCTTTCACAGGTTGATTGTACACAATTGTTTATTAATTACACAACTGTTTGTTGGTTACATACTGGTTTGAACAACAACAACAACAAAAAAGACACCCCCCGCCCGCACTATATTTTCAAAGACCGCCTCCGTGGTCTAGTGGTAGAGCGTCCGCCCGGAGAGCGGAAGGTCCGGGGATCGATCCCCTACTGCGTCATACCAAAAGACGTTAAAAGATGGTACTTGTTGTTACCCTGTCTGGCGCTCGGCATTAAGGGGCTAAAACAAGGACTGGTCGACTCGGAGTCAGTATACTGTGTCTGAGTGGGGTATTCATGTTAAACTGCGGCATGGTATCTCAGTGAGCTAGCACTATAAATCGGCATCAGTCCGGACTAGTACAAGCAGCCACACAAACACACACGCGTACATGCAAGTCGCTATATAAGTGCAATAATCGTGGACGCGAGGTTAAACCCCATTTCACCTCACCACCTATATTTTCAAAGAACATTGCCTGAGAACCAATTCTTTTTTTTTTTTAGCCTTAATAATATATCTTTTTTGAGGGGAGAATACGGGTGGAAGTCATACTGGTTAGCAGGCAGGCAGCTGTTTTAAACACTACTTGTAGGTGCATTTACTGTACAATCTCATTAAAATCAGATCTTAGTTCTCGCTACCGCTAAACAAAGATCTGAGGACATCCCATTAGGGTTCACGTCAGAACGGCCTTTCGTGAACTTTGACCGATCAATGAAATGATTGACAGGAAATCGACATTAGCCAATCAAAAGGCAGCTTTCTCGAGCTTTACGACACTAGTTTCAACCTGGCGACTATGCTTCGAAACATATTTTGACGTATTCTCGATTAACATTTTTAAAACTGATAAAAAGAACATTCTGGAATGGCTTATAGATGGCCTAGCTTGTATGGATATAATCATGAAACCTGTAACTGTCGTTCGGAATACCCTCTGTTAAATATTTTGAGGTTGCATGATTAAAAAACACATTCCGTTTGTCACTTTCATGATCTGGTAAGCGACGCTCTGATTGGTCGGATGAAAGGTCATTCTGACGTGACCCGTAATGGGATGTCCTCAAATCTTTGTTTAGCGATAGGGAGAACTAAGATCTGATTTTAATGAGATTGGTTTACTGTATGCCCTCATCTGTAACTTTTTTTTACGGGATGATCCGTAAAAATATAGAAAGCATATAGAACAAGAGTGCTCTGAGAGCACAACATTCCCCGCATGAATTTATTCAACGAGTTTATATTTTCGTTGTATTTTATGAAATAACAGTAGATGGCACTGCATTTGAAACAAATTGTGCAGAACATTTTTGGGGGAGTAATCCAGTCTGAATGCTAATGCCATAAGGATGTAGCTCACCCACAAAAGCCTTATACAAGGAAACTAACTATAGTTATAGTTATAGTTAGATATTGTGATATTCTCTGAAAACTGGAGGAGGAGTAGATTTCATGAAGTAACTCTGTCAAAATTTGTCGAAATGAAACGGGACTGCAATATGCGTATCATCAACATGTCGACATTTTGTGTGTAGAGTGTCAGGGATATTCTCTAAAAGCTGGAGGAGGAGTTGATTTCACAAGCTTCGTACCCTCTCTCACAATTATGCAAATGAAGCTCCGTAAAACAGGGGCAGTAACTCTGTCACAATTAGTCGAAATGAAACGGGACTGCGATATGCCTATCATCAAGATGTCGACATCTTGTGTGTAGAGTGTCAGGGATATTCTCTGGAAACTGTAGGAGGAGTTGATTTCACAAGCTTAGTACCCTCTGTGGGACGGACGGACGGACTGCGCCACGACATAATCCCCCTTCGCCAGTCTGGCCCGGCGGGGGATAAAAACTGCTGTGAATGATAGACAGTTTACCTCATAATCATGTAGTCATTGTAAACTGTGTTTGTTAATAGTACTTCTACATGATTTAGCAGAAGTACCCGTTCTAGTATGTGTAGCAGTGATTACTGGCCGATAAGTGATGATTGACTGATAAGTGATGTGTTCCTGTGGGGATGCCGGCTTTATAGGCAACCAGTATGTGTAGCAGTGATTACTGGCCGATAAGTGATGATTGACTGATAAGTGATGTGTTCCTGTGGGGATGCCGGCTTTATAGGCAACCAGTATGTGTAGCAGTGATTACTGGCCGATAAGTGATGATTGACTGATAAGTGATGTGTTCCTGTGGGGATGCCGGCTGTATAGGCAACAAGTATGTGTAGCAGTGATTACTGGCCGATAAGTGATGATTGACTGATTATATATTCCTGTGTTCCTGTGGGGATGCCGGCTTTATAGGCAACCAGTAGGTGTAGCAGTGATTACTGGCCGATAAGTGATGATTGACTGATTATATATTCCTGTGTTCCTGTGGGGATGCCGGCTGTATAGGCAACCAGTATGTGTAGCAGTGATTACTGGCCGATAAGTGATGATTGACTGATAAGTGATGTGTTCCTGTGGGGATGCCGGCTTTATAGGCAACCAGTATGTGTAGCAGTGATTACTGGCCGATAAGTGATGATTGACTGATAAGTGATGTGTTCCTGTGGGGATGCCGGCTGTATAGGCAACAAGTATGTGTAGCAGTGATTACTGGCCGATAAGTGATGATTGACTGATTATATATTCCTGTGTTCCTGTGGGGATGCCGGCTGTATAGGCAACCAGTATGTGTAGCAGTGATTACTGGCCGATAAGTGATGATTGACTGATAAGTGATGTGTTCCTGTGGGGATGCCGGCTTTATAGGCAACCAGTATGTGTAGCAGTGATTACTGGCCGATAAGTGATGATTGACTGATAAGTGATGTGTTCCTGTGGGGATGCCGGCTGTATAGGCAACAAGTATGTGTAGCAGTGATTACTGGCCGATAAGTGATGATTGACTGATTATATATTCCTGTGTTCCTGTGGGGATGCCGGCTTTATAGGCAACCAGTAGGTGTAGCAGTGATTACTGGCCGATAAGTGATGATTGACTGATTATATATTCCTGTGTTCCTGTGGGGATGCCGGCTGTATAGGCAACCAGTATGTGTAGCAGTGATTACTGGCCGATAAGTGATGATTGACTGATAAGTGATGTGTTCCTGTGGGGATGCCGGCTTTATAGGCAACCAGTATGTGTAGCAGTGATTACTGGCCGATAAGTGATGATTGACTGATAAGTGATGTGTTCCTGTGGGGATGCCGGCTTTATAGGCAACCAGAATGTGTAGCAGTGATTACTGGCTGATAAGTGATGATTGACTGATTATATATTCCTGTGTTCCTGTGGGGATGCCGGCTTTATAGGCAACCAGTATGTGTAGCAGTGATTACTGCCTGATAAGTGATGATTGACTGATTATATATTCCTGTGTTCCTGTGGGGATGCCGGCTTTATAGGCAACCAGTATGTGTAGCAGTGATTACTGCCTGATAAGTGATGATTGACTGATTATATATTCCTGTGTTCCTGTGGGGATGCCGGCTGTATAGGCAACCAGTATGTGTAGCAGTGATGATTGACTGATTATATATTCCTGTGTTCCTGTGGGGATGCCAGTATGGTCTAGAGGATCAGGTGTCTTCCCAACGAGCGGAAGGTCGGAGGTTCAATCGTCATGAAAGACATTAAAAGATGGTACTTGTTGTTACCCCTGCTCAGCATTACGGAGGTAACACAAGAACTGATCAGCTCTGTCAGGACACTGTGTCTGAGTGGGGTATCTGTGTTAAAACTGCAAAATGCTATATCGAGGTGCTAGCACTATAAAACTGGAATTAGTCAGAGCTAATGCAACACAGAAACATCATATGTCATTGAGTGTTGATAAATTTGATATCAAAAGACATGAGGGTTATATTCTGTTTATCATCCAAAATCATTCATTTCAGTGTGTAAATTGGTTCACAAAGAGTTTTCATATTTTTTATGTTGAACCATCTTTTCTGATACTGATACATTTTCTAATATGCAGAGCTCCAGATAAGCTGCGTATCTGCGGAAAATACGCATCAGAAATGCAGAAATACGCAGTAAAATAAAATCCAAGCGTATCAAACATGAAACGAACATTACAGATACACTACAAAAATAAAACTTGTGCGTATCATCAAAATATTGTGAAGTAACCCTGCGTATTCGATTAGCAAATCAGCAACTTATTTTGAAATTATAAACGGGCATTCCGTCAACCTTGCCAAACTCCACGCTGACAGTTACATCATGATCATTTGCCATCACACTTTCTTGTGGAATAATCGTGGTATTTTTGAGTCCTATAAAGCTCTCGAACCCATACGACACCAGTTTGCAACGGCTAGATGAAAAGTGTTTTTAAATATTTAACTTAAATACCCACATGTGTAAAAACTAGTGGGTAACAGAAATTTGAATACCCAGATAGAATTACTGATACCAAATGATTTTAAAATGCATGGGTAAAATACCCACAACACCAAAAGCTTATCTGGACCTCTGAATATGTTTATTAAAAATGAAAATGTGGCTGTTATTGTTTCAGTGTGTGATTACGTGGAAGCAGTACCCAGCCATCAAGGCACATCAGTGTGATAGGTAATCAAGTTAAATCCTGAGGATAATGTCACAGAATGGAATGCCACAAGATTTCCACCACTACACCCCACAACATCCCCTTCCTGGACCCATACAGGAGATGCCACGAGGGGAGACGGTGTGCCAGTACTGTGGAGTCAGCTATCTCATACACAATGAAATCAAAGGTAATCGGAGAATTTAACAGAGAGATGCCACTTTGAACATGTTGAACAATATGATCCTGGGTTCGTCCCCGATTATGTTTCAAGGTTTGTCAGCACCATACCCGTGCTCATGGGTTTCACCAAAGTGGTGAACGTTCCTCCATCATCATGTGGACACATGTGATATTTTAAAAACTGGACCGCCTCCGTGGTCTTGTGGTAGAGCGTCCGCCCGGAGAGCGGAAGGTCCGGGGTTCGATCCCCGGCCGCGTCATACCAAAAGACGTTAAAAGATGGTACTTGTTGTTACCCTGTCTGGCGCTCATCATAAAAGGAGCTAAAACAAGGACTGGTCGGCTCGGAGTCAGTATACTGTGTCTGAGTGGGGTATTCATGTTTAACTGCGGCATGATGTCTCAGTGAGTTAGCACTATAAATCGGCATCAGTCTGGACTAGTACAAGCAGCCACGCAAACACGTGCATGCACGTCGCTATATAAGTTAAATAATTTGGGACGCGACGTTAAACCCAATTTCACCTCACCTTTTAAAAACTGGATTTCTGTTCAAAACAGCATTAGACCCAACTCACTCACTCACACTCACTCACTCACTACTGAATGGCGTTGAATTGGTTCTTCCTCTGATCCAGCCCTGGAAGAAAAGTTGGCAGCTGCAGAGGAAGAGCTACAGCATCTCCGTGGGGGGCCAAAGCGGGAGGAGGAATTGACGAGTCAGCTGAATCAACAACGCGACATCATCACGCTGCTCAAGGCTGAGGCAGCTCACAAGGATGAATGGTACGTCTACTGCATACACAGGGTTTCTTTACACCCTATCTGGTCAGAATGTCCATGTGACCTGATGTGGGGAATCATTATTTTCATCTATGCTTTGTTTTGGAAGATGGACTTTTCTTACCTTTCTGTGCCTACTGCATGGAGGTGACAGGCTTTGTGGTCTATTTCAGACATCAAAGTTGTTATTGTGTGTCTTTTTTTTCAAAGTATGAAAATATAAGTTACTTTTAGATTTCCGGTGTGTTCTAACTTCTACGGAAGCCTTTTAGGTCAATTTGGTTTTTTCTTGAAATTTCAACATACATGTAGTATCTTGAAATTTCAACTTAGTATCTTGAAATTTAAAGATAAAAATTAAAAAATCAAATGGCCCTAAAAGGCTTCCGTAGTGTTCAGCTAAACTTGATTTTGTTTTTATTTCAAGGCATCATTTTTTAGTAGTTGTTTTTATTTTTTTTAAGTATGTTGAGGCCCAGGGAGGTGAATGGTTGTACGCATTTACCAGAACCTTAGTTCAAGGCCATAGATCTACTATTTTAATCAGTTAATGCAATCTGCTTATTTTAGTTGTAATTTCAATTTATTGTCATACTAATGTAATTGCATGATTGCTGTCATCATTTGGACATTATTGTGTTCTCTTTGGCATGAACAGATAGCATGGATCTTGACACACTGAAGAAAATTTAGCTGAAGTTTATGCATTTGTTCCTTCTTTCGATCCTTATGTGGAAACATGCTTGAACAAAGTTACCAGCGTCTAAATACATTTCTTTTGAACACATCCAAGCATCACTATGGTCACCACCCCATCAACTGGGTCACTCACTATAAACCTGTGCGTAGTGACTACATGACCTGATCACCTGATCACCTGACTACCTGACTCTTATCGCCACCCTGTGGAGACATGTATTGAGTTGTAGAGAATACAGCTTTTGTTGTTAATTTGCATGAGCTACCTGGGCACATGTCTGACACTATTTTGATGTGAGGATGGGTACTGAACATGATCAATGGCTGCTCCACATGACCATTGTTGTGTCTGCTGTGTCCATTGCAGTGAAGGGGGCGGTCGGGTAGCCTAGTGGTTAAAGCGTTCGCTCGTCACGCCGAAGACCCGGGTTCGATTCCCGACATGGGTACAATGTGTGAAGCCCATTTCTGGTGTCCCCCGCCGTGATATTGCTGGAATATTGCTAAAAGCGGCGTAAAACCATACTCACTCACTCACTCATTGCAGTGAAGACAAAAAATGTTCTACGTGTTCCCACCTCAAGCAGGAAGCCTTAACATTGAACCTTCGTAATTGCCTCAAGCAGGACATCGTGCCAGCAGCCTCAAACATCTGCATGTTTGCTCTAAAAACGGCGAGTCACAGCTATCTTTGACAGCCACAACCGTCTACTTTCCTATCACTTGTGGACCGTCTGCTGCAAGTCGCCTCTCATCAGATTTGTCGCGGTCTACTCCTGTTCATCATAACGATTTTGAAAGCCTTCTGTCCCACTTGTGACATCACCAAGCCGACTACTCCCTCTCCTTAACAGGTTGCCTCACGACCATTGTTGTGACTGCCATGTCCATTGCAGTAAAGACATACAATGTTCCCACCTCAAGGATGAAGCCTTTACAATGAACCTACTTAATTGCTACAAACAGGACATCATGTCAGCAGCCTTGAACGTCCACACAGTTTTCTGTAAAGACGGCAAGTCCCAGCTAGCCTCGACAGCCTCGACCGTCTACCTTCCTATCACTCGCGGACCATCAGCTGCCAGTCGCTTATCATTCTCTTCTCCTCCATGCGATGTTGCCGGACAAGGTTGCTTCCAAGTCAACGGATGTAAGACCACTTCTTTCAAAGTATATTTATATCTTCCACTTTTTAATCGTAGCATATATGTTCTTTTAATGTTTGGCTAAATTATGTCAGTCGTCGCTAACAACTGGAGGGATGATGTAAATCCGACTGAGGTCCATGCAGGTAGCAAAAGTACTGTAAGTCCCCATGGTCCCCAGCGCGGTGATCAACCTTCAGTTGGTGGCGATCTATAGCCCGTTTTTATAATGAGTTGTCAAATGATTCTGTTAGTTATCTCTTTTAACATATTCAAACTAGTTTTACGACAATCTGTGATATGCTAGTTTTTATACTGCCCCTCGTCGGCAGAATTTTGTACTACTTAATATATATTGTTAATGTCAATTTTGTTTCGTCACGATATGGCTGAAATATTGCCGATGTGACGTCAAGCTTTAACTCACTCACTCCAAGTCAACGGCGCAGTTTTCGACATCCCCCAACTTCTTCCTCTTATTCTACTAATAATGGACCAAGCTGGATTTGATCTCACGACAAGGATTGCTTCATCGCAGACTCACCGTTCAAGGGATCGACAATCAAGGGATCACCGCTCTGAGAATCGGAGGATCAATTTCCAGATCTAAGGATCACTATCCAGATCACTATCGTGATCGACGCCTGGGGGATCGACCTTCTTTAGATCGATGCTCTACAGATTGACATTGCAATGGAGCTACAGTGTTGTCACGGACTACTCCTGTCCGACAGGATGCGTCTGCAAGAGACTCTTCCTCCCCATTTCGCTGGCCACCCAGAAGTCTCCTGTACTACAGTCTCCTTTTGGCTTTGTTCGACTATCCTCCAGACCTACACCTTTGCTGGATTGTCTCTGCCTTTGCCATCCAAATCACATGAGACTAGAGCCTCTACCATGGCCTTACTCAGCAATTGCACCCTGTCCGGCAGTTTGGGGAAGTCTGATACTGTCTTCGCCTCCCACTATCTCGGTGACATCTCCATCACCGATGTTCAGGGCCATCACCAGTTTGGTCCCTTGGTCCTGGCGCAGCAATTGACATCTCCACACCGGCAACTGCTCTAAGGTGCTCCGTATCCTGTATATTCAGAATAAATATTTGAATTGTCACTCCTGTGGATATTATCTTTATAATTCGGGTTCCCAGACTGAGTACCCAGTGGAGGGTGAGCTACCTTGTCTGTAGAGACTCCGGTCTTCAATATCAAAGTCCCTGCAAGGCGCGTCTGTTTCGGTGGTGTCTCGATCCCTTACCTGCTCACCTCTGCTTTAGGCATGTGATGTCTTAATGGTATTAGTTCAATGATCCTATTGTAGATGTTGTCTATTGTTACTCTTCTCGTTTTTGCATGTTTCAATCCAATTGATGGGGTAGCAACCATCCTGATGCTGGTATGTGTTCGGGCAAAATGTTTTTAGAAGCTGGAAACTTTGTTCAAGCATGTTTCCACATAAGGATCGAAAGAAGAAGGAACAAATGCATAGTGTGAGATAGGATAAGTATATTTATCATTTAACTAAAGCATTTATCCATGACATAAGCTTATGACATAAAAACATGTATGTTATACCCCAATGACATAAGTATGCAAATTAGCCAAGGAATATGCCATAAAGGAGTTAAGAGGTTGTATATTTTGGTTTACACGGCTATGGAAAACATGTATCACTACGCACGATCTATACGTAAGATTTCGACAAGTTGCTGATGAAAATGTAAATGCAATTATTCCTTAAAAGGGAAGCAAAAATGTGAAAATGATAAATAGAATTCATCACTCGTGTTTTTTAATATGGGAAATATCAACCTCGTCCCGTTAATCGGTATTTGCCGAGCCTTTGGCAAGGCAAATACCGATTAGCTAAGACTCAGTTGATATTTCCCATATCAAAAAACACTCGTGATGAATCCTCTATATAAATATACAATTTTATATATAACATACAAGACTAAGTTTACATATAATAATTAGATACACAGCAAGTGATCATAAAAGTTATCATGGTGTAACATTTGTACAAATTTTCAAACAATTATAGATCCAAAGCAAGTGATATATTGGGATTCAGGGAAAATGCAGATATAAAATACTAGTTTCAGGAACAGCTTATAGACCAATACTTGCCCAAAGTTAACATTAGCCTGAAATAACTTGAACCCATCTCCCAAACAAACTATTCAATCAGACAAGAGTTATGTCCCCATTGTTTAATATATTGCCTTATGACTTGAACTATTTTATATAAATATACCTGTCATCACCTATATTAGAATAACAGTCTGGCAATACTTCCATTTAGGGTTTAGCCCTCATACAAGCTCATCTAATGTGATGTTGTATTCTTTGTCCAAGCATCCAGTAAATATGTCAACAAGATTTGCGCAAGTCCAAATAACAAGATTTATATTCCCCTCAGTCTAGCCATTTATTAAATGTAGGGCACACCACATTATATATCAATAGCGAATCATATTCTTTGTGACCTGTGAAGATCCAGAGTAGAATAGGTCTTCAGCAACCCTTGCTTGCAGTAAAAGGCGACTATGCTTGTCGTAAAAGGCGACTAACGGGATCGGGTGGTCAGGCTTGCTGACTTGGTTGATGCATGTCATTGATCCCAATAACGTGGATCGATGCTCATGATGTCAATCACTGGATTTTCTGGTCCAGACTCGATTATTTACAGACCGCCGTCATATAGCTGGAATATTGCTGAGTGCCGCGTTAAACAACAAACGAACAAACAAAAACATATTCTTTGTATTGTTTACACTTTAGATAAATAGACAGAGAATGAAGATGTGAGACAGTAGGGGTTTGACTCACTAAACAAAGATGTAGCTCTCACCCACAGCCCAGAGGATTGTACTGACTCTCTGTTGCACCCTCAGCTACATTTAAGATATTGTTCATTCTGTTCTTGTGAATACAATTGGCTCTTTGCTAGCTAATTCCTCAAGAAATCCAGCACATCAGTTAGAAGGTTCTAAGGTTTTGAATATAAGAACAACACAGCGTAATGGCTGAAAGATACGGAAGCCTTTTAGGGCCATTTTTTTTTTTTTTTTTTTTTTGATACTATCTTGAAATTTCAAGATACAGAAGTTGAAATTTCAAGATACAGAAAGTGAAATTTCAAGATACAGAAAGTGAAATTTCAAGATATTACGTTGAAGTTTCAAGTTACAGAAGTTTAAATTTCAAGATACAGAAGTTGAAATTGATAGCATCTTGAAATTTCAACTTATTATCTTGAAATCACTCACTCACTCATGTGATATAATGGTGTTAAACACACTCAGTGTCTGTCTTGTAGCATCTCAGGTCTACAGAACGTGATTCAGTCGAGTGAGGAGAAGCTCAATGCCATCCAGCAGGGTCAGAATGACATCAGTCAGACTGCGGAGAAACTCAGGTATGTTGTGTCACTCGGTATGTACACTACTATAAGGGTAACGCTACTTTTCAGGGCATTTTCATCAATCATTTGCAGAAGCCTGAGGTCTTCCATTGACTGCCTGATGAAAGAGGGCAGTTGAAAAGAACATGGGCTTCTGCGGGGCAGATGGGTAGCCTAGTGGTTAAAGCATTCGCTCGTCATGCCGAAGACCCGGGTTCGATTCCCCACATGGGTACAATGTGTGAAGCCCATTTCTGGTGTCCCCAGCCATGATATGGCCAGAATATTGCTAAAAGCGGCGTAAAATCAAACTCACTCACTCACTCACTCGGGCTTCTGCAGTGCGGATGGGTAGCCTAGTGGTTAAAGCATTCGCTCGCCATGCAGAAGACCTGGGTTCGATTCCCAACTTGAGTACAATGTGTGAAGCCCATTTCTGGTGTCTCCAGCTCTGATATTGCCGGAATATTGCTAAAAGCGGAGTAAAAACAAACTCACTCACTCACTCACTCACTCACTCGGGCTTCTGCAAATGATAATGCCCTGTAAAATAGCATTACTGTTCTTATAGCTAAAATGGATATATTTTGTTATCAAATAAAAATAAACAACAATAATGGTTTTGAAACATTTACTGCAATCAACACAAATTTCACTCACTCACTTTTACAAATATGGAAACATCATAGAACAAACCACATGACTTCACTATTGAACGTGACGTCACCTATCACTACCCTATGACGTCACCTAACAACGGGCGCGATAATGGCCCGTCGTCAAGCAATATGAGGGCATTATCAAGTTACAGTGGCCCGCTCATTTCTGATAACATGCGGGCGGTTTAATGATAATTCTATCCATTTTAGCTATAATGAACATTGCATCACTACTGAGATGGTGTAGCTTCAGTATTTGCCTCACTTAGCAAATGCTTATACCTACAATACCTACAAGTAATCGGACTATTCTTATCTGTAAAACAAACATAAAAATAAAATTTATTGGGTTGTGTTTTATCCAAGATGGCGGGTGTTTCTGAGAGAAAGGTGAGGTGAGGTGAAATGGGGTTTAAAGTCGCATCCAAGGTTATTGCACTTATATAGTGACGTGCATGTACGTGTGTGTGTTTGTGTGGCTGCTTGTACTAGTCCAGACTGATGCTGATTTATAGTGCTAGCCCACTGAGATACCATGCCGCAGTTTAACATGAATACCCCACTCAGACACAGTATACTGACTCCGGGCCGACCAGTCCTTGTTTTAGCCCCTTAATGCCGAGCGCCAGACAGGGTAACAACAAGTACCATCTTTTCACGTCTTTTGGTATGACGCGGCCGGGGATTGAACCCCGGACCTTTCGCTCTCCGGGCGGACGCTCTACTACTAGATCACGGAGGGGTCTTCTGAGAGAAAACGTATATAATGAACAATGTATATTATAAACTGTTTTCTCTCGTCCCTTTTATCCATATTCTAGTGTGTACTAGTGAATCTGACTAATCAACTATTTTCACTTGCTAATCTTTAACACCTAGTACCAATGTATTCCCGTATCAGAATATTCTGTATCTACTAAACCTTTTGTAAGCTCACTTTTAAAAACACTTTTAGAAACTTGCCACTGAAATCAACAGAAAAAGAACCCAAAAGAATTTGGGGGCTCTGGTTGTGTGACCATGGTCTGATGGACATGGTAGAGATGGAAAGTGACATGTTAAAACCCAGGAGAAGAGAAACCCAGGGATATTATTTTGTATTTCATACGAAGTGGCTGTGACAAGTAAATTTAGAAAAACCATGTTTTGCTACGACGAGCACCCAACATCTTCTTCTGATATGACTCTCTTCCATCTGTACCAAACACGAACAAAGCTCTAGCTTGAACCCATTTCAACTCGGAACAATGAAGTCATATCAGCTGTGGAGAACTTTTGGGACAGCCAAGAGAAGGACTTCTACAAAAGTGGTTAAAATCCCTCCAATGCCATTGGCAAAAGTGTATCAATGTTGAAGTGGATTATGTTAAGAAATAAATCCTTGAAGTGTCTCTGGGTCATGTATTGCTATGTGAGGCTCAGAACTCATCGATGAAACCTCACAACAATGTCACTGAATGTTTATTGGGTCAGAATTATTATGTTATCATCTACTTTTGAACATGTTAAGTTTTTGGTAAACAACACAATGATGAGCTAAATGTCACCTTTGGTAATTATCTTCAGGAAGCATAATGTAGATCTGTGTGATCAGCTGCGGAGAACGTCCTCATCTCTAAAACAGCATCGAACAGAGATAACATCTCTCAAGGAACAGATGAACCAACAGAAGACTGACAGCAGCGAACTCATCAAGACAATATCCACACAGATCCTGCAGGCATGGCAAGCCTATGCTAAAAGTAGGTCCCGAAAGCCAGGTGTCAGCGAGTCCTGTCATTGTCTATATAGCTGCCGGGCACAGGTGGCCCAGTCGTCTGAGGGGCCGCAATTTGTTGCGCCCCTTGGGCACGCCAGAAACCTATCATTGTGGGTTCGAATCCTGGTTCGCCTGGATTATGTTTCTAGGTTTGTCAGCACCATACTTGTGCTTGTGGGTTTCATCGAAGTGGTAAACGTCTGAGACCTGCATCACATCGGGCTTTCCTCCCTTTAAGCTCCCTTTAACATTAAGCTGACACGCCGCGATATAACTGGAATACTGTTAAAAGCGGTGTTAAACCCAACTCACTCACTCACTATATAGCTGCCACATTTTGTTTCAAATATATTTCTTCTGAGGCCATTATAAGTTGATTATTGATTCCTCCCACACCACTACCAACACCCCTCCCCCATCACATGATGTTTTTGTCACCCCCAAGTTCCTGAATGATGAAGAAGATCTCTGTGTGTTTCTTCCTGTATTTGATGAGATGCTACATGTACATGGTCCAACCACCACACATTCACATAGTCGGATCCAGAGGGGTGGTCCAAGGGGTCTGGACCCCGCTTTTGAAAACCTAATGTAGTATGTTGTAGATTTCTCCAACGACCACCCACTCCCCTCCCCTAACGTGACATTTTGAGACATCTGCTGAGACCTACAGTGGGTACTCGGGTAGGTTAGGGTAATAGGGGGGCGGGTACCCGGGTAGTTAATTTGGACTCGTCCCAGCCCTAATGTATAATGTTGAATGTGTGTGAGCAGGTGGGGAGGAGATGGAGTCTCGGATGGGCGTCCTGCAGATGGAGAACAATGTGCTCACCCAATCCTCCAAGACACTGAAGACGGAGCTGGCCGAACACAAGGTCAAGGTCGACAGACTGAACACAGTCCAGGCACAGTGTGACAAGCTGACAGATTCGGTGTCAAGTACGTAGTCCTCATGGAATCACTAGGAACAGCTTGTCTGATTCATCATCAATCCGTCCGGGGTAGAATAGGTCTTCAGCAACCCATGCTTGCCTTAAGGCAACTATGCTTGTCGTAAGTCGTGACTAATGGGATCGGGTGGTCAGGCTCACTGATTTGGTTGATGCATGTCATTGAATCCCAATTGCGTGGATCGATGCTCATGATATCAATCACTGGATTGTCTGGCCCAGATTCAATTATTTACAGACCGCCGTCATATAGCTGGAATATTGCTAAGTGCGGCGTAAAACAACCAACCAACCAATACACTGACTCATCTACACCGTTATACATAGCAATGTGGGGCCTGCTCATTCATCTCACGAGCCTGACCTGACCAAGGGTTCATTCGTCAATTACTCTGACCTGCTCCACTTCAGTATTTCCCCTTACATTTACCATACAATAAGTGGTATCACTGAAAAGCCTTTGATAGTGGTGTTAACCTTCTCACTTATTGTAAGACAAAATGCTGAAACATTATGTTGTGCAGGTCAGATATTTTCTGTTTCTCCTTGGGCACTAGTGGCCCTGTCATCTAAGGCGCCGCAATTCGCTATGCAGAGTTGCGTCCCTTGGGCGCACCAGAAACCTATGATCGAGGGTTCGAATCCCGGTTCGCCCTGATTATGCTTCTAGATTTGTCAGCGCCATACCTGTGCTCGTGGGTTTCACCGAAGTGGTAAACGTTTGAGACCTGCATCACTTCAGGCCTCCCTCCAACATTAACCTGACACGCCGTGATATAACTTGAATACTGTTAAAAGCGGCGCTTGGCCCAACTCACTACTGTTTCTCCTTTTCTTGACTCGAATGTTTGAGGACATTTTGACAGGGCAAAAAGCTGCTGTACTCATCAGGCCCCCGTTCCACAAAGCCATATTAGCGCTAAGACGGTCATAACTCCCATACTTTAACATGAACTTACGACAGTCGTAGCTGTATCATCGCTTTGTGGAATACTGTTAAAAATGGCGTTAAACCCAACTCACTCACTCACTCTGGTCTGCGTGTCATGTAGTACCTGTGTCCACCTGCAGAGTTGACCAGTGAGGTGTCCAGTCTGACGTCCACCAACAGGCAGCTCAGTATGGAGGCTCAGCAGTTCCAGGAGCAGCTCAGGTGAGTCGCTCAGAACCCCAGAACTGACACCCAAATCAAGGGATGCATCACTTAGGCTAAAACACCATAATTGTCTTGGTTCTCAGGCACCGCCTGCATCATCATAAAGTTCATCCCACGTTTTGTTTTTATTTCCATTTTGATAAAAAATATTAAAAATACCTTTAAAAATACCTTTAATATTCCAAGTCCAACGGTAGTCAAATACTGTATTCCAGCATTTTACTCATCAAGGAACACATTTATGTAAAGAGGCCCTTTCCCAGGTCGATTGTACACATTGTTTATTTGGTTGCATACCAGTATGGATTTTTGTGGAGAAACTGTTCTGTCCTGTCTGTCAATGTTTTACTCTCAACATCTGCTTGTATAAGGGAGGTAACTCTGGCATTGTTGCTCAGTGGAACTAAATATTTTGAGTGTGGTTTAACTTAAGTGAAAACTAATCTAAATTTGAATGACTTACCTTTTATTGTGTGGATCGATGCTCATGATATCAATCACTGGATTGTCTGGTCCAGACCTGATTATTTACAGACTGCCGTCATATAGCTGGAATATTGCTGAGTGCGGCATTAAAAAACAAACAACAGTATACCATGAACTTATACAAGCCACTTTAACATGGTTATTTCACTTAATGATCTCAGTATTTAAGTCATGCATGTCATCGATCCCAGTTGCGTGGGTCGATGCTCATGCTATCAATCACTGGATTGTCTGGTCCAGACTCGATTACTTACAGACCTCCGTCATATAGCTGAAATATTGCTGAGTGCGGCATTAAAACAACAAACAAAACAAAACACATTATTTGAGTCTGCATTGCCGTGTTTTAGACTGAAGACGAAGGAGTCAGAAGACCATCTGACTCAGAGTCGGAGGCGGGACCAGCATCTGGAGACAGCTCTCAGTCAGTGAGTCCAACACGCCAAGTATGGCACGGTCACCCATATCACTTGTTTATACAGTGTTTCCCACGAGACAGCTGTCACACGTCACACGTAACACGTCTATCACATATCTAGTATTTTAATGAATCATTCAGAAATATTGACTCATTCCTTCCAGACACATATTTTTCAGATTGTCACATATCTGTCACATGTTTTAGACTTTCTGTCACATATGCCTGTTTATTTTGTACTTTCACAATTGAGATTTACTTATCTGTCAGACATATGTCATGACTTCCCATCTGTCACACACTGAGTTCTGCCTGTCACATGTCTGTCTCACACACAGACACATTTAAGTTTTCGGTCCCACTCACAGATGTTTCATATCCAAATCCCATGTGTTTCATATCTTTACCCCCCCCCCCCTTGTTTCATGACCCAGCCTCCATCTATCAAAGGGCTGGTTGGGTAGCCTTGTGGTTAAATCGTTCACCCGTCACGCCGAAGACCCGTGTTCGATTTCCGCCAGGGAAATGTGTGAAGCCCATTTCTGGTGTCCCAGGTCATGATATTGCAGGAATATTGCTAAAAGCGGCGTAAATCCGTACTCTCATCTTGTTCCTCCATGTTTCACAGCTTGTTCCTCCATGTTTCACATCTTGTTCCTCCATGTTTCACATCTTGTTCCTCCATGTTTCCCATCTTGTTCCCATGTTTCACATCATGTTCGCCATGTTTCACATCATGTTCCTCCATGTTTCCCATCTTGTTCCTCCATGTTTCCCATCTTGTTCCCATGTTTCACATCATGTTCGCCATGTTTCACATCATGTTCCTCCATGTTTCACATCTTGTTCCTCCATGTTTCCCATCTTGTTCCTCCATGTTTCCCATCTTGTTCCCATGTTTCACATCTTGTTCGCCATGTTTCACATCATGTTCCTCCATGTTTCCCATCTTGTTCCTCCATGTTTCCCATCTTGTTCCTCCATGTTTCCCATCTTGTTCTCCCATGTTTCACATCTTATTCGCCATGTTTCACATCATGTTCCTCCATGTTTCACATCTTGTTCCTCCATGTTTCCCATCTTGTTCCTCCATGTTTCCCATCTTGTTCCCATGTTTCACATCATGTTCCTCCATGTTTCCCTACTTGTTCCCCATGTTTCACATCATGTTCCTCCATGTTTCCCATCTTGTTCCTTCATGTTTCATATCTTGTTCTCCCATGTTTCACATCTTGTTCCCATGTTTCACATCTGGTTCTCATGTTTCCCATCTTGTTCCTCCATGTTTCACATCTTGTTCTCCCATGTTTCACATCTTGTTCCCCCATGTTTCACATCATGTTCCTCCTCCATGTTTCACATCTTGTTCTCCTATGTTTCACATCTTGTTCCCCCATGTTTCACATCTTGTTCCTCCATGTCTCCCATCTTGTTCCTCCATGTTTCACATCATGTTCCTCCTCCATGTTTCACATCTTGTTCTCCTATGTTTCACATCTTGTTCCCCCATGTTTCACATCTTGTTCCTCCATGTCTCCCATCTTGTTCCTCCATGTTTCCCATCTTGTTCCCCCATGTTTCACATCTTGTTCTCCTATGTTTCACAATCCAGCCCCCATGTTTCACATCTTGTTCTCCTATGTTTCACATCTTGTTCCCCCATGTTTCACATCTTGTTCCTCCATGTCTCCCATCTTGTTCCTCCATGTTTCCCATCTTGTTCCCCCATGTTTCACATCTTGTTCTCCTATGTTTCACAATCCAGCCCCCATGTTTCACTACCCAGTCCCCATGTTCTAGACCGTGTTCCCCATGTTTCAGAGTGACCCAGGAGCTGCAGGAGAAGATCGCGGACCTGGCGGCCTGCAAGAAGAAGCTGAAGGACATGGAGAACAGATTTGTGGAGCATCATCGCAAGGAGGAAGAGTTCAACTCCCGGACCGCTGCAACCATCAGTATGTCCTGTTCATTGTGTGTCACTCTCCCCACACAGGAGCCACTGAAGATCCGGGATAGAATACGTCTTCAACAAACCATGCTTGTTGTAAAAAGCGACTATGCTTGTCGTAAGAGGCGACTATGCTTGTCGTAAGAGTCGACTAACGGGATCGGGTGTTTCTGCTCGCTGACTGTGTTGATGCATGTCATTGTATTCCAATTGCCTTGATGCTCACAGGATGTCGGTCATCACTCGTTAATCAAGATCTATATTGTATTAAAATGGGCCTTATCTTGTGAAGTGCATCAAATCACTTGAGCACCTTCATTAAAAACATGAAAATATTTACAAAATATGTCAATGCCCAGTTTACAGTACACATGCTATGCAAATCCTTCAGTCGACTGAAATCTGCACGTTGAAATCCATGTTGTTAACAAAACAGGTGTCTAGTTTGTTATGAGATTTTGATTGGGCTATCTGCAATTTGACACCGGAATTCCAGCCGAGTTCGGCAAGAGTGGAAACTGGACTTTTAGAGTCAGTTAACTCCCTTGCCTCGGGAAGATGCATCAATTACTGTTTCCATGACTAGGCTGCATTGTATTCATTAAGAGATAAACATTAGCTATTTTCAGATCTGCGGTAGTTGAGTATTTGATAGATGGAAGTTTTAACGCCATTGTTTCCAAATGTAATAGCTAGTACCAAATACATAACACCTGTAAGTCCAAGTATTTGCATGCCACCTGCCACGTGTTCGACAATGAATATACATTGTTTACTTCCCGGGTACACAACCCCCTATTACCTGAACCTACCTGGGTACCCACTGTAAGTCTCAAGAGAGGTCTACAAACTGCCCGATTAGGAGAAGTTTAACCGCCCTGGCAAAATGTATTTAGATACAGGTTTAAAATGATCTGGTCACTGATGTTTACTGCATGTAGTTTTATCTTTTTTTCAAACATATAAATGTCAGAAGGAATGCGAACATTAGTGACTTGTTGTGTGGCCATAGATTTTTTTATACGTTTTGTCATTAAAAATTATGTCACGTGAATAACCACGGGTCGGGGTTGTCCTGGGTGAACCTGGGTCCTTCTTAGTACACATCCGACCCATGTACCCTGTTACCCATCCTAGCCCTAATAGATTGAGTCCAGAAATACATCTCATGTGTTTATCTATGTCAGATGAGAGTAAAGAACTGAAGGAGGCATTGACTCGACTACGTGGGGACATGGAGGCGCTTAAAGACGAGAGGTCAGTAACTTCACACACTAAACAGGCTCATTTGTTATGATATTGAAGTAAAACATAGTCTTGTGACCTATTTTATTTATGAATGTATTTACAATGAGATGCTGCTTTAAAACCTGAACACTCTGTTAAACAAGAAAACAGCGTTATCATTATCCCCCGCCATGGGGCACATCAGAATTTTGTTTGTTCGTATAGTAGTGAATATAAACTATTAAAAGAGACCTATAAGGCTAAAAAAAATACTAGTCTTGTGAGTTGGGTTTAACGCAGCTTTTAACAGTATTCTAGTTATATTGCGGCATGTCAGCTTTATATGGGAGGAAAGCCCAAAGTGATGCAGGTCTCAGACGTTTACCACTTCGGTGAAACCTACGAGCACGGGTATGGTGCTGACAAACCTTAAAACGTAATCGGGGCGAACCGAGATTCGAACACACACTCATAGGTTTCTGGCATGCCCAAAGGAGGCAATTCTGCACAGCCAATCGCGGCGCCTTACACGACTGGGCCACCCATTCCCCCCCCCCCCAGTGTGTTGGAAGACCAATACAGGTCTGATGGCCGGTGTGTACTGTGTACAGACAGCATCATGTTTAGTGTGATGTCACTTGCAGGATGTAGACTCACTGTGTGAAAGACTTTCAGCTGGTATAATCCCATACACCCCACGACTGACACGTGTAACACATCAAGCTGAAGGGGAGGTGGGGTAGCCTAGCGGTTTAGCGTTCCCTCGTCATGCCTCAGACCCGGGTTCGATTCCCCACATGGTTACAAAGTGTGAAGCCCATGTCTGGTGTCCCCCGCCGTGGAATATTGATAAAAACTGTGTAAAAACATCATTTTTCATTCTCTGTATGTACACTGCATATAAAACTGAACATGTTGATGTCTGTTGCCTTGCTTGTCGTAAAAGGCGACAAACGGGATCGGGTGGTCAGGCTCGCTGACTTGGTTGATACATGTCATTGATCCCAATTGCGTGGATCGATGCTGATGATGTCAATCACTGGATTGTCCGGTTCAGACTCGATTATTTTACAGACCGCCGTCATATAGCTAGAATATTGCTGAGTGCCTCGTTAAACAACAAACAAACAAAACCTTACATTTGACACTAGCGTAAAATGCAACATTTTGTGGTAAGAAGCTGATGTTGTTGTTGTTGTTTTCGCTGTACAGGGAGTTGATGATCACAGCCCATCACAACCGTATTGAACAACTAAGGGAGAGCTTCAAGAACAAGCTGGCAGAAACAGAACACTGGCCAGAGAGAGTGAGACTTTTCATCATTTGGCAAAATATGGATGACACATTTGGGTGTAATTTTACTCAAGTGATCCTGGGTTATTAAAAGTTAAAATGCTGAATGATCAGAAAATAAGGCTGGTATCAACTATGCAGAGCAAAACAAGTTAGGGGTTATGAATCTTTTTTTTGATATATGTTTGCAGTGAAGACGTAACACACACTTTGATACTAATAGCCCTAAAAAGATTCCTGATGCTGAACATGTTTTGTTAAGTATGTAAAGTATATCCCTCATCCATTCATTCCATTCATGGACTTGCGACAACAGTTTGAGGGGATGAACATGAATTGTTGATATCATGTAGACAGTTTGTGTTTTAATCACTACCTATAAGGCGTATTGTCTTGTTCTATTTCAGCTTTTGGAAAAAATAATTGTCCTCCTTCTGTTTAGGTTTGTTTGTCTGTAATAGAAATATAATAACTCCTCCCTCCAGCAGCATTTTGGAACTTTGAAAATAATATTCCTTAAAAGAATTTAATAATGTTGATGGATATATTATAGCCATTACCTGGAGCAGTGATTATGTACAAGGTGGTGTGTGCTTTGTCGTGGCTGTGTGTTCTGACCCTTGTCATGGGGTCAGTGTTCTTGTGTGTGTCTGAGATTTGTCGTGGTTGTGTGTTCTGATCCTTGTTGTGGGGTCAGTGTTCTTGTGTGTGTCTGAGATTTGTCGTGGTTGTGTGTTCGGACCCTTGTCATGGGGTCAGTGTTCTTGTGTGTGTCTGAGATTTGTCGTGGTTGTGTGTTCTGATCCTTGTTGTGGGGTCAGTGTGCTTGTGTGTGTCTGAGATTTGTCGTGGCTGTGTGTTCGGACCCTTGTCATGGGGTCAGTGTTCTTGTGTGTGTCTGAGATTTATCGTGGTTGTGTTCTGACCCTTGTGAGTTTCAGACACTCATGTGTGTCTTAGATTTGTCGTGGCTGTGTGTTCTGACCCTTGTCATTGGTGTCTGATGCTTGTGTGTGTCTGAGATTTGTCGTGGCTGCGTGTTTGGACCCTTGTCATGAGTTTCAGACACTCATGTGTGTCTGAGATTTGTCGTGGCTGCGTGTTTGGACCCTTGTCATGGGTGTCTGATGCTTGCTGCGTGTGTTGACAGCTGGAACAAGCCCTGAAGTCGGAGCGTGAGAAGCACCAGGTGGAGATGACCGTCTTCTCACAGAACCTCAAGGATGACTTCGTGTTGGTAAGACCACTGCAGATGTAAGTCAGTGTGACTGACTGACGAGTAAATACCGAGACATACCTCTCCCAGCATCCAGTGCCCCGTGGAGCTGCCACTGTCATAACTCATACTTCAAGCATAGACTTGCAACTGTCTTAGCCCAAAGATTGTTTTGTGAAATAATCATAAACATTAAAGTTAAACCCTGATTCATCTTGCCTTCAGTTTGATTTTGGTTTTTAATATCTTATATATTTTCAGGAACTTCAAGTAGAGAAAGACAAGTATGATAAGCTGGTGGAGAAATACCAATCTGAGCATCGAGGCAAGAACTCGGAGGTGAGCTGACGTGTCATACAGACAGGCATTGGGTTTGATTGTTAAGCAAATATGAGACTGATGAAGTGAGTGAGTGAGTATTCTCTAACGCCGCTTTTAGCAATATTTCAGCAATATCAGGGCGGGGGACACCAGAAATGGGCTTCACACATTGTACCCATATCGGGAATTAAACCTGGGTCTTCAGTGTGCTCGTCACGCCAAAGAGCTGGGTTGGATTCCCAACATGGGTACAATGTGTGAAGCCTGGTGTCCCTGGCTGTGATATTGCTGGAATGTTCCTAAAAGCAGTGTAAAACCTCACCCACTATGTTGATTAGGCTTTGTGTCATCAAGGAGTGAAATAAGCACTTGCTATTTCTTTATTTTCTGCGTGTTCTGGTTAGTTAAAATGTAAAATAGGTAGCCAGACTGGCTCGTTTAGTTTTCTACATATAATTCTTCCTGTCCTATCTCAAAATGAAATATGTTCCCTGGAAAATGATGAATGGTCTGTGAGGTTGGTGCAGTGTTGATGAATGGTCTGTGAGGTTGATGCAATGTTGATGAAGGGTCTGTGAGGTTGATGCAGTGTTGATGAATGGTCTGTGAGGTTGATGCAGTGTTGATGAATGGTCTGTGAGGTTGGTGCAGTGTTGATGAATGGTCTGTGAGGTTGATGCAGTGTTGATGAATGGTCTGTGAGGTTGATGCAGTGTTGATGAATCGTCTGTGAGGTTGGTGCAATGTGATAAATGGTGATGCATCGTCTGCCAGGTTGAGCAGCGTCTGGTGGAGCAGCAGAACCAGCATGAGCGAGACATCACCAACATGAGGATCAAGATGGACTCGGAGCTGAAAGTTCTCCGGGAGGAGCTGGCCCGTGCCGTGGAGACAGAGCAGGATCTGAGGAAGGAGGTGGCCAGTCTCAAGGCCATCATAGCCAACCTTGAGAACAGACTCGGTGAGGGACATAGGATTTCATGCTGCGTCAGCAATATTGCAACTATGTCGTGATTGGACACACCAAATATTGCCTTGACATATATGGTATTTGAACCAGCTTCAGGTCTAACAGACACACATTCTAATCACCTTGCTGCCTATCAGACCTAATCACAGGAACTGAAGTTCAGACGAAAACAATGATACTGTATGCCTTTAATTCATCAAACATCCACCTCTCGATGTGCAGGCAACAATTAACAACAACGTCTTACACATGTTTTAATCAGAACTTCACGTTCTAATCCAGATATGGATACGAAAATGCAGTATTAGTTCTTTTTCTTTTGCAAATGACCCCTAAAGGGATTCCAGGCTACGACTAAATGTGTCGGGTGGTGATGCTCGGTGACTTGGTTAATTACAAGGATCTATGCTCATGGTGTCAATCACTGGATTTCTTGTCCAGACTACATTATTTACTGACACAAACATTGCAGCCAAATTACGTTCATGGAAAAGCAGCTTAATTTTCGGTCTCATGTTATAGCATGTTCAGTGTTCACTCTTGTCACTGTATGGCTGTAACATTGTTGATACGATTTTGAATTTTAAGTCGCACAGTTGATTGTTTAAACCTTATGAAAGAAGTGACAGAAATGACCACAAGATTTTGAAGGCCAAGCGTTATCTGTTCATGTAACTGGACATTGACTGATGGAGGTTGTGGATGTTGTGCCAGGCTTGCTGAGTGAGGGCAGTGTGGAGGAGATGCAGACGCTGAAGGAGATGCTGTCACAGATGCGTCTGAACCTGGACCAGCAGAAGGACCAAGTCCGGGGCACAGAAGCCAGACTGGCCGAGGCCATGGAGGAGGTAGAACACTCGGGGTGGGGTGTGAGGGATGAGGTAGAACACTCGGGGTGGGGTGTGAGGGAGGAGGTAGAACACTCGGGGTGGGGTGTGAGGGAGGAGGTAGAACACTCGGGATGGGGTGTGAGGGAGGAGGTAGAACACTCGGGGTGGGGTGTGAGGGAGGAGGTAGAACACTCGGGGTGGGGTGTGAGGGAGGAGGTAGAACACTCGGGGTGGGGTGTGAGGGAGGAGGTAGAACACTCGGGATGGGGTGTGAGGGAGGAGGTAGAACACTCGGGGTGGGGTGTGAGGGAGGAGGTAGAACACTCGGGGTGGGGTGTGAGGGAGGAGGTAGAACACTCGGGGTGGGGTGTGAGGGATGAGGTAGAACACTCGGGATGGGGTGTGAGGGAGGAGGTAGAACACTCGGGGTGGGGTGTGAGGGAGGAGGTAGAACACTCGGGGTGGGGTGTGAGGGAGGAGGTAGAACACTCGGGATGGGGTGTGAGGGAGGAGGTAGAACACTCGGGGTGGGGTGTGAGGGAGGAGGTAGAACACTCGGGGTGGGGTGTGAGGGAGGAGGTAGAACACTCGGGGTGGGGTGTGAGGGAGGAGGTAGAACACTCGGGATGGGGTGTGAGGGAGGAGGTAGAACACTCGGGGTGGGGTGTGAGGGAGGAGGTAGAACACTCGGGGTGGGGTGTGAGGGAGGAGGTAGAACACTCGGGGTGGGGTGTGAGGGATGAGGTAGAACACTCGGGATGGGGTGTGAGGGAGGAGGTAGAACACTCGGGGTGGGGTGTGAGGGAGGAGGTAGAACACTCGGGGTGGGGTGTGAGGGAGGAGGTAGAACACTCAGGGTGGGGTGTGAGGGAGGAGGTAGAACACTCGGGGTGGGGTGTGAGGGATGAGGTAGAACACTCTGGGTGGGGTGTGAGGGATGAGGTAGAACACTCGGGGTGGGGTGTGAGGGATGAGGTAGAACACTCGGGGTGGGGTGTGAGGGAGGAGGTAGAACACTAGGGGCGGGGTGTGAGGGAGGAGGTAGAACACTAGGGGCGGGGTGTGAGGGAGGAGTTAGAACACTCGGGGTGGGGTGTGAGGGATGAGGTAGAACACTCGGGGTGGGGTGTGAGGGATGAGGTAGAACACTCGGGGTGGGGTGTGAGGGAGGAGGTAGAACACTCGGGGTGGGGTGTGAGGGATGAGGTAGAACACTCGGGATGGGGTGTGAGGGAGGAGGTAGAACACTCGGGGTGGGGTGTGAGGGGGGAGGTAGAACACTCGGGGTGGGGTGTGAGGGAGGAGGTAGAACACTCGGGGTGGGGTGTGAGGGAGGAGGTAGAACACTCGGGGTGGGGTGTGAGGGAGGAGGTAGAACACTCGGGGTGGGGTGTGAGGGAGGAGGTAGGACGCTCAGGGTGGGGTGTGAGGGAGGAGGTAGAACACTCGGGGTGGGGTGTGAGGGAGGAGGTAGAACACTCGGGGTGGGGTGTGAGGGAGGAGGTAGAACACTCGGGGTGGGGTGTGAGGGAGGAGGTAGAACACTCGGGGTGGGGTGTGAGGGAGGAGGTAGAACACTCGGGGTGGGGTGTGAGGGAGGAGGTAGAACACTCTGGGTGGGGTGTGAGGGAGGAGGTAGAACACTCGGGGTGGGGTGTGAGGGAGGAGGTAGAACACTCGGGGTGGGGTGTGAGGGAGGAGGTAGAACACTCGGGGTGGGGTGTGATGGAGGAGGTAGAACACTAGGGGTGGGGTGTGAGGGAGGAGGTAGAACACTCTGGGTGGGGTGTGAGGGAGGAGGTAGAACACTCGGGGTGGGGTGTGAGGGAGGAGGTAGAACACTCGGGGTGGGGGTGTGAGGGAGTAGGTAGAACACTAGGAGTGGGGGTGTGAGGGAGGAGGTAGAACACTCGGGGTGGGGTGTGAGGGAGGAGGTAGAACACTCGGGGTGGGGTGTGAGGGAGAAGGTAGAACACTCGGGGTAGGGTGTGAGGGAGGAGGTAGAACACTCGGGGTGGGGTGTGAGGGAGGAGGTAGAACACTCGGGGTGGGGTGTGAGGGAGGAGGTAGAACACTCGGGGTGGGATGTGAGGGATGAGGTAGAACACTCGGGGTGGGGTGTGAGGGAGGAGGTAGAACACTCGGGGTGGGGTGTGAGGGAGGAGGTAGAACACTCGGGGTGGGGTGTGAGGGAGGAGGTAGAACACTCTGGGTGGGATGTGAGGGAGGAGGTAGAACACTTTGGAAGGGGGGGGGTGTGAGGGAGGAGGTAGAACACTTGGGGTGGGGTGTGAGGGAGGAGGTAGAACACTCTGGGTGGGGTGTGAGGGAGGAGGTAGAACACTCGGGGTGGGGTGTGAGGGAGGAGGTAGAACACTCGGGGTGGGGTGTGAGGGAGGAGGTAGAACACTCGGGGTGGGGTGTGAGGGGGGAGGTAGAACACTCGGGGTGGGGTGTGAGGGAGGAGGTAGAACACTCGGGGTGGGGTGTGAGGGATGAGGTAGAACACTCTGGGTGGGGTGTGAGGGAGGAGGTAGAACACTTGAGGTGGGGTGTGAGGGAGGAGGTAGAACACTCTGGGTGGGGTGTGAGGGAGGTGGTAGAACACTCTGGGTGGGGTGTGAGGGAGGAGGTAAAACACTTGAGGTGGGGTGTGAGGGATGAGGTAGAACACTCTGGGTGGGGTGTGAGGGAGGAGGTAGAACACTCAGGGTGGGGTGTGAGGGATGAGGTAGAACACTCTGGGTGGGGTGTGAGGGATGAGGTAGGACGCTCGGGGTGGGGTGTGAGGGATGAGGTAGAACACTCGGGATGGGGTGTGAGGGAGGAGGTAGAACACTAGGGGTGGGGTATGAGGGAGGAGGTAGAACACTAGGGGTGGGGTGTGAGGGAGGAGGTAGAACACTCGGGGTAGGGTGTGAGGGAGGAGGTAGAACACTAGGGGTGGGGTGTGAGGGATGAGGTAGGACGCTCGGGGTGGGGTGTGAGGGATGAGGTAGAACACTCGGGGTGGGGTGTGAGGGAGGAGGTAGAACACTAGGGGTGGGGTGTGAGGGAGGAGGTAGAACACTAGGGGTGGGGTGTGAGGGAGGAGGTAGAACACTCGGGGTAGGGTGTGAGGGAGGAGGTAGAACACTCTGGGTGGGGTGTGAGGGATGAGGTAGAACACTCTGGGTGGGGTGTGAGGGAGGAGGTAGAACACTCTGGGTGGGGTGTGAGGGAGGAGGTAGAATACTAGGGGTGGGGTGTGAGGGAGGAGGTAGAACACTCTGGGTGGGGTGTGAGGGAGGAGGTAGAACACTTGAGGTGGGGTGTGAGGGAGGAGGTAGAACACTCGGGGTGGGGTGTGAGGGAGGAGGTAGAACACACTGGGTGGGGTGTGAGGGAGGAGGTAGAACACTCTGGGTGGGGTGTGAGGGAGGAGGTAGAACACTAGGGGTGGGGGTGTGAGTGAGTAGGTAGAACACTAGGGGTGGGGGTGTGAGGGAGGAGGTAGAACACTCGGGGTGGGGTGTGAGGGAGGAGGTAGAACACTCGGGGTGGGGTGTGAGGGAGGAGGTAGAACACTCTGGGTGGGGTGTGAGGGAGGAGGTAGAACACTTGAGGTGGGGTGTGAGGGAGGAGGTAGAACACTCTGGGTGGGGTGTGAGGGAGGTGGTAGAACACTCTGGGTGGGGTGTGAGGGAGGAGGTAAAACACTTGAGGTGGGGTGTGAGGGATGAGGTAGAACACTCTGGGTGGGGTGTGAGGGAGGAGGTAGAACACTCAGGGTGGGGTGTGAGGGATGAGGTAGAACACTCTGGGTGGGGTGTGAGGGATGAGGTAGGACGCTCGGGGTGGGGTGTGAGGGATGAGGTAGAACACTCGGGATGGGGTGTGAGGGAGGAGGTAGAACACTAGGGGTGGGGTATGAGGGAGGAGGTAGAACACTAGGGGTGGGGTGTGAGGGAGGAGGTAGAACACTCTGGGTGGGGTGTGAGGGAGGAGGTAGAACACTAGGGGTGGGGTGTGAGGGATGAGGTAGGACGCTCGGGGTGGGGTGTGAGGGATGAGGTAGAACACTCGGGGTGGGGTGTGAGGGAGGAGGTAGAACACTAGGGGTGGGGTGTGAGGGAGGAGGTAGAACACTAGGGGTGGGGTGTGAGGGAGGAGGTAGAACACTCGGGGTAGGGTGTGAGGGAGGAGGTAGAACACTCTGGGTGGGGTGTGAGGGATGAGGTAGAACACTCTGGGTGGGGTGTGAGGGAGGAGGTAGAACACTCTGGGTGGGGTGTGAGGGAGGAGGTAGAATACTAGGGGTGGGGTGTGAGGGAGGAGGTAGAACACTCTGGGTGGGGTGTGAGGGAGGAGGTAGAACACTTGAGGTGGGGTGTGAGGGAGGAGGTAGAACACTCGGGGTGGGGTGTGAGGGAGGAGGTAGAACACTTGAGGTGGGGTGTGAGGGAGGAGGTGGAACACTCTGGGTGGGGTGTGAGGGAGGTGGTAGAACACTCTGGGTGGGGTGTGAGGGAGGAGGTAGAACACTTGAGGTGGGGTGTGAGGGATGAGGTAGAACACTCTGGGTGGGGTGTGAGGGAGGAGGTAGAACACTCAGGGTGGGGTGTGAGGGATGAGGTAGAACACTCTGGGTGGGGTGTGAGGGAGGAGGTAGAACACTCTGGGTGGGGTGTGAGGGAGGAGGTAGAACACTTGAGCTGGGGTGTGAGGGAGGAGGTAGAACACTCGGGGTGGGGTGTGAGGGAGGAGGTAGAACACTCTGGGTGGGGTGTGAGGGATGAGGTAGAACACTCTGGGTGGGGTGTGAGGGATGAGGTAGAACACTCTGGGTGGGGTGTGAGGGATGAGGTAGAACACTGGGTGGGGTGTGAGGGAGGAGGTAGAACACTAGGGGTGGGGTGTGAGGGAGGAGGTAGAACACTCTGGGTGGGGTAGAACACTCGGGGTGGGGTGTGAGGGATGAGGGAGAACACTCAGGTAGGGGTGTGAGGGATGAGGTAGAACACTCTGGGTGGGGTGTGAGGGAGGAGGTAGAACACTCGTGGTGGGGTGTGAGGGATGAGGTAGAACACTCTGGGTGGGGTGTGAGGGAGCAGGTAGAACACTAGGGGTGTGAGTGGTGGTGGATGACTGTGACCTACAGTAGACTCTGTGACCTACATTAGACTCTGTGACCTACAGTAGTCTCTGTGACCTACATAGTCTCTGTGACCTACATAGTCTCTGTGACCTACAGTAGTCTCTGTGACCTACATAGTCTCTGTGACCTACATAGTCTCTGTGACCTACAGTAGTCTCTGTGACGTACAGTAGTCTCTGTGACCTGCAGTAGACTGTGACCTACAGTATACTATGTGATCTACAGTAGACTCTGTGACCCACAGTAGACCCTGTGACCTACAGTAGCCTCTGTGACCTACAGTAGTCCCTGTGACCTACAGTAGACCCTGTGACCTACAGTAGTCTCTGTGACCTACAGTAGACCCTGTGACCTTCAGTAGCCTCTGTGACCTACAGCAGTCTCTGTGACCTACACCCATCTCTGTGACCTTCACCGGTCTCTGTGACCTCCCTGATGTGTCTATGACTAAACCTGTACCTTGTGTTGCCTGCTTCAGAACCTGTTCCTGCAGGAGACAGTGAGGAAGGAGTGTGAGGAGAGGTTTGAGCTGACGGAGGCTCTCAGTGACGCCAAGCGCGAGCTGCTGGAACTGAAAAGGCCGGCAGGTAGCATGAGGTCATAATTCTCTAGGGACTCCAACAGTCTGTCATTGATCCATGAACAAGAAATTAGAGTAAACATCCACATCATTTTAGTTCCTTATGAACATAGACCTAGCGTTGATATAGTCTATGGAAAATATTCCCCTTTACATAATGTATATGTGTAATTAATAAATGCACCTAATTTCATAAGACAGAAACAGTTTAAGATAAATTTATGCCATAACATTCGTCATAATCATATACCACTCAACATCAGCTAAGGAGCACACATTGGATGAAAGATGACTATTTTGGTCTTCAACAAATGTTGAGTAGTATTGACTGAAAAGAAACACATTTTCTTCGGAACATTTGCAAATGGATGAGATCATGTTGTTCATCGCAGTTGTAGTCAGCTTACGTACATATCATTACTATAGGCCGCCCCCACATCCAAACCCCACCAAAAAAAATTTAAAGCCCATAAACATACTAAACATGATTTTGAATGTTAAGAAAAAAGTTGTAACAGCCTTTGAAAGTATGGTACCCTATGTCGCGGTCTTGTGTGGTTGTGCCGTATATCACTTGGGGGTTTGATTACGTTTTGGGTTGTCATCTCACTAGTGATCCACTGATCTTCAAGTGTGATATACCACTGGAAGCCATATATAAGTACCTCTCTAATGAGGTATCAATAACTGGTAATGGGTGAACCTATGGCAAATCAAACGTCATATTTCCCTACAAAACAAAATTGTTCTTGCAGAAACCTTTAATCCGGTATATGTTCTAGGTACGTGTGCCTGATTCCACTATAATCTCGGCTTAGCTACATCGGAACAACGTTTGGATGTATGCTCAGGATTTGGCTTGTCATCTTGTGTGTTATTCACCGACCTCGATGTGTTACATACCATAGGAAACCATATATAAACACCTTAATTTGATGTAGGCTGATTATTGATCTACTTGTGGCCAATCATGCAGAATACTTCTTGAAAAGTCAAGTAATGCTTTAGAGGATGCTCTATGCCAATGCCTATTTAGAATGCACAGATCTTGGGGAAAGAAGGCTCTGCTTTTTCATGTCAACGTGGTTTGCAAACTTAACTTTTAATTTCTTTTCCCCACAGCTCGTTACATAGATGCTTGAGGCCCGTGAAGATCCGGGGTAGAATAGATCTTCAGCAACCCATGCTTGCCCTAAAAGGCGACGATGCTTGTCGTAAGAAGCTACTAACAGGATCGGGTGGTCAGGCTCGCTGACTTGGTTGATGCATGTCATCGATCCCAATTGCGTGAATCGATGCTCATGATGTCAATCACTGGATTGTCTTGTCCAGCCTCGATTATTGACAGACCGCCGTCATATAGGTGGAATATTGATGAGTGCGGCGTTAAACAACAAACCAACCAACTTAGATGCTTGAAAGTATTGACTTTGTGTAATGTAACTAACAGACTGTCTGTTTGAATATTGTGGAAAAGTAACTGTTTATCCTGAGAAGTGGCTGTTTGGGGCTGATCAGTTGATATACATCCAGAATTACAGTACATTTGCAGTAATTGTCGTTCTAGGGTTGTGATATCAGACAAAGCTTTCTGTTCTCAAGGTGGATACCCCTCATCAGCAGGATCGCAACGCAGTGGTTACCATGGCAACATCCCTCGAAAGACTGGCAGTGTCATCAGTCTCGCATCCGTCCCCAGTCAGCCGGTGTCTGCCCGCACCAACACAACGCCACCTAGTGACCAACCAGCTTCAAACAACATTGGTTACCATGGCGAGTCTGCTAAGCCCCCCGGTAAGATACGGGGCGGGAGTGTTGCTGAGAACAGGAGGAGAATTGCTACTATTCTTGGGAAGAGATGATGCAGGCCAGAGAGGGAGGAAGACAGCACTGTGGTTGCGGAAGCAGGTTTATATGAACTGCCATGGTCTTCCATGTGTTGTATAGGCTGCCATGCTCCAGGAATGAATCTCCTAGCTCTTTGAGATGGATCCCATTTTCCAGTATTCTGAATTATCGGTTCAGATATTTTGCTCAATTTGAAGATCTGCAAAGTTGGTATCCATATTTAGGAGTGACAATATGACTGTGATAATGTCCCTTCGTTGAAATAACATTAATAGAAGTGGTTTGCAATTCAAAATTGTCTTTGAGGCTTCAGATGTTCCTGCTTTAGAGAAGTCAGTGATATGGCATCATATATTTGCCCATAGAATTGTGATGGTTCACAAGTTGGGACATCACAGATTTACCATTCAGACGGACAAAGAGACAAAATGCAATGTTGCTTCAAACAGTATCTGTCATATATCTGTGTCTAAACAGATACTGTTTGAAGTAACGTTTCTCACTAACTCACTCTCTGATTGTCATTCCACACTGAACTGGACTTGGAGTCCACACTAAGCCAGACTTTGTTTGAGTCCACACTAAGCCGGACTTTGTTTGAGTCCACACTAAGCTGGACTTTGTTGGAGTCCACACTAAGCTGGACTTTCAGTCTAAACTAAACACATAATATTTCTTGTGCAAGACTTGTTTCATACCAAGATAGATAAGAGTGTTGCACTATAAGTGAAGTATTTAGCTGTCCACTTTCTGGTTGAGGGAATTCAGAATCACCTCTATCAAGATATCGAAACCAACAGGTGAGAAGTCAAACTTAAACATTTTGCATTATATTTCATTGTTTAAATCAGACCTCATCTCATATTCATCTTGTCTTTATTAGACAAATGTGTAATTTTCATCACATATGTTTAATTGATGTATACCCACTCATGTCATACACCGTCCAATTGATGGATCACTTGGTGATGTATCAAACCAATGACAAATGTTTCATTGTTATATTTTTATACCTGTTAGCGTCTTACATTCTTCCATCTACAACCCCTCCTGGTGTCGATGTTCCTCACTCACTCACTCACTCACTCACTCACCCACCAACCAACCCTCTCACTCACTCACACTCACTCACTCACTCACTCACTCACTCACTCACTCACCCACCAACCATCTCACTCACATTCACTCACTCACCCTCTAACTCACCCTCTCACTCACCCTCTCACTCACTCACTCACCCTCACTCACTCTACACTCACTCACTCACCCTCTCACTCACTCTACACTCACTCACTCTACACTCACTCACTCTACACTCACTCACTCACTCACCCTCTCACTCACCCTCTCACTCACTCTACACTCACTCACTCACTCACCCTCTCACTCACGCTACACTCACTCACTCACCCTCTCACTCACCCTCTCACTCACTCTACACTCACTCACTCACCCTCTCACTCACTCTACACTCACTCACTCACTCACCCTCTCACTCACCCTCTCACTCACTCACTCACTCACCCTCTCACTCACTCTACACTCACTCACTCACCCTCTCACTCACCCTCTCACTCACCCTCTCACTCACTCTACACTCACTCACGCACCCTCTCACTCACTCACTCACTCACCCTCTCACTCACTCTACACTCACTCACTCACCCTCTCACTCACTCTACACTCACTCACTCACCCTCTCACTCACTCTACACTCACTCACTCACTCACTCACTCACCCTCTCACTCACCCCCTCACTCACTCACTCACTCACCCTCTCACTCACTCACTCACTCACCCTCTCACTCACTCTACACTCACTCACTCACTCACCCTCTCACTCACTCTACACTTACTCACTCACCCTCTCACTCACTCACTCAGTCAACCTCTCACTCACTCTACACTCACTCACTCACCCTTTCACACTCACCCTCTCACTCCAGTTATGGGATGTTATGTCTCACTCATTCACACACTCTCTCGCTCGCTCACTCACTCACTACAGTAGTTGATTAGCAAATCATGATTATAGAGTAATGTCTTTTTTGTGTATGTACGATATATAGATATAGCCATTCCAGACATTAGTTGCCCAGAAGGCAGGTTTGTGTATTAAAGGGGTTCACAGTACATGCTGTGGTAATGGTTCATGCCCATGTTGTTGTATTGATAGTGACAAGAACATTATCCAGTATTTGTCTTTTTCCGATCAAGACAAGCATTTTACACCCAAATGTTTGGCATTTGTTAAATATCAGAGAGCTTGTGATGTTTTATATTTATTATGAATTATTTGTTAGGGAAATAGTAGGGATGTCATGATTCGACTATCTCCCAATACGATACTTTGTTCACGATGTGATACATATCGCAATACTTAATTCACTGCAATTTTGCATGAATTTGAAAATTTCATGGGGCATAAACACTATTAAAAAGGCTTGAATCTCCCTGAATATCTGGTGTCATATTTGAAAATTGAAATATCGCATTCAATCAATACATTATTTCAGATAAAACTGGAGTGTCATCATAAATAATTTCTATTATTAAAAAAAGAGAGGAAAGTTCTTGTTTGCCCCCGAAAATAAATACATGAAATATGAACGAATGAAACGATGTGTGAAATGATACAGAATTAAATAAAATATGAATCATTACTGGATCAAAATTTGAATCAATACTGCTAAATGTGTTTCATATATCGTATAGTCTGAGAATGTTATCAATGTATTGTTGAATCATGACATCACTAGGAATTAAGCATCTGCATAGCGTTAATTCCAAGTGTTTGTGAAAGAAGTCAAACTGTTCACATATCCCACATCAAGTCACAAACCTATCATGACATTGACTTTCGCTTCAGCTCAAAGTTATGTTCAATCAGTAAGGTACCATCCCCAAAGTGGCAAAACTAAAAACTTGATGAGCATTTCTGTTATTGCCAGGGGGCATGGGTGGCCAAGTCGTCTAAGGCGCAGCGATTCGCTGTGCAGAGTTGCGTCCCTTTGGCACGCCAGAAACCTATGATTATGGGTTCGAATCCCGCTTCACCCCAATTATGTTTCTAGGTTTGTCAGCACCATACCCATGCTTGTGGGTTTCACCAAAGTGGTAAATGTCTGAGACCTGCAACACTTGGGGCTTTCCTCCCACATTAAGCTGACACACGGAGATATAACTGGAATACTGTTAAAAGCGGCGTTAAACACTAATCACTCACTCACTGTTATTGCCAAAATGTATCCTACCCTAAACTAGGGGTTGCTAGTGCGATGTTGAGGTCTTCCCTACATGATGTTGTTTACAGAATTCATTTCCTTCCAGCATTCCCTTACCATAAATCATGAATATTTATTTTGTTGGATATAGATTCTATATGTTTGACATGTGAAGTCATGTATGATTCCCGGCAAACCAAATTTTTTAGATTGTTATTCTTCTACCTGTTGTCTGTTCAGTGTTTAATCATTTATATGGGAAAAAACTGGTACAAAAATAAAACCTAAAATAGTCAATCAATACAGAATGCTTTTGTGATTCTTTTGAAAATTCAAGTTCGGTTTCGTACTTTATTGTATATAAACAGGTAAGTGTGGAGTGAAGAGAATCAGGTACCTACAACCCCAAAATATGGGGAAGTCAAGGGGGCAAAAATATGTGAAAGCCCAGGGAGGGGAAGGGGGTGGGAGGGAAGAGCATGAAAAAATGTTTCATGTTGGCCAAATATAAGAGACGACTAACGGGATTGAGTGGTCAGGCTCGCTGACTTGGTTGATGCATGTCATTGTATCCAAATTGCGACTGGATTATTCACAGACCGCCATCATGTACCTGGAATATTGCTGGGTGCGCGTTAAACAGATGACAAACAAAAGCCTGCCTGATAGATAAGTTGTTTAATACAACAGATGGACACTCCAGCTGTATCACAACATGAAAATAAGCAATATTTCCCAATGCAAACCAGCGACTGTATCAAGAGCAACACCGATATCAAATGCATTTAATCAGCTTCCAGAACCTGAGCTCTCCATCCAACAAGTCGCCTCTTTTCACAAACATAATATTGGATGGAGTGTCTGCCCGGTTTGTGGAAGGTTGGTGTTTCTATCACAGGCCACGTCACACAAAGTGACATCAAAAGATGGTACATGTTGTTACCCTTCCTATAGGCCGCCATTAAGGGGATAAAGATAGGACCGGTCGGCACAAAGTCAGTACACCCTGTGTCTGGGGTATTCATGTTGAACTGCAGCGTGGTATTTAGGGTGGAGGTCTTTTTTCAACCCAATTGAGCACCACAACACATTTTTAACGAAAAAGAGTGGAGTTTAAAATTACGCCGTGTGTGTTCGTTGCGAGAGCATACTTGTCGACTGGGTTGGTCAAAGCTGATAGCCCGTTGGCAATAATCCTTTCGCTGTAAAAAAATATTTCTTCAATACCAATTTTATCTCCATAATAATGCTAACGTTTAATTTATTGAAACAGGTAGATATGTAGGTGTTGCAAGAGAACAGAGGCTTTGTAGGATTTGTAAAACTGATTGTATTGAAGACGAATATAACTTTTTATGTGTATGTCCAGTGTATTATGATTAAAGAGCAAAACATCTAAATAACTATTTCTACCACAAACCAAATGGTTACAAATTTTGTAACTTAATGACATGCGATTGTACAGAAACTGTGAGAAATTAATCTATGTTTATTTATCATGCTGTGAAACTAAGAAAATGTATGAATTTGTAACACGCCCCAGACAATGTACCATAGGCCTTTGGCCTCATCGGTACCATGAATAAAGATTGACTGATTGATATTTGGTGACGGTTGGGTGTCGCACTCTGTAATCTGTGATCTGCACTAAGACACGCCAGTACAATGATAAGCAATTGTTTCTATAAAGAATGAATTGTAAACCATGAACGCAGGACAACATTAAGATTCACATTAGCTCCTCACCCTCACAATATATTAACCTTTGAAATGAAACACTATCCCTTAAATTAAATATTCATCCTTGCCTTCATCCTACAAACTTTCTGGATTGGGGCCGCCATTTTGCGATCGGCCATGTCTGCGCAAGTTACCATGGCTTCATCTGGGTAGCTGGGAGAGCTAGTTCGCTGTTTCCTCATCACCATGGAGATCCACTCAAAGGTGGACTTGGTCAGTTGTATCTGTGTTCTCCTTGTATGGACGACCTCTAATGGTAAGTGTGTTTCATTGTCCTTGAGAACCGGTAAGATAATTATATTTCTCAAGTCAAATATCATTCACCACAATAGAAAATTAATTTCCAATAATATGCTTCTCCTTGATATGATGAAAGTTTACTGCTGCAACAAATTTCATCTTGATAGATGAAATCGCAATAAAAGAATAATATATGTTCCATATTTAAGATGTGAGGTGAAATGGGGTTTAACGTTGCGTCCTAGATTATTGCACTTACAAAGCGACCTGCATGCACGTGTGTGTGTGTGTGTGTGTGGCTGCTTGTACTAGTCCGGACTGATGCCGATTTATAGTGCTAGCTCACTGAGATACCATGCAGCAGTTTAACATGAATACCCCACTCAGACACAGCATACTGACTCCGAGCCGACCAGTCCTTGTTTTGCGCCTTAATGCCGAGCGGAAGACAGGGTAACAACAAGTACCATCTTTTAACGTCTTTTGGTATGATGCGGCCGGGGATCGAACCCCGGACCTTGATGGATTGTCTGGTCCAGCCTCGATTATTTACAGACCGCCGTCATATAGCAGGACTATTGCTGAGTACGGCGTTAAACAACAAACAAAGAAACCAAATCCTTTTCTTGTCCATCTCTTACCATCACTCGATACCTCTTTGTATAAATTTCTGTAATCATTTGTTATTTTGGATCATCCCATACGTTTTGGAAAATATAGTATAATATAACTTCTTATCGAATATATGTTTGGTGACATGTGGCATCAACGGATCGGGTTATTGTTTATGTCATCAATCACAGGTTTATTGTTGTTATACAAAATTGTAATATTGCTGACTGCGCCTTACTAAACATTCACCCACTCACTTACTCATTTACCCCCTGCCCATCGACTCACTCAATTGCCCCCATACATTGTGACCATCTTGCGTCCATATTTGCCACCACTGAACAAGCAAGTACTTGGTATCCGAGGACATACTCACACAGCTTCCAGTCAGAGGACCCGTGGACATCCGGGTCACATTAGGTCTTCAGCAACCATGCTTGCCGTAAGAGGCGACTAACGGGAGCGGGTAGCCAGACTTGCTGACTTGGTTGATGCATGTCATCGATTCCCAATTGCGTGGCTCGATGCTCATGATATTAATCACTGGATTGTCTGGTCCAGACCGCCGTCATATAGCTGGAATATTGCTGAGTGCGGCGCTAAACAACAAACAAACCAATCAGGGGCGGTGGGGTAGCCCAGTGGGTTACACCGAAATCCCGGGTTTGATTCCCCACTTGAATTCAATTTCATCCCGTATGGCGTCTGCGTTCACAACAATCACTCGCCAGGACAGAGCAGGATAGATTCATGCCATTTTTATGCGTATTGCGGTCAAAATGTTGCGCTTTGCAATGGATAACAATACTGGAACCTGAAAGTTTTAGCTTCAGCCCATAAAACACCCCCCCCCCCCCCCCCCCCCCCCAACCCAACCCAACCCAACCACCCCCCCACCCCCCTCCGCGTTGTCTTACATACTAATGCTTATTCTGTGTGTAACCATGACAACACAGTGTCTATTTTGTAATAATTGTTTTTACTTCAATGCTTACATATCCGATGCCCATCTTCAGCTCACGCGTCGACCCAGGCATTCTAACGGCGAACGTATGTACGGAAACTGATATCGCACCAAGACGTTAAAACTCACTGTATTCAAATTATTGATGTGTTGCTATGGAAACGGAGAATTTATATCCTGGCCTGTTGATAATTTTTTCATAAGCAACTCTAGCATGAAGAATCAATAGTCTACTGGCGTGGAGTACAGGTGTACTTCCTACCTGTGTTACTGCTCGCGTGTCTTGGCACATTTTCTCTCCTGTTGTAAACTCGGTCTTGGAATGCTTTGATGAGTTCCGTGATTTTCTGCAATGCAGTCGGTGTGAGCGCGCGCTTGTGTGTGTGTGTGTGTGTGTGTGTGTGTGTGTGTGTGTGTGTGTGTGTGTGAGCGATATTTACAAAAAAACAGTGTATCATGGAAGAAATAACATTAAACAATTACAAATAAAATTATAAAATACCATAATAATATATGTTCTGAAATAAATGTTTTTAAACAGAATTGAAATTTAAATAGATTACAGTCATCAACAAACTCGACGACTTCATCAAAGAGGTTGAATCGTATCATCTTACACACCTGTGGGAGAGAACATGTGGTAACAAACATGTGTGAAATCGACATCAAGGCCTGTGATTGGCTACTCCATGTCTGATGACCAAAGGTCGGATTATGACGGACTACTTCCTGGTCGTAATTTATTGATACGCTTCTCGTCAATCAGTCGAATTCACCCTCGCCTCTGTCGAAATTTGATCTTATCGAGTTGATATTATCAATATTTCCTTGATAGTCCAAAGATATGGCACAAACGATTTCATGGAGGGTCACACTAGGTATGAGTAGTAAGCATTTAGACGGATGAGGTTAGTCAAGACTGTCCTGTCATGTATTAATGCGCCTCTGCAATCACGAGCATAGACAGAATATGTATCGATTCGAAGCTAAGTTTGGGCGATTTTAGTGAGTGAGTATGGCTTTACGCCCCTTTTAGAAATATTCCAGCAATATCACGGCGGGGGACACCAGAAATGGGCTTCACACATTGTACCCATGTCGGAAATCGAACCCGGGTCTTCGGCGTGACGAGCGAACGCTTTAACCACTAGGCTACCCGACCGCCCCTTGGGCGATTTTAAGGTGTGTAAGAAACAAATTACTGCATACGTGTCTGTCATAGACCATTTATAAAAATCGTTGTTTCAAAACGCATATGTTTCGGTTCATCTCGTTAGATAAGTTTAGAAACAACTCGTTGTTAGATATATGGTATCTGAGTGACTCTCGTGTAGCGATATCTATATACTAATATTTACAACATCAGTCCTACAATGGATGTAAACCTTTGAATCCCAACTTTGTGCACAGGAATCAGTTTCCTTAGAGTGAGTGAGTGTTGTTTTACGCTGCTTTTAGCAATATTCCAGCAATATCACAATAACAGAAATGGGCTTCACACATTGTACCCATGAGGGGAATCGAACCCGGGCCTTCAGGGTGACGAGCGAACGCTTCAACCACTAGGCTACCCCATCGCCTCTTGTTTCCTTAGAAGGGGACCTTAATTATGATGATGATTATGCTGCATTAAAACAAATAAAAAATTATATAACTATCGCGAGAATACAGATAAATTATCTTGGAATGATTTCCCTAATTCATCCCACGTGGTGTGCCGCCCTTAAAAATTCATTATATTGCCAATAGACGTCAATGGCGTACACAACGTCGAAACTGGGGTAATCGTCTCTGGTCACGATGATTCGCGATTAAAATTTGCACTGCCTTGATAGGCGTGGTCGTCGGAATGGAGGCTAATGTCAACCTGTGACCTCATGACAGATTTTGCGGTGGATCGGTTATAGTGGGAGGTGGCATCACTGGGACTGACAGAATACCACCCCGTATTGTGCAAGGAAAGGTCACTAAGCAGTACTATGGGGACATCAAACTGACACCCTTTATTGTCCCGTTTGCAATGCGTGTGGGTCGACGTTTTGTCCTTCGGCACGACGGCGCCCGTGCACGACTCGTCAATGCTCACCTCCAGTAGCACAACATCCATACAATCATGGCCAGCAATGAGCACAGTCCTTTCTCCAACTGAACCATTCGTGACCAACTCGTGTTATTCCGGGACAAGCCGAATACGTCACCACTCGTCCCTTTCCGTAACCTGCAAGAAGATTCGTCCCCCTATCGATGAATGTTATGTGCGAAAATACGACAAACCAATTAGAATGCGCCTATTATTTCAAGTTCTTCGTCAAAGAATCCCTCAGATATAATTGTTTATTTTACATATGTCTTGCATCTAAAAATATACCCAAGACACAGTTAAATGTGTTCAATCATACTGTATAATACTTTAAGTCCCGATGTGTCTTAAATAGCATCTGGAATATATATGACATATGGGAAATTTGCGTGAATCATTACGCAACGAGTTGACAATTTTTTTAGTTATGCCCGTTTGCGCTTAGACGGAACCCAGTCGCAAAAATGGCCACGAGTGGGACACGAGTCGCTATTCGGCTTGTCCCGGAATAACACGAGTTGGTCACGAATGTTCTTGCAGGTTACGGAAAGGGGCGAGTGGTGACGAATGCAAATGAACACGTCTGGGACAGGATAGGGAGACGCTTGCGTCAACGTCATAGGCCGTCGACCATGTCAGTTGAACTTGGCCAGGCGCTGCAAGAGGGGTTAGGCAGACCCCCTCAAGTCGCCATTTGAAGACTACGCTGTATGCCTCGTCGTGTGAATAATGTTTGACGAATCGTGGCGGTATTACGCACAACTGATACAAATACATCAACTTTGAAATTTCCCATCTTACTACTATCGTCCTGCAAGATCGTTGGCCGTCATAACATCTTCTGTCATACTTCACTGACGATTGAATGCGTTCATTATTATCATACAGGTATTTCTTATAACTAATACTTCTTTCAAGTTTGGAAATATATTTTCCGAGTGTCCCCTACTTGTTTAAAGAGTATACTACATGTATGTGAACATTGTGCAAAGTGGAGAGTGTCTGTAAATACTATCAAAACTAAAGTGTTTGTTTTCAAGAAAGGTGGAGTGGTATCTAAACATGAGAAATGGTTCTTCGGTCCAGATTGACTTGAAATATTCTCATACTACAAATATCTTGGCTCAACAGTTTCGTATCGAAACCTATTTACAAAAGCATGTGATGTATTTGCAAGGCAAGCAGATAAAGCAGTGTACAATGCTGATCAGTTTATGAGTGAATTTAGAAATATACCTGTTGAATCACTGTTTAAGATATTTGATGGTAAAATACAGGCACGACTGATATACGTCTTGGAATTTTGGGGAGCCTTATATTGCCACAGTATTGAGAAAATACATACAGAATTCGACAAATTTGTTCTTGGCGTCCGCTGCCGGTCACCAAAATAAGGCAATTTAAGCAGAAAGCACCCGATATATGTAAGCCATGAATGCCGAGTTATCTCATGCTGGATACGTCTGCTCAGACAACCAGATACACGATACTCTAGACGATGCTATTATAGGCTTAATCCCCTTGATGACTCTGGCGATATAAACTTGGCCTCAGCTGTTTGGGAATTATTTTGCCTCATGCCTTTTGGTGACCTCACGCAATTGGGATCGATGACATGCATCAACCAAGTCAGCGAGCCTGACCACCCGATCCCGTTAGTCGCCTGTTACGACAAGCATGTCCCAGACGTGCTCTACAGGGGACAGGTCAGGACTCGTGGCTGGCCATTACATTGTGGAGGTGCTTTGCTGCTGGAGGTTTTGTTTGTTTGTTGTTTTACGCCGCACTCAGCAATATTCCAGCTATATGACGGTGGTCTGTAAATAATCGAGTCTGAGACCTGCATCACTTCGGGCTTTCCTCTCCAGAAGCTGACACGCCGCGATATAACTGGAATACTGTTAAAAGCGGCGTTAAACCCAACTCACTCACTCACTAACTGTTCCGGCAGATAATCGAGACTGGTTATTCTCTGGCGTTGACGTTTTGTGAATTCAATAACTTGTACCGTGCACTTGTTCTGAGCCAATGCCGATTTGTCAGGCAGTGTCAGGCCAGGGTACCCGTGAAGATCCGGGTTAGAATTGGTCTTCAGCAACCCATGCTTGTCGTAAGAGGCGACTTATAGGCTCGGGTGGTTAGGCTTGCTAACTTGGTTGATGCATGTCATCGTATCCCAATTGCGTGGATCGATGTTCATGATGTCAATCACTGGATTGTCTTGTCCAAACTCGATTATTTACAGACCGCCGCCATACAGGTGGAATATTGCTGGTTGCGGCGTTAAACAACAAACAAACAAACAAACAAACATCCGACCAGGGCGGTAACTTGTCTTGATCGGAAATCACTAAGAACAGAAAACACAGTAAAAAATAGGAGGAAATCGATTTTGTCGATTCTTTGTATTGGATAAAATTCCAATCTGCCGTATCTACAGATATTGTATTGAACTAAATTCTGATTTGCCATACCGGCAGCTATTGAACTGATTACAATTCCGATCTTTCATATCGATAGCTGTTGCCATGAGCACAATTCAGATATGTCATCTGGACAGCTGTTGTATTGAATACAATTCCTACCCGTCATATCATGAGCTATTTTATTGAACACCAATCCTATCTATAATAACAAAAACTCTGTATATTGAACACTAGGTGAGGTGAGGTGAGGTGAAATGGGGTTTAACGTTGCGTCCAAGATTATTGCACTTATATAGCGACCTGCATGCACGTGTACGTGTGTGTGGCTGCTTGTACTAGTCCGGACTGATGCCGATTTATAGTGCTAGCTCACTGAGATACCATGCCGCAGTTTAACATGAATACCTCACTCAGACACAGTATACTGACTCCGAGCCGACCAGTCCTTGTTTTAGCCCCTTAATGCCGAGCGCCAGACAGGGTAACAACAAGTACCATCTTTAAACGTCATTAGGTATGACACGGCTGGGGATCGAACCCCGGACCTTCCGCTTTCCTGGCGGACGCTCTACCATTAGACCACGGAGGCGGTCATATTGAACACTAGCCCGTGTTGAGGACTAAATATGTTTGGTTTCAGCCGACGAGGGGCTGCTGCTGCTGGCGAGGGCAGGGGGACGCTACGACCCGCTCCAGCTCTGGTTCAGCTCCCCCCGGAAACTGTGGGCGGTCAACCAGTGCGCTAAAGACGAGACAGACAGTTTCAGGAACCACAGCATCAAAGGCAACTTCCGTAGTCCTACCATAGACAACCTGACATCGTACAACACAGTGGAGGTGAGGACACGTGTGTGTGCATGTTGTTTTAGGCCGCTGTCAGAAATAGTCCGGACAAACCAGTGGTTGATGTCATGAGCAGCGCCCTTGGGGTACAATGACATGCAGTCAACTCATCCCGAGCACCCGAATCTTGGCCACGGGGAGCTAAATCTCAAGAATGCATAATGTTCTATTTAAGATTTAAAGTAGATACAATTATTGGTAACAACTTCGTTATGTTAGTGTAATGGCGACGTTTCAGTATAGATCCTTAAAACTTTACCGAACTGGGGCGGTGGGGTAGCCTAGTGCTTAAAGCGTTCGCTCGTCACGCTGAAGACCCGGGTTCGATTCCCCACATGGGTACAATGGATGATATGACTGTACTATTGCTAAAAGCGGCATAAAACCATACTCACTCACTCACTCACTATAACTAACTTATACCATAAAAGCTTAAAGTGAGTGAGTGAGTATGGTTTTACGCCGCTTTTAGCAATATTCCAGCAATATAACGGCGGGGGACACCAGAATTGGACTTCATCAGAAATGGGCTTCACACATTGTACCCATGTCGGGAATCGAACCCGGGTCTTCGGCGTGACGAGCGAACGCTTTAACCACTAGGCTACCCGACCGCCCCTAAAAGCTTAAAAGGGGTCTATACCGGAACATCGGTATTACAGTAAAATGAAGAAGTTGTTATCCATTAATTGTGTCTACTTTATTCAAGATTGTTTTTAAAAAGTATCTTTTTGATCAATCGAGTAGGCTCTGAATATATATGAAAAGTTTAACAAAAATGGCACCAGTTTTCAAATGTAGTCCATAAGCGCATGTGATCAGAGCGGACAAACGCGGGTGTCACGACCGTTTTGTATTTAAGCCAGAAATATAAAAAAAATCTAAATCAGTGTAAGTATTCCGAATTATACTTTAACAAAATCAAAACTTTGTGTTACGAATACATTGATGTATTGATAAGATGTTTGATGCAATTTGTTCCTCGTGAATTTATGTTGAAATTTCCCTGCCAAGAATCGGAACTGTATTCACAATTCCAAGCGCACGTAGCTTATAGGTTATTATCTAAATCATGACCTCTTCTGTCCGTAGTGGCAAACACGTGTGTAGATCCGGGATAGAATAGGTCTTGAGCAATCCATGCTTGCCGTAAAAGATGGCAATGCTTGTCGTAAGAGGCGGCTAACGGGATCGGTGGGTCAAGGCTTGCTGACTTGGTTGATGCATGTCATCGATCTCAATTACGTGGATCGATGCTCATAATGTCAATCACTGGATTTTCTGGTCCAGACTTGATTATGTTACAGACCGCCGTCATATAGCTGGAATATTGCTGGTTGCCGCGTTAAACAGCAAACGAAAACAAACAAAAAAGCCATGACAAATGTAATTAAATTACAAATATCTTTATCGGAGATTTTCAGAGTGACAGATCTGAGGTCAAATGTTACCGTCCTTGCACTTCAAGATATACATCCTTGGAGCTAGCGTAATAAATCTATTGGCGTTAATAGACTTACAAAATACAAGTAAGACAATAAACAGCCGAGTTAGGTTGAAATAATTTTGTCTTGTTCATGCCTCCCTGATGTGCCCATGCCTAGCTGGAACTGGTGGTGTACAGTGGATTCGGAGATGAGCTGCTGAACGTAAAGGGATGTAAGATGATGGACGAGAATAGGTAGGTGTGATGCAGCTCACCTCTCAGGTGATGGAGTGAGTGTGAGGTGAGGTGAAATGGGGTTTATCTTCGCGTCCAAGATTATTGCACTTATATAGCGACCTGCATGTACGTGTGTGTGTTTGTATGGCTGCTTGTACTAGTCCGGACTGATGCCGATTTATAGTGCTAGCTCACTGAGATACCATGCCGCAGTTTAACATGAATACCTCACTCAGACACAGTATTCTGACTACGAGCCGACCAGTCCTTGTTTTAGCCCCTTTAATGCCGAGCGGAAGACAGGGTAACAACAAGTACCATCTTTTACCGTCTTTTGGTATGACGCGCCCGGGGATCGAACCCCGGACCTTCCGCTCTCTGGGCGGACGCTCTACCACAAGACCAACTATTTCCATTCCATAGTTCTATTTCTGTCATTGTTTTTGTGTGTAAATAATCGCAAATTAACCTTGGACATTACTTTGTTTACAGGACACTGCAATGTGATGACAAAACATTTGGCAAGGTGATTGGTGCCCAATTAGACAGGTGCGCTACTCTGTAGGTGGTGAATTAGACTGGATTAGCCAAAATCAGCACTTTGTCTGAACACTCATTGAGGAGGGCATGAATTCGTAATCGATGATTTAGCCAAAATTTTATGATTGTAATGCACTATGTCAACAGCCTCTGGATATGTAAATGTATTTGTTATCCATGATTGGCCCATGGTTGTATGATTGATCATGCACTAGTCCACAGCCTCTGGATATGTAAATGTATTTGTTATCGATGATTGGCCCATGGTTGTATGATTGATCATGCACTAGTCCACAGCCTGTGGATATGTAAATGTATTTGTTATCGATAATTGACCCAGGATTGTATGATTGGTAATGCACTAGTCCACAGCCTATGAATATGTAAATGTATTTGTTATCGAATATTGACCCATGGTTTTATGATTGATAGTGCACTAGTCCACATCCTCTGGATATGTAAATGTATTTGTTATCGATGATTGACCCATGGTTGTATGATTGATAATGCACTAGTCCACAGCCTCTTGAGATGTAAATGTGTTTCTCATCGATGATTGACCCGTGGTTGTACGATTGGTAATGCACTTTGGTCATAACTTTTGAAGAAATAAATTCTGCATTTTTTTCATCAGATTGGGAGGGTTTGTATTGAAGACAGAGACTGGGGACAAGATGTTGACGATGATGTACGACAGCACGTACTACTTCGACAACGCCACCACCAGAGAGCGTCTACTGCTACCTTTCCTGAATCGCATAGCTAAACCACCAAACACAGGTACATTTTGAACAAACATGCGGCTTCATTGCTTTCCAGCTCATCCACTGGTCCACTGACATAGTCGATAGGTTAAATATTCACACGTAGGGTGTGGGGTGAAATGGGGTTTAACGTCGCGTTCACGATTGTTGCACTAATTATGCATGAGTGTGTGGCTGCTTGTACTAGCCCCGCTGAATTTATAATCCCAGCCCACTGAGATACCATGCCGCGGTTTAACATCAATACCCCACTCAGACACAGTATACTGACTTCAAGCAGACCAGTCCTTGTTTTAGACCCTTAAGGTAACAAGTACGATCTTTTAGCGTCTTTTGGTATGACGCGTCCGGGGATCGAACCCCTTCTGCTCTCCAGGCAGACGTTCTACCACTAGACCACGGAGGCGGTCACATGATTATGATAGAGACCACCAAATTGTTGTAAATTCCCAAACTAAAAGGTCTTTGGTTAGAGAGAATTTGACAGGTGAAACACGTATGGATCTATAATGTAATGGATTAAACTAGGAACATTATTACTTTTGAAAATCATAGCAACAATTCGTTTAACTTTGTGTTTAATGACCACATCCGATTTCTGACACGTTTCTGGTGGAAATATTGTTCCGTAGTTTTTTTTGTCGTATCTAAATAGTTGAAACGATCCCATTTTTAGCGAGATGCAAACCTTATTGTCCAGCCATGTGATACTTGTACTTGATAAATTCTAGAAAGGTGGAGGCGATGGCAGCGACAAAGGAGGCGACGTTTACAACAACGATTGTTGATAGTTGCGATGCTGACGGTGATACTGTTTTACACAGGTTACGAGGGTTGTCATGACGTGGTACAGGACAAAGTGTTCCGTATGGATCGTATGTCACTGGAGACATGTTTCAAGAATTGCACCAAATTTGCCACGATTAAGGTAATATGACTAATCTTCTGTATCATTGAAAGCGAGTGAGTGAGTATGATTTTACGCCGCTTTAGGCAATATTGTAGCAATATCAAGGCAGGGTACACCAGAAATGGGCTTAACCAACCCGGGCCTTCGGTTGGTACAGGTTGGATAACGTGGTATCACAGGGACGGTTATTGCAGTGGCATGTGGTCCTAGGCACAGCGTGCAGGTCACACATCAGGCGAAGGCGGAGAGTAGGTGCATGGGTGGCTGTGTTCGGCAGCTTGTCTCTAGAGATTGTCTAGGACTGAAGCCGATGTAGCACATGTGGTCTCTTCTTTGATCTAAAATGGCCGTAGTGCGAGGTTGGTACAAGTTGGTACAAGATGGTACAAGTTGGTACAAGATGGTACAAAATGGTACAAGTTGGTACAAGATGGTACAAAATGGTACGAGTTGGTACAAGTTGGTACACATGGTGGCACATAGAATAGTAGGGAAACAGATCGAAACGCCTGTCGCCTGTAATATTTTCCAAGAAATATTTATAAATACAATAATCTAGAATTAACCTATGACTAAAGTATTTCAGGCCGATTTTGTTTATTTATATTTATCAACTCTATACACTTATTCAGCATTCACCAGATGAAGGAGCATGGAGTGGCTCTGAAACGTCGGGACAAAGAATAAAGCAAGATGCTATCAATATAAAGTGTCATGTATTCATGTTCTCCCAACTTCCAAATGCCTATCAAAGACAATATTTAATCCCTTTGGCATTTGTATTACATTCAGAACCCATTGTGCGGGTGTCTGGAGACATTTGAAGGGAAGCATCAACTCGATGACCGGAAGTGCAGTTTTCTATGCTTAGGCAACAACAACCAGACGTGTGGCGGGGACAATGCCACAAGCGTGTATGACGTCACAAGTAAGTGACGTCATGTTTCCGTGATGTAAATATCATGTGAGGAATAAATATATGATGCTGGTCGTTTACGACGCGGAAACATACATGAATAATGATCTCTCTATATATAATGTCATTAAAAAATCAGTTTTGTGACGTAAATGTACTTATTTATTTAACCTTAGAAATCCGACGGGAGGTGAGGTGAGGTGAAATTGGGTTTAACGTCGCGTCCAAGATTATTGCACTTATATAGCGACGTGCATGCACGTGTATGTGTGTGTGTGGCTGCTTGTACTAGTCCGGACTGATGCCGATTTATAGTGCTAGCTCACTGAGATACCATGCCGCAGTTTAACATGAATACCCCACTCAGACACAGTATACTGACTCCGAGCCGACCAGTCCTTGTTTTAGCCCCTTTAATGCCGAGCGCCAGGCAGGGTAACAACAAGTACAATCTTTTAACGTCTTTTTGTATGACGCGGCCCGGGATCGAACCCTGGACCTTCCGCTCTCCGGGCGGACGCTCTACCATTAGACCACGGAGGCGGTCAAATCCGACTGGAATACAATACATGAGTTGATTATCCAACGTATAATATCTCCATTCCACTATGATCAAAGCCCGGGACCCATCCGCCACCAACGCTTGGTTTTGAGTCGATTTCGACACAGCACTAAATTAAAGAGCTATCGAAACGACACGGTATCGGTTAGGGTATTAAACGATGTCACTCGAACCCGACTGTTGTTATTACATACCGTTTAAATACATATGAGATCTTCTGGGTTCGCTCGAACGATACCGCTATTGTGAATGTAGATCTATGGCGATGGCTTGTGAAGAAGGGTAAGTTTGATTGGTTGCTGAGTTCAAGATGGAGATCGTGATGTCACTTCCGCAACAAAGGTTTGATAGCGCATGGGTCAAGGGTGTGTATATCATAATGGAATGTTATATAATAATACTCTGGATAGTTGAGGATACGAGAAACAGCTATTTGAACTTAGTTTATTGCTTTCGTAACCAACTCGTGTTATTCCGGGACAGGCCGAATAGCGACTCGTGCCCCTCTCATGGCCATTTTTGCGACCGGGTTCCGTCTTAGCGCAAACGGGCATACCTAAAACAATTGTCAAATGGTTGCGTAATGGTTCACATATTATTTCCCCATGTATTATATATACTGCAGATGCAATTTGAAGCACATTGGGACGTGCGGAATTATACAGTATGATTGAACACATTTAACTGTTTCTTGGGTATATGTTTAGATGCAAGACATATGTAGAATCAAAATTATTTCTGAGGGATTCTTTGACGAAGAACTTAAAATCATACGCGCATTCTGATTGGTTTGTCGTATTTTCGCACATAACATTCATCGATAGGGGGACGAGTTTTCTTGCAGGTTACGGAAAGGGGCGAGTGGTGACGAATGACTTTATTGAGCACGTCGACATGCACCGAGGCGTGAAGCTTGTTTAAAGTAGTTCCTGATCGATTACCTCATTTGCATATTTATCGGGTCCGCCTTATATGAGATATCCGTAGCATTGCACGACGATAAGATCCATCTGGTCCAGGTGTGTATGCTACCTTACTTATGACCTTCTGATCCGTGCCAAGGTTACATGGAGTTCAAGAAATTCACGGAGAGTGTGGATACCGGGGCGACGGAACTTGCCTCAGCACAAGTCACAGACAGCAACAGCACCATCGTGGTAAGTGAGTTGTGTGTACCACGGTCCTATACATACATGCATTGTTCATGAACTATATGTATCCCTTCATGAGTAACACGTGTTCATTTTCATGAACTTTATGTATATCTTAATGAGTTATACACACATTCAGTGTTCATGAACTATCTGTATCTCTTTATGAGTAATACACACATTCAGTGTCCATGGACTATATCTATATCTTAATGAGTAATACAGACATTCAGTGTTCATGAACTATATGTATCCCTTAATGCGTTATACACACATTCAGAGTTCATGGACTATATCTATATCTTAATGAGTAATACAGACATTCAGTGTTCCTAAACTATATGTATCCCTTAATGCGTTATACACACATTCAGTGTTCATGAACTATATCTATATCTCAATGAGTAATAGACATATTCCTGTTAATGAACTATACGTATATCTTAATGAGTAATACACTCATGCAGTGTTCATGAACTATACGTATATCTTAATGAGTAATACACACATTCCTGTTCATGAACTATACGTATATCTTAATGAGTAATACACACATTCCTGTTCATGATCTATATGTATATCGTAATGAGTAATACACACATTCAGTGTTCATGAACTATATCTATATCTTAATGAGTAATAGACATATTCCTGTTAATGAACTGTACGTATATCTTAATGAGTAATACACTCATGCAGTGTTCATGAACTATATGTATATCTTAATGAGTAATACACACATTCCTGTTCATGATCTATACGTATATCTTAATGAGTAATACACACATTCCTGTTCATGAACTATATGTATATCGTAATGAGTAATACACACATTCAGTGTTCATGAACTATATCTATATCTTAATGAGTAATAGACATATTCCTGTTAATGAACTGTACGTATATCTTAATGAGTAATACACTCATGCAGTGTTCATGAACTATACGTATATCTTAATGAGTAATACACACATTCCTGTTCATGAACTATACGTCTATCTTAATGAGTAATACACACATTCAGTGTTCATGAACTATATGTATATCGTAATGAGTAATACACACATTCAGTGTTCATGAACTATATCTATATCTTAATGAGTAATAGACATATTCCTGTTAATGAATTGTTCGTATATCTTAATGAGTAATACACTCATGCAGTGTTCATGAACTATACGTATATCTTAATGAGTAATACACACATTCCTGTTCATGAACTATACGTATATGTTAATGAGTAATACACACATTCCTGTTCATGAACTATATGTATATCGTAATGAGTAATACATACATTCAGTGTTCATGAACTATATCTATATCTTAATGAGTAATAGACACATTCCTGTTCATGATCTATACGTATATCGTAATGAGTAATACACACATTCAGTGTTCATGAACTATATCTATATCTTAATGAGTAATAGACATATTCCTGTTAATGAACTGTACGTATATCTTAATGAGTAATACACTCATGCAGTGTTCATGAACTATACGTATATCTTAATGAGTAATGCACACATTCCTGTTCATGAACTATACGTCTATCTTAATGAGTAATACACACATTCAGTGTTCATGAACTATATGTATATCGTAATGAGTAATACACACATTCAGTGTTCATGAACTATATCTATATCTTAATGAGTAATAGACATATTCCTGTTAATGAATTGTTCGTATATCTTAATGAGTAATACACTCATGCAGTGTTCATGAACTATACGTATATCTTAATGAGTAATACACACATTCCTGTTCATGAACTATACGTATATGTTAATGAGTAATACACACATTCCTGTTCATGAACTATATGTATATCGTAATGAGTAATACATACATTCAGTGTTCATGAACTATATCTATATCTTAATGAGTAATAGACATTTTCCTGTTAATGAACTGTACGTATATCTTAATGAGTAATACACTCATGCAGTGTTCATGAACTATACGTATATCTTAATGAGTAATACACACATTCCTGTTCATGAACTATACGTACATCTTAAGGAGTAATACACACATTCGTGTTCATGAACTATATGTATATCGTAATGAGTAATACACACATTCAGTGTTCATGAACTATATCTATATCTTAATGAGTAATAGACATCTTCCTGTTAATGAACTGTACGTATATCTTAATGAGTAATACACACATTCCTGTTCATGAACTATACGTATATGTTAATGAGTAATACATACATTCAGTGTTCATGAACTATATGTATATCTTAATGAGTAATACACACATTCCTGTTCATGAACGATATTTATCCCTTCATGAGTAATACACACTTTCATATTAATGAACTATATCTATATCTTAATGAGTAATAAACACATTCTGTTTTCACGAACTATACTGCATCTCTTAAAGAGTAACACACTTATTCTGTTTTAAATGCCACTGTAGAATATGTTTTTGTCAGCTTATTGATTTTTATTAATTCACATATCACATTTAGTCAACTTTCTTTTCTGTTACTTGCTTTAAACTTGAAGTTTCCTCGGACTGCAAATACCGTATAACAGATAGATAGATAATAATGGGGTGTGAGGGTGTTCGCGTATGTGTACGTGCTCGTGTGTGTGTGTGTGTGTGTGTGTGTGTGTGCATGGGTGCATGTCTGTGTCTGAATGTATCTGTTTGTGTGCTTGTTTGTGTCTGTGTTTGTGGCTACGTGTGTCTGTGTATATGTGTGTGTATCTCTGCGTATATGTATGTGTGTGTCTGTATGTGACTATGTGTGTCTGTGGTGGTGTGGGTTAGCCTCGTGGTTCAAGCGAAGACCCGGGTTCGATTCCCCACATGGGTACAAAGTGTGAAGCCCATTTCTGGTATCCACCGCCGTGATATTGCTGGAATATTGCTGACTGCGCGTAAAACTATACTCACCCACTCACTCTGTGTGTGTATGTGTGTTTGTGTATGTGTATATGTTTGTGTGTCTGTGTGTGTCTGTGTAAGTATTACGTGTTTGTGTATGTACGTGTGCATGTGTCAGTGTGTGTGTGTGTGTGTCTGTGTGTATGTGTGTGCCTGTGTGAGTGTGTGTGCTCAAGGGACCGGGGATGCTAGGGAGCTAACCACCGTTTAGGATTTAAAGCGACTGCTGTAATCCTTTTCAATACTGTAAACACACCAGCAGTTCTCAGAGACACAATTAAACCATGGTTTTTTTCTATTCAAGGTTCCACCATTTCCGTCTAAAACGTACGTCACACGCATCAAGATTGAGGAAGACACGGAATGCAGTCTCACCAACATCTACTTCAACGTCTCCGGCCCCAAGTACAACGTCATCTTCGATGAGGATTGTAAAGGCTTGCGCAACACATCGCGGGTACGTAATACAGCAACAGGTTGCAGGTAGGTGAAACGGAAACATCATCAGATGGAGCGCTGCGCGAGGGGGAGTAACCACAGGAAGCTGCAGCTGGAAGCGAATCGCCTGAGGGACGGAAGCAGTGTGAGGGAGTGAATGTTGTTTTAAACCGCAATCTTCCAACCATGTAACGGAGGCTTGTAAATAATCGTGTCTAGACCAGACTGATGTCTGTGAGCGTGAACAGCGATCCACGGCTTTTGGGTCAATTGAACGCCCCAAACTAATAAACTGGGCGTGACCACCCTATGCCCCCTGAGCCGGCTCACGCGAAAAGCATGAGGATATCGAACCAGACCCCATACAAGGGACAGGGGGGCGAGTGAGAGGCTTAATGAGTGACCTATCGCTGAGTGAATGCTGTGTTTATTTGTGAGTTGGTTTACGCCGAACCCATCAATATACTAGCTAAATAAAGGCGGTAAGAGTGGATGAGTGAGTGGGTTGATGTTGGGTGGCCTACATTATGATCGCACCGGTCAGATCAAGCAATGCAACTACATGGGTGTCTTTAAGTCCAGCGGCGGTGGGGTAGCCTAGTGGTTAAAGCGTTCGCTCGTCACGCCGAAGACCCGGGTTCAATGGCCCACATGGGTACAATTGGTGAAGCCCATTTCTGGTGTCCCCTGCCGTGATGTTGCTGGAATATTGCTAAAAGCGGCGTTAAACCATACTCGTTCACTCGCTGACGTTAAGTCCACAATTATGTCAAGATGGACATTGCACCCATTCTACTCTTGAAACAAAACCAGGAGTGAAACACTATATCCCTCGTAATATGCCTACAGAACCAACAACTAGTGTTTCCAGATGCCACCACGACACCAACTATGATCTATGTTCTATTTAGACCGTACACGGAAGAGAGGAGATGTGGCAGGCCGGTCCCGTCCTGGCTTGCCGTGTGATGATCGAGCCAATCCCTCACAACTGCACTTTCCATAAGTCTGCGTTCACCTTCTACGGCACTTCAGCCACTTCAGGTAAGGCCGGCATCAATAGCATCTCGACATTTCAGTGCTGTCAAGTGAGTTAACATTTCTCACAACGTCGGAAGGATGCACCAGAAGAATGTATCAGAAGAATGTACCAGGAGAAGGCACCAGAAGAATGTACCAGAAGAATTTGTCAGGAGAATGTACCAGTAGAATGTACCAGGAGAATGTACCAGGAGAATGTACCAGAAGGATGTACCAGAAGAATGCACCAGGACAATGTACCAGAAGGATGTACCAGAAGGATGTACCAGGAGAATGTACCAGAAGAATGTACTAGGAGAATGTACCAGAAGAAGGCACCAGAAGAATGTACCAGGAGAATGTACCAGAAGAATGTACCAGAAGAAGGCACCAGAAGAATGTACCAGGAGAATGTACCAGAAGAATGTACCAGAAGAATGTAACAGGAGAATGTACCAGGAGAATGTACCAGAAGGATGCACCAGAAGAATGTACCAGGAAAATGTACCAGAAGAATGTACCAGAAGAATGTACCAGGAAAATGTACCAGAAGAATCTACCAGAAGAAGGCACCAGAAAAATGCACCAGAAGGATGTACCAGAAGAATGCACCAGGACAATGTACCAGAAGGATGTACCAGAAGGATGTACCAGGAGAATGTACCAGAAGAATGTACCAGGAGAATGTACCAGAAGAAGGCACCAGAAGAATGTACCAGGAGAATGTACCAGAAGAATGTACCAGAAGAAGGCACCAGAAGAATGTACAAGGAGAATGTACCAGAAGAATGTACCAGAAGAATGTAACAGGAGAATGTACCAGGAGAATGTACCAGAAGGATGCACCAGAAGAATGTACCAGGAAAATGTACCAGAAGAATGTACCAGAAGAATGTACCAGGAAAATGTACCAGAAGAATCTACCAGAAGAAGGCACCAGAAAAATGCACCAGGAGAATGTACCAGGAGAAGGCACCAGAAGAATGTAACAGGAGAATGTACCAGGAGAATGTACCAGAAGGATGCACCAGAAGAATGCACCAGGAGAAGGCACCAGAAGAATGTACCAGAAGAATGTACCAGGAGAATGTACCAGAAGAATGGAGTAGAAGAATGTACCAGAATACTGCGGGACGAGTAGTAATTACGGGATGAGTACAACATACGTAATGGCCGTGTTAAACACTGAATGGAGGGGGAAACCCACTGAAGATCAGCGCCCAGTGACAACAGCCATTAATGTGTGAATGTTTCAGGGACGGCTTGTGATACTGAAACCCGCGTGTCGATACCATCGAACTGATTCCAGCTATTCCATTGGACATGCACTTAATTCTCCAGAGGTTTCACCTCGTGAAGTATTCTGCAGTGGAACACACGCAAAACATACGTATCCTTTTGAAGTAACGAATACCTTAGTGTATCACGTGGCCTGATACTATATATTATATATATAGTAATATATGAATGTATCTTACTTCTACAGCCACATATTCAGGTGTAATAAATAGAGGATATTCAGAACAGTTCAGAAATTAATCTACGTCCATATGGACATCTTGCAACAGTAAGCGATGATAAGGTTACTGATACTTTAAAAGATATACACAATTTTAAACATGTAAATACTTCAAGAAAACAAAACTTGTTTTGTCTCTCGCTGGAGTAAAATATATTACTTATATACATTTATAAAAGTAATTGTGCCTTCAATGAGCATCCCAAATCAAACCCTTAGAGTGGGATGTCAAGAGTTCGGTGTCTCAACATCAGATCGTCAGTGGTGAAAGTTAAGTTATCATACAAAACTGGCCTTCACATGAGATATCGCTACAACACAATTACATCACAATGCTTTGCAGACCATTGCGACATCAGCCGTTGCCATGACATCAAAATCAAATGACATCACAATTCTCTCAGCTACTGAAGCCACTGCTCTTTTCTGTTTTATAGCTTAAAAGGTTGGAACACTGATGTTGGATGATAAATAGAATGTCACCCTCGTGTCTTTTCATATCAAACACATGAACACTCCTTGCTAAAGTTTAAAACACATAGGCACTCATTTATGAAGGTTTAAACACTTCGAGCCAAGCCTCGATATTTCAAACGTTTAGCAACGAGTATTGATATATTTGATATCAAAAGACACAAGAGTGAGATCTAGATTCTCTATTTGTTTTGATTGCAACGACTTTGTTCTGTTTGCATGAAGGACATAAATGTAGAAAATAAAAGCATTTTCACTGGCAACATATACACTACCATGGTAACTATGTGACCGCCTCCGTGGTCTAGTGGGTTGAATGTTTGCACGAAGAGCGGAAGGTCGGTTGTTCGAAACTGTTGCCGTGTCATACCAAAAGACATTACAAGATGGCATTTGTTATCCCCTGCACGTTCAGCGTTAATGGAATAAAACAAACACTGGTATACCGTGTCAGAGTGAGATATTCAAGTTTAACTGCTGCGTGGTATCTCAGTGGGTTAGCACTTTAAAGCCGGCATTAGTTCGGACCAGCCCCACGCACGCACCCACACACGCACACATACACACAGAGGTGTATGTACATAGCTGTATAAGTGCAATCATCTTGAAAGCGACGTTAAACCCAATTTCACCTCACCTCACCGCCTGAAATTCTATTTCACAGATGTGTTTGACGTCGGTCGAGGCTACATCGGAATCAGAGGGAGATGGTCCAATGAAAGTGAGTTAGTTTCCCGTTTTCTAGTATCTCGTCATTCAGTGGTAATGTCCCAAGATTACAAAACGATCGTGTCTTATGCAGTGAAACAAGCATATACCTACGGTACTGTTGTCAATGACCAAGTTTTTCTGACAAATCAATGGTTAGTGGGGCATAGAACATTCCTTTAAATTACACCCTATTGCAGACTTTTAGTCATTTCCTCCTTATTGCTGAATGTTTCGCGATTTTGTTTTGCGAAAAAAGCTTAACCGGTAGGGCTGGGACGGGTCACTCGGGTACCCAGGTCGGGTGGATGATCAGGGTGAATACATCAGTGCTCAAAGCATTAACCCGCAATATCTTGTGTCGTATGTTGTCTTGGATTACGAGGTTCTTCAGTCAAGACAACGGTACACAGTGAAACAGTGACGCTTGATATGAGCGACATGCAGGTGTTTTAACATGGATATGTTTAATTTGACAAACGGTATTTCTTTTGCCCTGAAACGTGAACAGTAATTCACCAAGGATGCCGTTTATCAAGTGTGATGTCCTGACATGTCGATTGTTTACAGACCGCCGTCATATAGCTGGAATTTTGCTGAATGCGGCGTTAAAGAACAAACAAACAAACAAACAAACAAAACGTTAAGGCCAGAGAATATTCAGTCTACGGAAACAGATTCCATTAGGCGTAAATGACAGAATAGTAATGAAAAATATATCAGTGGATCACTGAAAGTCATTGATGACACCAGGTGTTCGCGAAAAGGGTAAGCATGTCCTGCCCTACCGGCGCCGCGATTCACTGTGCAGAGTTGCGTCCCTTGGGCAAACCAGGCCTATGATTGTTGGTTCGAATACCGGCTCGCCCCGATTATGTTTCTAGGTCAATCTCATTAAAATCAGATCTTAGTTCTCGCTACCGCTAAACCAAGATCTGAGGACATCCCATTACGGTTCACGTGAGACCGACCTTGCGCGAACTTTGACCGACCAGTGGAATGACCAATCAGAAGGCAGCTTTCTCGTGCTTTATGGCGCTAATTTCAAATTGGCGACTACTCTTCGAAACATATTTTGGCAAATTCTCGATTACAAGTTTGAAACCTGAACAAAAGAACATTCTGGAATGGCTATTAGATGGTCTAGATTGTATGGATTCAGTCGTTTAACCCGTAACTATCGTTCGGGGTTAAAGTTTTCGGGGTTGCATGATTAGAAATCACATTCCGACTGTCACTTTCATAGTCTAGTGAGCGATGCTCTGATTGGTCGGATGAAAGATCGTTCTAAGGTGACCCCTAATGAGATGTCCTCAGATCTTTGTTAAGCGGTAGCGAGAACTGACGTCTGATATTAATGAGATTGGTTTCTAGGTCTGTCAGCACCATACCCGTGCTCGTGGGTTTCACCGAAGTGGTAAATGTCTGAGACCTGCATAACTTCGGGCTTTCCTCCAACATTAAGCTGATACGCTGTGATATATCTGGAATACTGTTAAAAGCGGCGTTAAACCCAACTCACACACACACTCACTCACTCAAAAGCTAAAACTACACCACCACAAACTTAATCACGTTCTCACAAATTGTAAACTGACCACAATATGCAAACGGTGTAAATTTTAAAACAGTTTGTTGAAAAATAATTCTCGCAACGCTGGTTAAGCATAATGACAGTCCAAATACGGACAAACGGCGGGTCAAACATAGAATATAAACAGACAAACATACAATAACGTCATGCGAAGCTTACAGTAACATCGAGACAACTTATATAATAGAGTAAACTACGATTATAACGAACTCAAAGGGACCGCTAATTTTAGTTCGATATAACCGTAGTTCGTTATCAGTATATATACAGCATACAAAGAGCAAATGCTAGGGGGCAAAGAAAACAGTTTGTTATATCCGCCAGTTCGTTATAAGCGTGTTCGTTATATAACGAAGTTTACTGTATAGGGAAAGGTAAAACAGGCAAAACTTAAAATGTCTCCGGGCGAAAGGTAGAAAAAACATGTACCTCATACCATGTACAGCGAGCCGAAGAGCGAGCAACGTAGGTAATACGGTAATCTGTTTCAGCACAAACAACGACAACCACCTCAACTACTCCTGAAACATCTACAAGCGTCACTACGATCGACACCACAACATCGGAGACGTCGACCACACAAACAACAGGGGGACATGATAAAACTCCAGCTCCGAGTAGCACTAGCTCGCCACAAAATGTCACCAATACATCTGTAACAGGCATGTTGACAACGACACAACACATCAGCTTCACGTCGAGCCATCAAGGGGAGACAACCCAGGAAGGTACTGTAGCCAAGCTCCTCACAGCGATAGCCCGTTCCCGGAGGTCTCTATACTATCGCTGCAACCAGTCAGAACTCCCCACTGTGAATAGGTGGCCACAACCATGCTTGGAGTTGAACTCGCAACCGAATAACCGTAATGTTTACAAACAAGTGACGACTCTTTCGTGACGCCGAATACACTTATAGCTGCTAAATTACTTTCTTCGTTTGTCAGTTTGAATTTCTGTTTCATTAAAACTATCGTGTTATTGTTATAGTAAGAATGTAAGGGAGAAGTTGGTTGATTTTCCGTTAGTCTGCAATCTCGAACCAATCTGATTATTAAAACAACAAAGTAAATTCATCTGGAAAACATGGTCAGTCGTAAACCTTTTCAAAATAAAATATCATGGCATTCCCAAAGACATAAACAAAAGTATCAACGTTACTACATTTGGGGTTAGAGGGCAAATTTCAAGATTCTTGTAATGGCCGCGCCCACACTGGTGGCAGCGATGTTACCAAGAGTGTAACGAAGGTGTCACGCGCTGGGAAGGAGCTTGGTACTGTAGCATGACCTGTATGCAGCATTCGTCACCAGTCGCCTCTTTCCGTAACCTGCAAGAAGACTCGTCCCCCTATCGATGAATGTTATGTGCGAAAATACGACAAACCAATCAGAATGCGCGTATGATTTCAAGTTCTTCGCCAAAGAATCCCTCAGAAATAATTTTTGATTTTACATGTCTTGCATCTAAAAATATACCCAAGACACAGTTAAATGTGCTCAATCATACTGTATAATTCCGCACGTCCCAATGTGTTTTAAATTGCATCTGAAATATATATAATATATGGGGGAAATATATGTGAACCATTACGCAACTAGTTGACAATTGTTTTAGGTATGCCCGTTTGCGCTAAGACGGAACCCGGTCGCAAAAATGGCCATGAGAGGGGCACGAGTCGCTATTCGGCTTGTTCCGGAATAACACGAGTTGGTCACGAATGCTGTATGCAGTTTCGTTTCTCGAAGGAACGTAAAGCTCTACGACTGTCGTAATTCCCACCTCTGACATAGCTTTGCAGTTGTGGAACGCGTGCGTTGAGAACTTGAATTTTAAAGGTTTTACGACGCTAAAGTTTCCACTTTGAACACGTATACCCCCCCCCCCCCCCCCCGCCTCTGTCTTTCTCTCAGCATCTCTGTGTGTCTCTGTCTCTGCCCCTCTCTCTGTCTGCCTGTCTCTCTCTCTCTCCCTTCCCCTCTTTCTCTCAACCGTTAGAACCCATAAGACTCTTGAACATTTAATTGAACATTTTGCAGATTCTTCTACCAAATCAACAGATGCATCCTCCTCCACGAGTCGGACGACTACACAGGCGTCCTCTGCTGCAACGTCTACTGATCTCAACCCCAACGTGACCAGCCCGGCTCCTGCCATGACGAAAGCCTGCACGTGCCTCTGTAAATCCAAACCCCTCAAGAAGAACCAAACCAAGGTACTATATACTCTCATCGACTTTCTACTGTTGGTTTTGTGTGTGTGTGTGTGTGTGTGTGTGTGTGTGTGTGTGTGAGGCACCCCAGTATATCACGTGGTCAGGATTTAATTTGCCATGGTTATTTTCATGGTCTTACGTTTGCATACTCGTGAAGATCCGAGTTAGAATTGGTCTTCGTCAATCCATGCTTGTCGTAAGAGGCGATTAACGGGATCGGCTGGTCAGTCTCGCTGAATTGGCTCATGCATGTCATTATATCCCAATTGCTATCAATCGATGCTCATGATGTCAATCACTGGATTGTGTGGACCAGACGCTATCATGTACAGGCCGTCGTCATATAGCTGCAATTTTGCTGAGTGCGGCGTTGAACAACAAACAAATAAACAAACAAACATGTTTACAAACACGATACAACTGCCATGGCGCCGAATACTCTTACCCAGCTTATTTATTTTGTCTGGTTGATAATTATGAATTTCATTTCAACTATCATGCGATTAGTTCAGTCGGAATGTTAGAGAAAAGGTGGATTCTTTTCCGTTTGTTTGCAAGGTCGAACCAATCTGCTTAAACCAACCAACGTACATTCACCTGGCAAATAGTCGGTCAGTCTTGAACCTTCTCCACACTGACCAGAATGGCTTACCCAGATATAAATATCACTACATTTGGGGTTTATAGGGAAACTTTTCACGAATCTTTTAATGGCCGTTTGTCACTAGTGGCAGTCATGACACCGGGAAAGCTGACCAAGGTGTCACGTGATCGGAAGGCGCTTCTGCCAACATCAAGCTCCTTCCCAGCGCGTGACACCTTCGTTACACTATCGGTAGCACCGCGAACGGACTTTCGCTATGAGGAGCTTGCTGCCAACATTAACAAAGGGAGAGAACTCATTCCCTGTTCCAGGTGATGGCCGCTAAGGAGAAGGCGATCAAGATACAGAAGGAGCTGAAAGTCGACACCATGAACCTCTCTTCATCTGTGAGAAAGAAGGTCAGCGCTCCTGACTCCAGAACGACCGCAGCCGTCGGGGGCTACCTCGGCATCTGCCTCCTCACCATCGCCCTTGGCTCCCTCATCCTCGCCGACATCACCTCCATCACCAGACATATACAACTACTGCGGAGGAACATCAGCGGCCCGTCGCCGCCTGTCAAGAAAATAAAAAAGTAATAGATGTCGATTAGAACAGAGTTGTGTTAGGATGGAGGCTACGGTGGCTTGCATGACAATACTTCGGGGGCTTGTTGCATGCGATACGTTTCTCCATCACCCTAAATACTTATGGCCGATATGATTCTCGTGTCGCGTGTCTATTTTTAATCAGGTAAGATATTGAAGCCGTGTAATATAAATAAAGAGAGTAATTCAATTCAGTTTATTCATATATAACTGTTGGGCCACGGGCCAACAAAAGAGAATACTCATCGATCCCGATTGCGTGGATCGATGCTCATGATATCAATCACTGGATTGTCTGGTCCAGACTCGATTATTTACAGACCGCCGTCATATAGCTTGAATATTGTTGAGTGCGGCGTAAAACAACCAACCAACCAACCAATAGAGAATACATGACAATGTGGAAGCGGTTAAAAATATTTCAAGGATTCATTTCTTAATAACCTGATTAATAAATAGAGATAGATTTCGTATAGCCGTTTTGGATGTACATAGTATTTTTGTTCAATATATTTAGTCCTTACATTGTCATATTTACAACGGCTGTCGGGTAGCCTAGTGGTTAATGCGTTCGCTCGTCACGCCGAAGACCCGGGTTCGATTCCCGACATGGGTACAATGTATGAGGCCTATTTCTGGTGTCCCCCACCGTGATATTTCTGGAATATTGCTAAAAGCGGCGTAAAACCATACTCGCCCACTCACTCATATTTCCAAGATACAAGTAAAAAGTGAAATTCAACTTCGACGTCATTTGAACATTTCCTACATAATCTTAAACATTTTGGAATTTTGTAGTTGCCTGCCAACTTCAACCATTAACCTGTGTGAGCTGCATCTAAATTGTGCTAAAGATATTCTGCATTCTCTTATATTCACATCAGTTAAATACTTTTTTTGCACATATTTGCATTTTAAAAATACAGAAGATCTCCATGTTTGAAAGTACATGTCAAAAAGCGTCAGCCTTATTTATATATGAACATGGCATGGTTCTCTACTCCCGGACAAAGCCGTCGTATGTATTCACGGACAATGTAGGAACGTAGTGTTTGCAAACCCGACCCTTGAAGTATTGAAGATGTAATGTAGAGTGATAATGGCGAATTGATTTGAAGGCGTAGGGGAAATAACGTCGATCATATTTACTTTAGAAATAGAAAACAATCAGCAACAAATATTAAGAAATATATTGTACATCAAGAACTTGTATTTTCTGGAGTCTGAAAATCAATATTAACGTATGAAAAGAACTACAAAAACAAACTTTGACATAAGAAATCTTTGAAAGCCTGCACAGAACACGGAATTGATTCCAGATCTTCTGAGGATTTATCCATGATTATTTTGGATTTTATCGATTTTCACTTGATTTTTTATGGATTGCTTTTGATTGCTTCGTATTTTTTTTATTGTTGTTTAATGTGTGTATACTGCTCGTTTAAGTATTAAACGTCAACGCCAGAGAGGAATCGGTCTCGATCATACCCCGAAACAGATTCCACGACGTGTAAAAGATAAATAGTGGTGACAATTATATGAAGCAGCATTTGGATGGGTAGTATTTCCTTTCGAAAATAACGTATTTCTAAGTTTTGATATTGAATGTATTGTATGGAAAACATATTAGTTTGTGATTTAAATATATTGCATCGTTGTATTTTGAAAGTTCGTGTCCAAACTGTGTGCACACCTGTATGAGTCGTATTTCTATGTGTTTTGTCGCATCAATTAAGTGTGGAAGACACCTGTGCGTGTTTCTGTGTCTTAAAGACACAAGTTACCAAAGACACACCCTGGGGTATAGAAGCAACGTTGTCACGTGGTTTCATAATCTAAAGTGCGCGTACTTGACATGGATTATTTGGAGAATCACTAAAGCGTTATATATGGTCAACACTATCACTGAAGGTAAGATTTAGGGTAAACAGTAGCACATATGTGATTAAGCTAACTGATCTTATCATAAAAGGTCAATTGCATCCGAGTCACTACGAGTGGTGGACACAGTATCGAACCCAAACCAACATATCTTTTAACAATAGTTGGTTTATAATTAGGATGTGGATAGTAGATATTAGCATCGTTACTTTGACTTTCCTAATGCCGCGAGGTGATGGGGTAATACATGGTATTGTTATGTTGGTATTGGGTCACAGGAAGTTCTAGCTATCAATATGAGGGGCAGTGGGGTAGCCTAGTGGTAAAAGCGTTCTCTCGTCTCGCCGAAGACCCGGGTTCGATTCCCCACATGGGTACAATGTGTGAAGCCCATTTCTGGTGTCGCCCGCCGTGATATTGCTGGAATATTGCTAAAAGCGGCGTAAATCCACACACTATCAATTTTAAATCCCATATCCAACTAGACTTTCGTTGATTAGGAAATAATTTGGGTAGTGTCACGTAAGATGACACAAATCTACAACAGACCCTACAGGACAACGTAGCTGGTCTGACTGGTCGTAGTATGTGCATGCTTAGTAGTCATTACTTGGGCAGAGCTTCTGATATTCGCTGTATCGTGACATGGTTATGTTGCCAATTACTGTAAACTTGCACACTTCGAAATTCTGGATGCAATTTTCCCGAAGTGTCTTGAGCAAGTTGGCACTCTGGGACAGTCTCCAGGCTGAAACACTGCGTGCCAGAACCATATCATCGGTTGGAATCCATGATTCGCCCTGACAATGATCCAAGGCCTTTTTAGCACCATGCTAGTGGGTTTCACCAAAGTGATAAACATCTAGGACTTTCATCACTTCAGGGGGTCGTCGGGTAGCCTAGTGGTTAAAGCGTTCCCTCGTCACGCCGAAGACGCGGGTTCGATTCCCCACATGGGTACAATGTGTGAAGCCGTGATATTGCTGTAATATTGCTTAAAGCGGCGTAAAACCATGCCCTCTCACTTCATCACTTCAGTTTTTATTCTAGCGGCCCATAAACATAGCTTATGATTTTATCGGAATGGTAAAATCGACACTTTTTTATGATTGTTTTGTTTTATGATTATGGAGACGGTTTGCGCATTTATTTATTAAGTCTCTTTGCATGACGGTATGCAAAGTTATGTTCAAGTTAGGTCAAACATTAAACAATATGTACTTTACAAGATAGGTATGGTATATAATGTTATTGTATTATATTCTTTGGGGGCGTGGCCCAGGTTTCATGTTTGTCTCAGTGTGTAAATATTAGTTTTTGTGCTTTTCATTATTATTATTATCGATTTCTAATTTGTTGTGCAACCCGAAACACTGATTATTATGTAGATTCGTTTTGAGGAAAAATTGGAAACAAGACATTAATTACTTATGGAGACAACGACATAAAATTTTGCATTGCATCTGTTTTGGATGGATATATTAACAAGTTGCACTGAAACGTCGTTACAGAGAATAAAAGAAGTTGTCCATAAACGTACTATGCGGGGCGGTAGGATAGCCTAGTGGTTAAAGCGTTTGCACGTCACGCTGAAGACCCGGTTCAATTCCCCACATGGGAACATTGTGTGAAGCCCAAATCTGGTCCCCCCGCCGTGATGTTGCTGGAATATTGCTGAAAGCGGCGTAAAACCAAACTCACTCACTCACTCATGTTATTCCACCTTCTATATGCCTGTTAAAGACTTTATGTTATCATCGTATTTCAATGATTGTGTTTGACGATTTGTTTGTTCTTTCTCAGCGACATCTCCTAAGCACCACTTTGTAACCACAATCTCAAAATAAAATACACATCTCGTACTTGTGTGATGTCCCATTTATGTATGTTTCCTCCCTATATTTATTAACCGACCATGCACTACAAACAATAGTCAATACCGGACCTCAAAACATCAATTGCTGAAATACATAAATGGTTTCACTACCTCTGAGGAATTTACGAAAATCAAATAATCGACGCACGCACTCTGAATAGTTATCGATCGTGCCGGGCGCGTCATCGCTAGGGAATAATCAGTCTCCATTATCGACCGAAGGGGAGTCAGAATGGCTGTGTAAAATAAGTGATGACACAGGTGTTCTCGAAAGGTGTAAGCATGTCATCTATCGGTAGCAGGGTGTCAGTCGTCTAAGGCGCCGCGATTCGCTGTGCAGAGTTGCGTCCCGTGGACACGCCAGAAACCTATGATTGTGGGTTCGCCCCGATTATGTTTCTAGGTTTGTCAGCACCATACCCGTGCTCGTGGGTTTCACCAAAGTGGTAAACGTCTGAGACCTGCATCACTTCGGGCTTTCCTCCCACATTAAGCTGACACGCCGCGATATAACTGGAATACCGTTCGCGTCCAGCTATCCGACTGCATTTCCGTGTAAACAATAAAGGCTGTGAATATAGCGCTCCTCATACACGTTCTGATGAAGTGGACCGCCTCCGTGGTCTAGTGGTAGACCGTCCGCCTGGAGAGCGGAGTCAGTATACCGTGTCTGAGTGGGGTATTCATGTTAAACTGCGGCATGGTATCTCAGTGAGCTGGCACTATATATCGGCATCAGTCCGGGCTAGTACAAACAGGCACATACACACACACACGGAAATGCACGTCGCTATATAAGTGCAATAATCTTGGACGCGACGTTAAATCCCATTTCACCTCACCTCACCTCTGATGCAGCGAAGGTTCAGCTTAACGTTCCCGGGTCGACGTTCCCAAATTAACGTCGTGGGTTATACTCAATACAGAAGTTACATACAAAACCTGCTGTTGCATATTTGCAATATATTTTAATCTCACATGACATCAAGGATGAGAATGCTTGCCCTTTTCTAAAACACCTGGTGTCAACACTTGTTTTCAGTGATCCATTCATGTGGTTTTCACCCTTGTTTTACCTTTGGCGCCAGGTGGCGTCTGTTTCGGTGGACGGCCGGGACAGGTTGTTTTCTGCTGGTGGTTTATATTTGTAAAAGGACTATATGAACACATGAAACAGTCCATGCCAACATCAGAGTGTGCAAGTGAAGAGGTCCATGTGGGAATGTATGTCATGGTGTGCCCCCTATTTTTTAAATCTACATATGATTGGTAATTATGCTATATATAATGGCATATTTGAAAACGAAAAAAAGGTCAAGAACATTACTGCAAATATTTATAGGATTGTAATTGTCGGACACATTGGCGCGCATTCTGATTGGTCAATCATGTTATCTGACAGGTGGCGAGTGATACATTCTGCTCTGACTTCACTTTGCTTTGAGAGAGACAGTTAAACATATTTAGTTTTTTTGGTGTATGAGGACATTGACACCAGGGACAATGGATAATATTACCAAGTGCAGTGCCTCCATCGCTCGAGATTTAAAAGTACTCGTCTTCCACTGACATCCTGCAGAAGAGGG